CAGTATTATCGAAGAGTACTTAGTGAAGTCTTCTATGTTGCGTAGGCGTTGCTTCACATATTCGCGAAAGGACCTCCGCAGAACAAATTGAAAAAACTGGAAACGGAATATCGAAGACGTCGTACCCCCACTTCCAATATATCAGAAGATTCTCCGCGCCGAGCTGAATCGAATGGTGGCTTTGCATTCAGAATTCGACCACACTGAAGCGAGATATGGCCACGCGACGCTGATGTATGGACATGTCCATACGTGTATGGACATGTCCATACATGTCCATACATTCGCGTCTATTTTTCAAAAAATGTGAGCGGTATTGTATAATAACAATCAAGTTTGAATTCGCAAAAACTTCAAAAGCTTTTATGCTTTTGCTGCAACTGCGCGTTTCATGACTTGGCCAAAAATCGAGACCTCAGAAGAAATAATTTTTTGAAGTCAAAATCAGCAAATAGGAGAATCTAAAAATAATATCTTGTAGCCCGAAAGTTGCTCTATTTGACTCATACTTGATCTTTTTCGAAACTTTGTGACGAAATTTTTAAAAATTAGCTCAACTTTAAGCAGGTAAAATTGACAGGTGGAGAAATTCGGCAATTACCAAAGAAAGCATATAACATTATGGTATGAAAATGCATCCATAAGAAAGAGAAGGAAAAGCTGCATCGAATGCATGTTGATACTCACTCAGAACTTTATTGTGCGTGGTTTTACAGTGGTCTAAAAAAACCGACAAAACTTTCGGGAAAACCTAATATAATAGAAATTTGCCGAAACTCATCAAAACGCACTCAAAAAATTGTTAATCAACAACGCGCGTGCCCATGTCTCCTACAAGGGAAGGATAATTGGTCGAAGTGGATTTTACAATGTATACTTGTCTTATAGAGCACCAGTGCGCCACCTCTGCTTCGCAGAGGCTCGCACTGGTCTCACTATCTGTATGCCTTATTCATTCCCACAATAATAACATTGAAACTCACCGCGCTATGCAGACTATCATGAATGATTCGTAAACAACTACTCATTTCTAAGACTTTTTCATGTGAGATCGGTAATTTCCCGTAAATGAAACTTTTCCCAGAAGAACAAATGCAAATTTAAAACGGTTTTTGGACTTTTCATGGCTTGGTAGTCGCCTTGAGGACAGTGATCACCGTGGGCCACATCACTGTGCAAAAATTTTCACAAATGATCAGGTAAACTCTTGGCAAATTAAAGTTTACGCAATCAATTTTTTTTTGGCGCCACCTTCGTAAAGTAATAAACTTTTATTCACTTTTCTGTGCTAAAGTCCATGGTTTGCACATTAGCTTATTAAACGTACTCATGATTTTGCAAAAAGTGCTGCTACAGCATAGTTTTGCTGGCCAGAAGTTAAGTGGATCCGTCTGAAACGCAATTTTTGAAGGATCCATTCAATGGATCCGCTCGTGCTTTTGCATAGTGGGCTTTGATGCTGGTAGCATACGCCGTGCAAAATTTGGGCTCGGGACATTGGCTGGAACACGCTCTACGAATTTCGTAACGGACAGACACACACACACACACATACACACAGACAAAAAGACGTAAACAACCCTTAGCCCGTTATTATAAGTCATGATAGACCGGTGATTCCACATTTGCTTTCGGTATCTACGCGCTTCTGGGCGGATAGTTATGGGAATTTTTTAAGGCAAAATCAAGGGTTTGGCTAAAGTAAAAACATGTGTTGAGGGCTTTCCGGTCCTTGAAAGGAGTAATGATTAGCTTAAATGTATTAAACTAAGGTCTTTAACTGCACGCAGGTTCCTTAGCTCACAAACTCCAGTTCTTAAAGATTTTACTGTAGCCGCGCGTTCAAATTTTGGTATCAAGAAATTCCCATAACTCCTCTCTCATAAGTGCTTTGCAGATACCGAAAGCAGATTTGCAACCAGCATTTTATGCTTTATGGAAAAGTATACATTTCATATGGAAACACCAATTCTACCTAGTATTCTTTCCTTCTTAATTGGAAAATGAATGATATATTTTAGAAGTATAGCGGGCAGAGACGAGCCGTGGGATAGCTTTAAACGTTGTGCAGTATCTTTCACTGCTATTCCAAACACTGTCGGGATCAGAGTAGTAGGCTCCTTTCAGATTCTAGGAGGTATGCATATTTGGTCAAAATGGGTCTATTTTTGAGGGAAGCGGTAGAAGGAGGAAGAGGTCAGTTATATCATTTGCTAGTATTGGGTTGAACCGAAACTTGAACCCAATACTAGCAAATGAAACTTCTGTCGCACCATTTTCAAAAAATCATAACTTCTTTCCCTCACAACAATTTTGCGCATTTCAAATTTTATCTGAAAGCGTAAAGCATGTAGTTTCAAAACTTTCCCTGGTTACTTTCCAACATGCTCAGATTGCAGAGATAAAAATGAAAGAACGAGATCATCCGAAATTCGGAGTTTTTAAGCAAAAATTCTAAAAATTGAGAAAGTGTGCGGTAAAATCCAGAGCAGCCATCAGCCTAAGATTTCCTATATTTAATCACTAACTGAGTCAAGTTTGTGCTGATCGAGCTCTTCTTTCAAAAGTTATGATTTTTTGAAAAAAATGCCAAAAAATCAATTTCATAAGAATTCTTATCGATTTTTCGTATTTTCTTTCAAAAAATCATAACTTTTGAAAGAATAGCTTGATCAGCACAAACTTGACTCATATAGTAATAAAATATAAGAAATCTTAGGTTGATGGCTGCTCTGGATTTTATCGCACAGTTTCTAAATTTTTAGAATTTTTGCCTAAAAATTCCGAATTTCGGATGATCTCGTTCTTTCATTTTTATCTCTGCAAACTGAGCATGCTTGGGTGTCCTCAGAGGAGATTTGGAAACTACATGCTTTACGCTTTCTAATAAAATTTGAGCTGCTCAAAATTATTGTGAGGGAAAGAAGTTATGATTTTTTGAAAATGGTGCGACAGAACTTTTGGTTCAACCTAATAGTATAATTAGCAGAAAGTTGCGCAGATCTATAGAATGAATAAAGACTTTCCTTTTTAGTTCGCCGAACAAAACCAGCAAACAAATCAAGCAGAAAAGTGGAGTGATCTTCGATCATGTCCTGTGTAGCATCAGTAGGGAAAAATATTTTCGAACAGCCTCATTTTCCATAGTTTTCCAACTCTGCTTTTAGTCTCAGATATCTAGCACATAAATGACTAATCTGTTCAAGTTATGCGCTGCAGATACAAATCTATTTGTTGTCACAGTCTGCCAAAATGGATTAACAGTCATTGGACAATTACAGAGGTTGCTGTTGTGCATGTGAAAGCTACGGTAATTTATCGTCGTGCTTCGTCGGGTAAACATACACGTCTACAACGCATTAATCGAAGCAGGACAAAATGCAAAAAGCAGATGAATTTTTTTCAGGTGCCTGAGTCGTGATTCAAAAGAATTTTTCACCGGATTAGTTCAAGGCCTGCACTGAGTTTGGAATAACCTAATGTCAGTCGATTTTGGGAACCTCCGAAGGAATTACAAAATTTAAATCACTTTGACTTTCTTTCATACTGTCAAAAAATGATAAATTCAGTGAAAATAGATGATATATTATATTTAGTGAAAAATGAAAATCAAATGAAGCAAATCTGGCGGTCCTACACAACAATTAAGATACATTTGGAAATTCCAAACTGCCGGATGTTTGAAAATCTGCAAAATTGATTGGTTACGTCAACTCAGCTGAATTTCTTAGCATCTGTAAGCCACATAGCTGTATGTTCTAGCTCACTACCCCTTCCAGTTTTCTCAATCTACCAATATGTTGATTCAGAATTTTTTTCTTTTTGATGCACTCTCTGAGTGTGTAAAATACAATGGGACCGAAAATAGGACGTGCAAAGGATGCGTGAACTCAGACAATCGACGGAACTTCGGCACAAAGTTTGGGAAATCTCAGCCGAGTCAGCTGCGGAAATTCCGTAAACGTGCTGCGGAAGTTCCCAAGTGAGGGCTGCAGAAGTTTCGAAGGGTGCGAACCACAACAGCAAAAGAAAACACCTAAGCGAGATACGAACCTTGCTCTATTGACTGCAAGACTCACTTGCTATGCTCTGCACTACGGATGACTTTTGCGACAGAGCACCTGAGTTGTTGGCGAGACTTCTGCAGAAGGACTGACAGGTCAAAAGTGCTGCGGAGCCGCTGGCATCGGAATTTTTGCAGCGTTTTGTAACAAGTTTTGCAGAAGCTCCTGAACAGTCTGACATGAAAATCCTGCGGAAGCACCCATTTTCAACGTTCCCATTTTTGTGAAGTAAACAAAATTTTGCGGAAGCACTGCAAATTTTACTTGTTCTGCGGAAGTTGTGAATTGTCTAAGACGAAAGCTCTCAAACTATAAGGGTTCAATACTGCTTTAAAGTACAATAATTTCACTAGAGATTCTTAACACATTCACGACAGGGCCGATTTTTCGCTGACTGCCATTTCGGACCAGAGCATATTTCGCAAAACTGAGTTTGCGGAATATTTTCAAGTTACTGATGGGCCCTGTGGTCTGAAGTGTTAATCTGGGAAGTACTCCAAGAGGTGTATGCAGAAGTTTACTCGGCTTGTCTAGAAAGTTTCACCATGACCTAGCAAGATCAAAAACTTCAAAAAGCATATGACCCACCGGTGGGTCGTATTGCCCGAAATGGCACAGCACGTACGACCCGCCGGTGGGTCGTGTTGTCGTGAATGTGTTAAAAGCACAGTAGATCGAATGATTATCATACGTTGAAGGCAACAATCTCAAGTAATATGAATCAATTGCAGAAGCCCCAGTGATAAAGCTTTGCTAAACTTTTACAACTAGTTCATTGACTTACATGGTCTTTTGTTGAGAGGACTCTTTTCTTTTCACAAACAAAACGATTTTTTGCTAATCAATTGACTATATTCTTAATGGAATGCTTTGTTTCTCTGAGGCCAGGGACAGTTTTTTCTGCAAGATTTCGTTCAAAAGTGAAAGCATTAAAAAGCTATGAGAATAATTCATTGAAGAAAAGAGAAATTAACCTGATAAATGCACAAAAGGTACAACGTAAACTCTGAATAAAAACGAGAAGACAAATAAACAAGACACGTTGGACTAGGCACAGTGGAGACCACTACGTCAGGCTGACAAAGTGATCTTCATTGAAGCATAAGTAGAGGTGCGATTCGGTCAAAATCGAAAAGCATTGGGGGCATGTAAAAGCTTGGTTTCCTAGCGACCGCTGTCGATTCAGAACAACAGTCTCGAACTGTCTATAGGTGTCGAGAGGTACAACGCACACATAAAGAGCTATTGCAAGCAAAAGTCACAGCTGGGAACAAAGGCTAATCAGTGAAAGCCCTTGGAAAACTGAAATAGAAGAACTTGTTCGGAACAGTAGAGCAAGGAACGGAGCTCAAAGTGTGATGGAGTTGATATGGGAAAAACTAGAAATGGATTAAGAACAATGGCACTTTCTGTTCAATTTATGAGCCTACACAAGATGAATTGAGCAGATGTAGAATATCTTGATCTGGCGCCTAAGCTGACTTGGCCTTGTCCTCCTGCTTGATCCTATATGCCTTGACGATAAGAGTAACCGCAACGATGAGAATCAAACCGCCAACACCAATCACAGACAGCATCTGATTGTCCTCCTGAAAGCAAAAGTTCTCAAATCTCATCTTAGAATGGTTAGGTTACGTCCGGAGTTGTGCCAAACGCTGACGGCGCCAGGACCGTGCACAACTCACGCCCTTCCAGAAGCGAGTGGATGCACTGTGGCTCCGCCGGCACCAGGCGCAGGAGGGGCGCTAGCACAGTAATTTGGAAGAAGTCTCACAAGAAATGTGTTCTTGCATACAGTCGGTTTCATCCCGGATTAGGCGAGATATCCTACGTGGAGCAACGCATGCGCATTGCTGGAGGCTTCGCGAGCACATAGCGTTGGCATTTTACCAAAGACTAAGGAGATTGAAGAGACGCAGACATGGGTTCTCAGCACGATAGGATATCTGTAGCTGCGAAACGGCGCGAGCTGTTGCGAGGCGGACTCCCGCCAGTCCAATTTCCGCCTAAAGCGGATCGAAACTTACTGTAGCTGATCTTCCCTTTGATTCAACTGGCTTGGCGGCTGGAAGGCGGGGCTTCGTGACCTAATTAAAGCTAGATAACGATTAGAGAGCGACAGACGTAGACTGCGTCGCGGGCGCGGGCGCCCTCAACTAGGTCACAAACCCTCCTTCCAGCCGCCAAGGCAATTGAATCAAAAGTTAGGACGTCAAAAATTTCGCTTTTCCAAATCACAACAAATGTCTATCAACACTGCTGAAATAAGTCGAAGCAGTTTTTCATACTTTTAGTTTCTCCAGCTCTCTTTTCTACGCAATTTACAAGTTTATATAAACCGGAAGACCGGGTATAGAAGGAGCACGACTCCATCCAAATTGAAAACATGATGTTGTGCGTAATTGAAGCCTGCTAATTTCACAAAATTGTTTGAGAGTAACGAAGAATCTTCGATCTTCAACACAGGTTGCATGCGTTTCATTCGTTAATCTTCGCTACACTTGAGGATGAAGTTCCGACAAAAAATTTTGATAAATTGGTTGTGGTGGGTCATGTGATACGGAGATTGGTTCTGAAACTTCTTTCTTTGCCGGAGTTGCCTAAAATAATACTAGATATTAATAGATCATTTCTTTGGATTTTCAAATTGCTTTGTTCTCTTCTCGGACACTGCAGCGACTATTTATAATTAGAGCTTTTTTCATAACGTCATCAGCAAGCTATCCTCGGAGAAGAAATACTACGTTGAGTAATGAGGTGCTGAATGAACGCAGATGCTTTATAGAAGGACAGCGATGAATTTGAGGTAGTATTCAAAGTAGACATGGGTAGTAGACTTTTTACGCAGTAACTGATTGCGGAGCCTAAGTAAGTATTGGGTTGGCACATAAGTAATGCAACTTTTTATATAACTTTTGTCTATTTGAACGTAGCGCATTCATTTTTTGGCAATATAAGGAATATGATATAAGCTTCTAATGCACACATTTTTGCCGAATTTTACCATCTTATGTGAGGATTACGGTAGGTTTACTGTACTATGGGAAAAATTTTAGAATGCATCAGATTTTGCTGAAACTTGAATTATAGGGCTTATTTGACATGCTGATCACAAAAATGAGATCCGTTTCGCATGAAAAGGCCTCGTTCGTGAGATCAAAAGATGAATTTCAATTTGGCGACAAATGAATATGATATTCGTGTTTACCGCATAGGATTACCCTATAGTGCAAAGTTATAGCGATTTCTGACTTTTCGCAGCTTAGTTATTGACAAATTCCCTTCAAAACTTGACGCATTTGACTTGTTCAACTTCTAAAAGGCGCCCCACCTTAATTTGTGTTTGAATTTCATTTCTTTTTCACCGATTCCAATGCGCCAACTTCCAGCTACATGCTGCCTATAATTGCTTTTTCATATGTTTGAATCAGGTTTCGTAGGGCTTCATGTTTGCCAAAAAATCGTGAAACCTCGATTTTCAGCAGTTTTCAAAAAAATGCTTAGATTTTTTGTATTACGCTATCAAAAATCAAACGGTTTGCGCAGACTTGCAGCTTACATTACAATCTATATGATACCACAAAATGAGATTGCTACATAAAATAGGAAGAAAGTTACGGGAAAAGTTGCAAAACTTATGTGCCAACCTAATAAGTCACGCGGCAAAACAAGTACTCGTACGTGGATGAAAATAAGTGTAATAGTCCGATAGTGTTTGCTAGCGAAGCGAAATCAGTCCTTGACCATATTAGGAAATACAGTCTTGGCTGAATTCACGAGTTGAATTTCTCGGGTCAGAATGAACCAAATGGACTACCGCTTGTACGCATATGAAATAGCTTAGCTGAGCCCTTCAAGTCAGTTTAATAAATTGGTAAGGCTTTCGCTAAACTTTACCCATGTTACCGGTGTTACCGGTGTTACCAGTGTTACTAGCGTTTCTCATGTTACTAGTGTTACCAGTGTTACTCGTGTTACTAGTGTTACTGGTGTTACCGCTTTTACTGCTTTTGGATAGTAAAATAAACAAATTCAGTTTCATTCCAGAACTAGTAACACGGGTAACACCGGTAACATGAGTACAGTCGCTTCATTTCATATGATCATGTGTGCCATTGCACACACGTCCACTTTGGCGTCCTCATCCTGGATTTGCAATCGCAAAAACGCAAGAGACTTACCGATTGTTATCGATTACATCAATTTGAGGTGAAAAGTAACTAAAAAGGAAAGAAAATGCTAAGAACACCTTGGAAACACTTACCCGAAGGCTTGTTTCTCCCACGAATCCAGGATGGGGACGCCAAAGGTGAACTGTGTGTGCAATGACACACATGATCATATGAAATGAAGCGACTGTAACATTAACACTGGTAATACCGGTAATATGGGTAACGCGGGTAAAGTATGGCCAAAACCTAGAAAATGGAACATATGCCCTCTTGCATCGACTTCAGCATAAGAAGCCCAACTACGTGAATTTTTTCGGATTCCAACCCTAGGTCCTTCCTCTCCTCATTCTACATGCGACTGGTTGTAACATGAAGTGGTCGCAGTTCCAGGCCAAAATCCCACATCGCAGCAACCCATTCACTAAGAACTGCAGATGTCACACATCGAACACAAATGTCGTTCCTCGAAACTACCGCTTTAGCTTTTAGACTTTGACCTGGCACTTCAGATCGATCTGTTTCTCGAAAAAAAAATTTTTTTTTTTTGAAAAGCAGATCGGTCTGAGATTGTAACATGTAATTTCTAGTTATTTTAGAAAACATGTTGATACATATTTCGCAGAATTGTGATGCGCTTGGCTGATTGAGTAGCTAAGCTTTTCAAATGAGCCACGACGCAATTTAAGAATAATTACCGGGGAAATTTAAGCAGCGTGCAGAGCCCACGTGCCGGCACCGTGCCGGTACCTATGTAGACGTGCTCCATATTGATCGCTCAAGGCTTCAGCATGGCTGCGTTGGCACGGGCAACTCCGGACGCAGCTTCAGCATTTGGTTAAAACTGTCATTTTTTGAAACTCGAATTCTTCAATTTCTAGTTATTTTAGAAAAAATCTGTATGGCTCAGCAAGTATCTTGGCGCCCTGTAATCGCACTCAAAGCACCAAGAGAGTGTCAGAGAGTGCCCTCTTCAGAAAAAACTTTGTCGGCCATTGTTCGGCAGCGACGACCAATCGTGTTTGAATCTAAATTTATGCTCAAACTGCACTCAAAGGCAGGTTTGTTTATGTTCGTGCAGATCCTTCGTCGTGTTCGAGACTGTTTCAACAGAAAAATCTCCTTGACAAGTAATTCAGAATGTAAATATTTAACGGTGGGCCTAGTGGTAAAAGCAAACATATATGTAAGAGAGCACAAAAAAAGCTTTCAGAAAGTATGCGTAGTCGATCGCAAGCAGCAAATCTTTAGGAGAACGGTCGCTCTGAAAATGCACTTACAGAAACTTCTACTGATTTTTTATGATCTAAAAGAAAGAGTTCTTTTGGCAAAAAATAGTATTCATTAGTATTGCTCCGTTTTTGCATTTTATTTGTTTAAAAAAAGAGAAGAAACTGGCTATATGGACAAAATAGCTGGTATACGCGCGCAGAAACAAACGAGATAGCGCTTAGTCACTTGAAAATCTTCTCAAATATGATTTGCGAACTTCATCGCAGATGCCGCTTTATTTCGCTCACATCACATCAAATGCCAAATGTTCGTCATATAGTGCGCCGCATTTGTTCAACCGATTCTGAAAGTTTGCGGGTCTAGTTAAAGGCAGCGTCCATGCAAATCTGGACATATGGGGATCTCACGTAAGTAATTTTGGGGCCCTAACTAAGCCACTGCCCAGCCAGCAGCTCAGATAGTGCTCTAATGGCTGAGATATTCCCCTCGACTGGAACTCAGGATCGCATTTCGCATGGATTCATGGCGCAACCGTGGGTCCCCGCGCGAAACAGCCATGAATCCATGCGAAAAACGATCCTGGGGTCCAGTTTGGGGGCGTAGATCTCAGCCCTTAGTGAGTCACCTGCGCTGCTGCTTGGGCAGTGCTTTAGTTAGGGCCCCAAAATTACTTTCCACTAAAATACCCATGGGTCCAGATTTGCCTGGACGCTGCCTTCAAGCGCTTCTGAGAAATAGAAAATTTTCTCGCAAATGCTTGATATGAGCTACGTTGGAAACACTGGTAGATAAAAAATCACTCCAACTTAGCCAAAACTCAACGCTTTGCTTGTTTTAGCGTTCCCCAAGCGGCTTTTTCAAAATGGATGAATTATAAGCGGAAATGTTTATGAAGAATGTACCGTAACTAAAAAACCCACCATGATATCAATGATCTTTTCTTTTGTAAATTCGTACAAATGTTCGATTGCCGTAGGTGGTTCAGGGACTCTATAATAAGAACCATCACCATTATATTATAGTCAAAGTATGCAGAAAGACAAACCTCATTCCTCGTTGTTCCTTGAACTTGAATAGTGCAAAATTCGTCAAAGATCTTACATCTTTCGCCGACTCCTTGTATCGATACATTTTTCCACGATGGAATCTAGGGTAGCTTTTCAGTAACGTTCAACAATTCATAAATAGCGTTAGCGTACAGTAAAAATGTTGGACAGTCGTTCTCGTCAATATGGAAACGGTCAGTGACGTCATCGTTGACAGAAGTCTCAACTTTTCCCACATGAACCAGCCCGCGTAATCTGAAATATCATGACTTATAATAACGGGCTAAGGATGTTTACGTGACTTTGTGTGTGTGTTTGTGTGTCTGTTACGAAATTCGTGGAGCGTGTTCCAGCCAGCGTTTTAAGCCCAAATTTTGTATAGCGCATGCTACCTTCGTGAAAGTCCAACATGCAAAAGCACGAGTACATTCGTTGAGTGGATCCCTCAGAAATTGCGCGCCGAACGGGTCCACCTGGCTTCTGTACCGCAAAATTCGGTCCGTATCACCACTTTTGGCAGAGTCGTGGATGAGTTTGGTAAGCAAATGTGCAAGCGATGGAGTTTAGCCAGAAAAGTGGTCGAAAGTTTACTACGTAACGAAAACGGCGCCAAAACGAATTGGTTGTGTAAATAGTCAAGTTTCCAAGGTTCTAGCTAAGCGTTTGAAGGCAGTGTCCGGGCAAAAAATCGATTTTGAGATTTTGTGCTTACCCGGGCCTATTCGCTACGCTGAATCCAAATATGCACATTGGAGAGCTCGAAAACGGCGAAAAACGGCTCTAACACGACAGGGAAATCAGCAGGTGGGCGGGGTCTTCCCCACTGCGGATTCACGCTCCAAGCTTCAGGAGCGATCTTCTCGGTCCCAATTTCAAGTCATGCGTTTGCACCTGGCCTGTGGAGATCTCAGAGGGATAGTGGAGTTGAGAAAATCGCTTCAGAAGCCGGGACCGCGAAAATCACAGTGGGGAGGACCCCGCCCACTTCTGATTTCTCTCCTGCATTAGAGCCCTTTTTCGCCGTTTTCGAACTCTCTAATGCGCATTTTCGGATTCAGCTTAGCGAACAGGCCCGGGTAAGCACAAAATCTCAAAATCGAGTTTTTGCCCGGACACTGCCTTTGAGAAGATTTTCGCACAGAGATGTAGCTCACGGTTATCATTACCTTTACGGCGACTACCAAGTTATGACAAATCCAAAACCTATTCAAATTTGCGTCTGTCTTCCTGCGAAAAGTTTCATCCACGCGAAATCACCGATCTCACGTGAAAAGACTTTCTAAATGAGTGGTTGTTTACATTTTATTCGTGGTAGTCGGCATAGCGCGGTGAGTTCCAGTGCCACGATTTTACGAGAATGAGTAAGGCACATAGATAGTAGAGCCAGTGCGAACCTCTGCGAAGCAGAGGTGACGCATTGGTTAGAATAATATAGCTACAAAAGAAGACATTCCATTATTTGCTTAGAAATTAAGGCTGACCGTAGCTTAGAGAAAATAACCATGATTCAACTGGCTTAGCGGCTGGAAGGCGGGGCTTTTTGACCTAATCAAGGCCGCCGCTAGCGCCCGCGACGCAATCTGTGTCTCTCTCGCGGGCATGCTCTCTGATCGTTATCTAGCCCTGATTAGGTCACGAAGCCCCGCCTTTCAGTAGCCAAGCCAGTTGAATCGAAGGGTATATTCAAGGAATCGACCAATCGAAAGTCATGTCATTTTTTTAAGTGGTAGTTTACATGGTAGAGATATCTAGATAGATTTGGGCGAATGTCCACACTTTGTCGATCAGTGTATACCGTACACAGAAAGAAAAATACTATATAAATAAATTTGCGAGAGAATAATATTCGATTCTTTGAAGGTTGATTCTAGAATAAGTGGTATCTTTGCTGAGATTTCTAACATAAGCTTTTTACTTATTCAAAACAGGAAAGATCGGATGTAATTGGTTCAGTACTTTCTCTGCGAATGGCGAACATAGCCATATTTGTGACTAGTTGGCATCCCCGGTCCTGCACGGGAAGCGGGCTCTAATGCCCGGTGGAAGGCAATAGAATCCAAAAGCGTCAAGACTCATCTTCCTTATACACATCTGAAGAAGCGCTTCCGCGACATATCCCGCTGACTCGAAGAACCGGATCCTCCTCTCCGCAAAATGTAAATGATCTTTACCGTCCCCGCTTACCCAACTATGATCAAGGAATGATTGGTAAGTTTATTCCCTACATGTGAGTAAACAAATCAATAAATCGATTGAAGGGCTCAGTGAATAGTCGCAAAAAGTAGCCCATCTTCTGCGCCTCGCCTCATTAATTGGGGAGCAAATTGCAGCCTCATCGGTTCACAAACAAAGGAGTCTATAAGCCACATACTTACATACGAACAAATTTACAGAGATTGAGTCTTATTTATATATAGATTAAGTCTATCAGTAGTGGAATCATCGCGATCGAAAGCGGATCAGGAAATCTGAAGATTTACTAGACTTACTTGTGTGCAACTGTTTCCCATAATGGAATGAAGGAGTTGCATGCGCTCTCGTCAGCATCATAACTAAAAAGTAATAATTATCAAGTGCCTCCTATCAGATAGGAGCCTGAGTGATTACAGAAAGTTAGAAGTATCAAACTCACAACATGACAAACCAGTCGAGAGTACCCTCATCTGGTGAATGCGAATCAGTTCGAGACTCAAAGTTGTCATCGGTTAGATCCCAAGTGACAACTTCTTCGTGCGATCGTAACCATCGTAATACTTCCTCCGAGTCCTTGAATTCACCTAAAAAATGAGGACTCTTCACGACTTCTACTATTCCAAGTCACACATCAAAAAGAAAGCTATTGTGAACACTTGGTTTCTCAAGAGCTCGGTCAGGGACATCATGCTGATACTGACAGAACATTTCGAAAAACGATATGATCGAGACTGCAAACTAGATCAAATTAGATCCAGTGAGAGCAGAAAAAAATAAGATAAATTTGTATTCAATGTTCAATGTCCAATATTCAGACGATTCAGAAATAATATTCAGAACGTTCAGAATATTCAGAAATATTCAGACGAGATCTTGGGCGGCACGACAATGGTCGCACTGTAAAGCTACAGTATACCTCCAAGACAATCGCAACTGTATCACAAATATATACAGGGTGTCCCAAAAAATGTATCGAACGTTTGATCGTTAATATCTCTCTTCCCAAAAAGTCTTTTGCCTTGCTTCAGGTACCTTTTTGTAGAGCTGGCTTCAACTCTTAGATTTGCATTATGAAACGAATCACCCATCTCTCTTCATTACTGTAGGATTACGGTAGAAACTTGAAACATATGGTGTCAATGTGGAAAAAGCTGCCAATTCAAAATTTTTCAAAAAAGTGTGAAAACTTGTGTATTGGGGTTTTTATGGACGCTGAGTTCAATACTCAACTATTCTCAAGATTACGAAGCTTTCTAAAGGTGGAACCGTACTTTTTAGGAACATTGAGAAAATGGCCGCTACCTCTTACCTAACATAACTCTTCAATGAAGCATCATAATAAATTGAGAACTTTAAGTTATAATCAGCAACTCTAATTAGCCTAGTGTAAAAGTTTTCAGGCTGTTTTGTTTCCTTTCTGGGCAAAATATGGCCTTTCATTGCTTAAAACCCTCTTTGAAGTTTCTACCGTAATCCTACAGTAATGAAGCGAGATGGGTGATTCGTTCTATATTGCAAATCTAAGTTGAAGCTAGCTCTACAAAACGATACCTGAAGCAAAGCAAAAGATTTCTTTGGAAGAGAGATATTAACGATCAGACGTTCGATACATTTTTTGGGACACCCTGTATTTTGTACATGGCATTCCAGCTGATCTCCGATAATGCTTTCAATATAAAAAGTTTGTGAACCCATTGTCAAAATCAAATTTGTGTTCTCATCGTGCAAAATTGTATTTGCAGTTTCAAAGGAATGGAAGAAATGAAAAGAAAAGAAAAGGAAGCGTTAAGGTGGAGTGGGTTTTCGACGAAAATCCGATGCAATTGGAAAAAATGATGTCTAGAATGTAACCAAAAGCTATCGGCAGAAAAATTGAACGCGATACTAATGATCAGCTGTTGTCTCAATACCAATGTAAATCACGATAAGAACGAACCATCATACAAAATTGGATTTTTTCTCCGATAATAGACGAGCGACGGGAAGGTGACGATTCCAAGATCTCTTGCGACTGAGCGGTCGTCTGTCTTCACAACCTAAAAACCTTGCTCAATGAGTTTTGAAGAATTCTCATAGACTATTAGCTGAAAATCCGGTGCCTTTAGAAACATTATGGTATGTAAACTTACCTGGACATAACCAGTGGCTTCAATGTCGTCGTCGATTTCTTCCACCTCGGACAACGCCTCTCCACAAGACGGACATTGAGCTCGGCCATCATCTAAACAATTCAATTTGTGTAAAACAATCACCAGGCAAACGTTCTTGAACTGAAATATATTGGAAAAGTGCTTACAGAAAAAGATAACGAGATTTTTAGTGGCATCTCGCAATATCTCATCAATTTTGTCCTCATCAACATCATCGATAGAATTATCGTCCTCATGCTGCGGTTCTTCTACTGCCTTGCCACTTTTCTGGAAGAGTAGTGTAAGAAACATTTCTGATAAAACAATGGAAATTCTTGGCAGTAGTTTCTTCATATGATTCTCAGTCGTTAAATTTTGTTGCACTTCATTTTGTTCAAAAATTCTGTATAGTGCGCATATTCTTACTAAAGAAATGGGAACAATGCATCAATAACTCGAAGAGAAGAACATACGATAATCAACTCATCCCTGATGTCAGTTCAGTCAACAAATTCATTTCTGACAATAATGATAATCTCAAGGTAATATTTTACTATTCAAGATACCCACAAAAAAAACTTTCCCTCTGGAGGAAATAGATAAGCTTTGTGAAAACAACTTTTTATTTGTAGCACAGCTTCGCACATTAACACATTCAGAATATATTGAATTATTTTTGGCCCGCTAAATTTTTACAAAAGAAAATTAAGACTGAAGTTTTCGTTAGGGTCCTATGAACTTCTTGGGAAGATGATCAAGCTTTCTCATTCATAAACTCAGTCTGCTAAGCTGTAACCCCTCTTCCCTTGCGCAAAATAATCTGGAACCTATACTCGAATGGCACGTGAAGGCTCAAACGAGTTGAGATCACTCTTTACTATGAAGCAGTAATGTCAAACTTCAAGCAAAATCGTATATCAAAATAAGTCTTTGATTTTAGATCAGAGCAGTTCGTCAAAAAAGATTCCAGTATTTTCAAGCACGAAAAGGTACTTGTCGAAAAACTTCTTCGAGAAATAAGGATTTTTAAAGCAAAACTCAAAAACTGGACTCGTCTATAATCCTGACATATAAAATTGTCTATAAACATGAGCTAGTAATGGCTATACTATTTGGACTTCTCCTTAGCTGCCTAGCCGTCTTACTATATACATGGTGTCCCAAAAGTGTACACACTTTTCAATCGTCAAAATCTCTCTTACCAACGGGTCCTTTTGCCAGTCAAGTATCATTCTGTAGAAGAGGCTTCAACTCAGATTTACAGTATAGATCGAATCATAGATCGCCCTTCATTACTGTAGGATTGCGGTAAGAACTTTCAGCATGCGGTACCACTGTGAAATATGCCATCTGACAAAATTTTTTAAAAATAGTCTGAAAAATCCTGTACTAGAGTTTTCGCGCACGCTGATTTGACTGCACAACTTTTTACTCTTGTTTTCGGCTTTTTTTTTGACGGTGTAATCACATTTCTGACGAATACTGCAAATTCGGTTAACACGCTTTACCTGGGATAACTTTGGAAAGAAGCATCAAGTAAAGTGGAAATTTCATATTCGAAATCAGCGGCTTCCATTACCATAGTATATAAGTTTTTGGCTTGTTTGGTTTTGCGAAACAGAATATGGTTTCCAATGGCCTAAAATCCTTGTAGAAGTTCCTACAGTAAACCTACAGTAATGAAGAGCGACCGGTGATTCGTTCCACATTGTAGATCTAAGTTGAAGCATTTTCTACAGAAAGTCACTCGAACGACGGAAAAGTGCACAATGGGAAGAGAGGTATTAACGATTGAATAGTTGTACTTACTTTTGGGACACCCTGTATGTCGATCTGCACAGTGCATTATTATAGTTGCGCATTCTTGGCGTAATAGTTCGAAGTACCAGCGCAAATTTTCTTGAATACAATTTGCAATGAAGCACCCTCAATTTTAATGAATGCACGTACAAGCACTCGTCAGAAACCTGTTTCTAGGAAAAAAGGCTTACTTGGTTTCAGCAGCACTGAATTGGATTTATTTCATGTATGCGTTCTACATCTCTAGTGTGTCAAAATCTTGGGATAACGTCATGGACTAAAGAAAACTGCTGGAGTCATTTCCTTCGAAGCAACTGTTCCGACGTTTCGCCTCATTATTGAACGCGTCAGTCGTTGAATGCACGTACTGAATCGCCTTTTTTTTCGTTATCCAACGCAAACATCAAGAGACATTGACATAAAGCTGTTTTTCAAAACTGAGCTTTAAGTATGACTGACATTTTGCATGAGCTGCGCCCTCGCGAAAGTTTAGTCAAGATTTCATCTTCCCTTAGGATCGAAAAATATGCAAGTCACTCGCAATGCGCACTCGTACGTCAATACTGAAACAAGTTCGAGCCGAGGGAGGGCGTAGAGAACATGAAAGAAGCGACAAAGCTCGAAAAACAAATATTGACAGCTATCCAAGCAGACATTGCCGGATCACTGCTTTGCCATCGAAAACTTTAGCGCAAAGTATAACATTGCATTTTGCAGAGGAAAGTATAGAAAGATAGGATTGCCAATGTAAAGCAACCATGACAAGCTTTGTTGGATTACTCAAGGCTAGAATTGAAAATTTTGTTTACTCGCTTTTTCACCAACCTTCTACATATTTATCATACAACTTAGTCAATAATTGGTGCAAAATATGAAAAAAAATGCAGACTACTCCTTTTTCATCAAACACTACAATACAGCTGACTTCCCCGAGTCACAAGGATACCATTAAATTCAAAGACATGACAACACAAGAACAAACGATTTTACAGCGACTGATGTAAGAAAAGCTTCATGCTCAATATTTTTGCGAACTTAACATAAATTCATAATTTTCGAAAAATAAGACTGGAATTTCTGTAACAAATGAGCAGGTCGGCTTTCTAAGTTGCACAAAGAGGAAGAGGGAATGAGTTACAAAAATTTCATAGTTTTTCAGCTTCTTGAAGCGCAAATGACATGACATGATATATGCGTAATTTTCATGCAGTAGAAAAATTCACTCCCAAATATGCATAATGATATTTTGCCTGTCTGGGGTTCCAATCAAAAGTATCTCTTGCATAAAATAAGTGATACGTTCGTTCTGAATAGACATAAAAATATACATCATCGAGAAATCTGTTCGATAGCAAAGAAAATTTCCTCACTAATTCCTCCAACTATAGAAGAAAGAAATCCTGTTAAATTCACTGTACCTTTTGACCTGGCGCCGATTTAGCTGATGCGGCTTTCTTCGGTAACGGAATATCATCTGCTACCGTAACCTTCACATTCTGGTTCTTCTTTCGTGCATCAACCCATGTTTGACAGAAGAAAAATGTGACAACAAGCAACCAGATTACCCGCATTCAGACGTCGAAGATCAAAGTCGATGGATCGATATATAAGGAATAAAAAGAGCAGGCCGAGCCCGTTGGCGTTGCGGCAGGGCAGGCGTGTGGGCACGCATCGGCACATATTACAACCTCCCCTCGCTTACATCTCTGCGTCCTCTTAGCCCCCTATTCAACATCGAAAACACTGGCCAGGTGCGGAGCTCAGTGGCTCATTGCTTTGATGTTGACACCACTTAGCGGAAAGAACTTTATCAAACTTCAAATTAGAACTACGTACATTGTAGATGCACCAAATTCTTGACATCGAGCATCGCTGGGAGCAGCAACCAGTCATATAACAGATAAATGAGACAAGACAAACACAGAGAGGAACACGCCTCCTAATAACCATAAGATCGCAAAAATTTATAGCCTAACAAAAAAAGAAAGCATATATTAATTAACATAAAAGGATGAGTATTCCTATCTGTGCCGCCTTTCTCGACTGGAGCTTCTATCCCGTCGACGCTCGTCGCTGTGCTCTCTACGATGGCGTTTTCTGTCGGAGGAACGGCTGCGCTTGCGACCGCGAGATTTACTGCGTTTTCGCTCACGAGAACGACTTCGCTTGCGACTGCGTTCCCCTGACCTGCTGCGACGCCGCTCGCGACTCCTACTCCTCTTCCGATCCCGAGAGCGACTCCTTTTCCTTTTCTCCCTGGAATAAAAAGCTTGAGCAAAATTTCATTGATCAAATATTCACAAACCGACAATTATTAAGCATAAATCTGACAATATAATGGAGTGGTAAAATTTTACTTAGTACTCTAACATGTCTAGCATTCTTGCACCACAAATGCTGAGCAAAATGACAATTATTGTCAGCGATAGTTTTACCAGCGCTACTGCACATTAGTTGACCCAAAATGAAAAACGTGGATTTGGCCAAAACTTCGTCCAGGGAGGGGGGGGGAGGGATATTGATTTTGCACGGTCCAAATCAAATTCAATTTGCACAGAATGCCATCTAGTAGAGTACAGTAGGACTACGGTGGGAGGTAATCCGCGATTTCGAACCCTACCATGATCCCTACCGTAGCTCCAAAAGACGACACCACCATGCAGAATTGATACGATATTCGTAATCAGCGTGCACAACAACTTCATACCCCCCCCCCTAAAGGAAGCTTCAGCGAAATCCACGATATTCACGATATTCAATCCACGATCTTGGATCAACCACAATGAAATACTACCGTTTTTTTTAAGTCTTGATGAAACCGCAAAAGTTGAGACTTTCTCATTTCCTTATCATTTTTGACAATCTCTAGCAGTCGTTAATTTTTGTTCTAAGAAGACAAAAAGTTTCAAAAATATTGAAACAAGAACACTACAATTTTGATTTTGATAATCTCGGAAGCATATGAAAACAAACCATGAAACACAAAAGACAAGTAGAAGTCACCTGCTACGAGATCGACTTCGCTTTCGCCGTTTTGACTCCGACTCGTCGGAGTTTTTGCTATTGCCTCCGCTTTTTTCAGATTCATCACTAATTTTACCTAAAAAAAATTCGCAGTGTTTTACAGAACGTACTTTTTCTTACAGTGTCACCTGTACGACGCGAGCCTACTTCAGCAGCATCTTTCTCATCTGCTTTCGAAGACGAATCTAAAACGTATTTGTCGATGATGCACAGAGAAAAGCGGGCTCAGTGAAGCGGTTAATGCAATGCTTTCATTCATGAGAAAGTCGACGAAACTCAGCGCTCCCAATATGCTCCAAACAACATACCTTGTGCATTGGTCGTTTGCTTACTACTCTTTCGAGGCAACCCTAGAGGAGCTTTGAATGCGCCAACATCCTCGCTTGACTCACTCGATGGTGTTGTCGCCTCATCTGCGAGAGTTTTGCCGTTTCCTTTTGCATCACCATTATCGCTCTCGTCATCGCTTTCGTCGCCACCGCCTGTCATTTACTGGCTATCGTGCAGTACCGAAAGGGAAACCAGCAAGAGAAAAAAGAAAATTGCTGTCTACTTGCTCTTGATAGACATGAGTTTGGTAAACGCCATGTAATACATAAGTTTTCATGATTTTTATCTGTAATTATGACAACAATGGGAACAATCAAAAGATCGCAAAAGAATGGAGCGCGAATTTCGCGCAACAGTCTGCAAAAAAATCTAGCGTGTCTAAATTTGACTTCTTTTGGATTGAAGCTAGCCTGAAAGCGCGAAATTCGCGCGTAACATCCACAATGTTCGAAGAAATAAATCAATACTCGTAAGAAAAGATGTGCTACAAAATCCTTATACTCGTGTATTATATCCAAAATTCTCAAAATCATATGAGGAAAGCTTACCGAGACTTGACAAAGCCGCCAATGCGGAACTCTTCGCAAGTAGCTTTGGCTCAGCTAAACGGAGTATTTAGAAATAAGTAATAGTAGCGTTTAAACCTGATAATGTAAGACCCGTACTCCCTGTAATACTCCTATGGAGTCAACCTGTGAAGTGCTAAACATGGATAAGTATTGACTATAAACTATAAAACATGGAAAAACTGCAGCTTTGCAACGAAATGGTCTTAAGCAGTCGCAGAAACTGTGGAGAAGTAGACAAATGTCTTCGTCGGACCTTCATGTTTTGCCTCGCGAAGTGCATCCGTAATACTAGTTCGAAGCGACTCATCCGTAGCTTCCATGAGTAAAGCCATCATTATATATCTCACTGCGACCATCTATAAGTAAGATGAGTGTTTTTGCGAAGCATTCTCGACAACTGAATGACTTACGGCATCGTCTTTCCTTTCCTCCTCCGTTCGCAGATCTTCGATTACAGGTGCACGTCGTTTTGCTCGGAATACTGGTTCACCATCGTCTTCTTCAGCAACATTAGATTGCCTAGACCTTGAGCGCGACCGTTCATCGTCTGCCTGTCCTTCATCCTCATCTTCGCTACTGCTATCCTACATTATTGCAAGGATTATGCTAGGCTTTTCAAAAAATAAGAGTGTGAGATGTAAAGCAAGGGTAAAACGAAAATTATGAAAATCAGAAACAAAAAAAAACGCGTACAAATCTTCCTTTGCCAGCGAGAGCTCTTCGTTTGGCACGTTCTTCTTCAGCTAATCTCATGCGTTCTTCTTTCTCTAGTTGTTTCAGCTTCTCTCGCTCTGCTTTTTCAAGCCCTTCGAGTATCCAGGCGGGTAATTTCTTTCTTGCGTTCGCATCTGCAGAGGAAAGATAGAGTTGCGACCATCAAAGCACTTCAAAAATATTGATACCTATACTGAAGAATGGAGCAGGTGGCGGTGTTGCTTGACTAGGCCCTGGCTGCTGTGGAGGTGCTGAATTAGGGCCAGCTGATGAGAATGGTGGGGGAACGTATTGCTGTTGTGAGTACCACGACGGCCCTGGGGGTGGAGGACCCCCAGGGTGTGGTGGACCCCCAGGGTGTGGAGGACCCCCAGTGTGTGGAGGACCACCAGGATGTGGTGGACCAGCGGGATGTGGTGGAACAGCTGCCACTGGCGGACCTCCAGCATGTGGTGGACCGGACGGGATCGGTGGACCGCCAGGATGTGGTGGAAATCCTGGAGGTGGCAGTGAATGGGAGGGTGGTCTCACAGGTGGGATGGGACCGACAGGCGGCGGTGGACCATGTCGGGAAGGTCCAGGTAGCGGAGGAGGTCCTCCAGGCGGGGTCCCCCAGTTTCTGCCAGGAGGTGGCCCAGGTGGTCTATCAGGCTGGTGATATTGATTGAATGGTGGCGCAGGCTGAATTGAAATGTATGATCACTCTACTTCGAAAAAAAGAACGTTAACAATCACTGGTCTGTGGTAGTCTCCATGAGGCGGCGTATGAAGTGGATCCATGAAAGGCGGTGTGGGTGCGCCTCCCCACTGACCTCGATAGCCGTCATGAAAGTCCTAAAACGGATAGAATACTAAGTGCATATGGATAAAAAAGCACTCACACTGCCACTATCGCTTTTTGTCTGTGCGGCAGATGGAAATATGGGACGCTTCGGTCCGGAATTTGACCAATCATCTGAAGTGGAATAATGAAAGAGACAAAAATAGTTAAAACACATCAAATTCGTGAAGGAGGAGACGCAAGCAGACCACGATGTCTCGTCAAAATTTAGGTCTCACTATCAAAATTTTTGCCTGATTACAGACCTTTTTCTGACCCTTACAACCCCATGTGAGTTCAAGCATGATTTCCAAAGAGTACAAGGTTAGGAAAAAACTGCTTTCGAAGACGGTTCCAGCAATGAACCCACGTCAAAGCCATCCTACAAGCTTTCAGCACTGTAGACCAACTATGAAGCAACATGGAACCCAACGCGATCATACGCAGACTTAATAAAAATGAGCTAGTTTTCTTGTCTTTATCAAACGGCGCTCATTCAAGCTCATTCGAGGGCAGTGTTGACATATGAATGAAAAACGATAAGTGGGCAATTCAAATGCATCAAATCCCGAAGTTGGTAAGCGCTCTTCTCTAACAAATCGGGCGAAAGATGGCTTCACCTTGCAGCAGAGAACAATTAGGAAGCCACATTGGAGTTGCATAAGACTACACAGCTGTGGTATGACTTCATTTGAAACACTGAAGGTTGCACAAAGAGGAAACAATGAAAACATTATTATTTCCTACCAACCTAAGCAGACTTATCGACTTTATCTTTCCAGCAAACTGAGTAGGAAAAAAACACTGGATGAAATTATGAAGCTATTCTCCCCAGTGAATCTCCACTTTTCGCTTAAGGAACAGTAAATGAACAGCCAACTACTGGAAACTAACCGTGCTTTACTCGTCAGGGTCAAGGTATGAGATATCTTCTCACAAATTTGTGGCGAGATTTAAGGTTTCAAAGTCTAGAACATGGGAATTTTCAAAACCTCACAAAATGACTGAGTAGCTCAGCAGGCCATGCTAACAATGGAAAATACTAAAAAGTACCAAAAATTTCGAAACGCTTCATGGATGAAAACGCAGCTGGTTACAAATGTGTTCATTGAAAAAAGGTATGAAGCGATGAATATGAAAGAAGAATCACGACAGAGGTAAGTTAGGTCAAAAGAGAATAGAAAAAGTGAACGAGTAAGTTCCACCTACCTTGTGGATGCGCTTCATTCCTTCCATAGTCGTGTTGACCTCTATCTCCATAATCATGATGATTCCTTTCAGGAGGACCTCTGCCGAAGCCGTGATCTGGTGGCCCAGGATGATGCATAGGAGGTGGCATTCCACGCCCGTAACCGTCATAAGAGTTGTTGCGGCCATACTGAGGTGGACCATTCTCTCGCCCGTAATGTCCGCTATCATACCCATTCATGTGTTCGTTTCCATGTGGGTGATCTGGACCTTCTTGCGCGGAACGCATAGCCATCCATCTTTGCGCCAAGTCCGCCCAGTTCACTAAAATAAATTTTCCCCAATAATGATGATATGGCGTGTCGCTGTTCCTATTGAAATGCATCAATTCCGCATTCTTCTGAAAAGTTAGCTCAAATAGGCAGTAAAGTATATGACATTTTTTCTAGAATCAAATCAACCAATACCCATTTCAAAACCGGCTTTTCAACCTCAATAGAGGCTAGCATCAGCATCTCACAAAAACTGCATAACAACCCCACGTTTCAATGTTTGAGCACGGATTGCTTCTCCACTTCGAATCACTGTGAAAACACTGACGTGCGAATACAATGGAAAGTTTGCTCACTTCCCATGCGGTTGAGAGAATCAAAATGAAAGAGTACCGTACTACTCGAACGTCATGTCAATAAGATACTTGACAAGCCAGCTTTCGACATTTCTTGACGGTTCCAACTAATTTCAGTGTGCTATTTTGAATGTACTCATGCTCAGTTGTTGCACTTTCTCTCGACACAAACATTCGATTGAAAAAAAAAACAATTCTAAGAGATTTTTGCGACAAGTCACGCAAGTGGCTCTTCGGTTTGTTAAGACAAGAAAAACAAATACCTTGCTCCGGCGGCATGTTCTGATATCCGCTCCAAGGATCCATAGTGGATTCCTGATTTCGTTGCAAGTTTTGATAGGCCTATGAATCTTGCTGAAAAAATAACACTTGTAAGAACCTGGACACCGAATGGCCAATATTTACGACGGATGGACATGATATGGTTGAATAAAAGAAAAATCATTTGCTCGACCCTGCTACTTGGACTGCATTATTTGTTGTAATGCTTTAACTGACATCTTCTCTCGCGAACCTCGCTTAATGCGGAATTAGGCGAGTTGCCGTTGCGCAGATGGCAAATAAAGTCCGCCATAATCTCGTGTCGAAGCGCCGCGTCAAACTACCGTCGCAACGACCGCCTCTTTACTCATTTCGTTAGCCGAACTAGTGTCCTTTCGACAGGATAAGCTGTTTGCCTCGTTTTTCATCATGTTTCATCTCAACAAGTCTTGGAATTCCCATTCTTCTTCCACACTAAACCTCTTTGTCGCATTTTTCTCTTTTTTTCTGATGCAAACATTAGTCGACTTCTGCAATGTGCAGAAAGCGGAATTACTGAAACTGCAAAATTGCTTGATAAAATTGTTTTGACCCACAAGCACCCGACGTACAGCTCAACGTAGCGTTTTGATGGCTAGAAAACCCGAAAAACCATGCAGTGACATAAATGTTCAACAAATTCGTTGACGCTCCCAAATGTCTGCAATGCTCCACATTATTTAAATCTGGAAATCGATGACACATCATTCGGGAGAGAGAAGGGTACTGTTAGAACCAGCTTTATATCCAGTGCTCTAGAAATCTGGATTTCCCGCCGCTTCCATCCTCAAGTAACTTCACTACCATTCACTCACTGGCACTCTCAGGACCGCCGTCCAGATTGGGAGGAGGGGGGGGGGGGGATCAGCCATGCACTCGTAAAAAAAATTCCGGGATTCTTCCTAAAGATTTTGAGGCTCCGTGACGATAACCACGTTTCCGGGAAAATTTTTCTCGCAAATCTAACAACATTTTAAAAATTTTCAAGAATCATTTTGATTACTTACAGATAACAAGTCACTTGCACATTTTTATGACTCATGTCATCGGGCCCAAATTCGTGAGGAGACAGGTTACGGACTTTCCCTGATTATAAGGATAAACTTGTACCTCCACATTACAGCATTGTTTTTCGTACTCTCTCATTAACTTTATCCTCATAAACAGGGACAGTCCGAAACTCGCCTCCACACGAATCTGGAAGCCGATCACCTCCAACATTTTCATAGTGAGGAGTAATAGACCATTTGAAGTTAAATGGAATAGAACCTTTGTTTGATTAGGGCCCTGCACTTTGAGGCATATGTCTGCATGTGGCTCTAAGAAAGTGAGAAATCACATGACTCATCTTTGCAACTGATCAAAAAACATTCATAGCGATTGTGCAAACTTCGAACAAAAGTATCAAAATTTGTAGCGCTCAGTCCATTTTAACGGAGTGTTTGGAAAAAAAAGTGCAACAAATGCGGGAATATAACAAAAGAACACAATTTCTCATCTAAGAACACTTCAATAGGTGCGCGGTAAAAAAACTTGGTAGCTTCAACTGTGATTGAAGTTCGCGAACATCAAATAATGGTTCAATGCATGCACATTTTAGTGATGGAAGTGCATGATATAAAAATAGAATTTACGAAGGAAAAAATAGACAGCGACGCTAGCTCCGCTCGGGTACTCAAAGCTTTCCCTGCACAATTACTTCCGCGCATGTTTTTTACATTCACGTGCCACGCACCTGGTGCGTTTTTTCCAATGCCTGCCTGGAAAATGGGCTTTGTGATGAAGAGATAGTCGAGATTTAGCGATGGGCACAAGCATATCGATTAGACTAGGGATAAACTCATTTGAACTCAACACTGTAATTCTAGATTTCAATGGTATGAGTGCACTTGCACTTTGAATCACACGTGCGCGTAAAAAGACCATGGAGCGGACAGCCACAGACAACTGCCTTCATCAATGGACTAATTACTTGCTTAAGTGCTAATAGAATTGTTGCTTGTTACCTACTCCATTTTAAAAAAAGGAAACAGAAGAAGGTCATATCTGGAGGATAACTCGCTGGTTTCTACGCGCATATGTTGTTGGCAGTACAAATGCACTATATTCCCGTCAAAATGCCATGCACTACATAGCGATGAATGACGGGATCCAAAATCAGTGGAAAAGGTTGAAAATAAGGCCCAAAATACATTTCAGCCCAAAAGGATAGATATATTGCAACGTAAATGGACTGGACTCTGACCAATCATCAGCGAATTTTTTTACCCAGAAGTGTTCGGCATGAAAACCACAAAAATGAACCATTCAACTAGAGAGATGAACCTTTGAATGAAGTCTCAACTAGATAAGATTTCAAAACAGTGGCCGTATTCATCATTGACACCTTGAGGTAAATTCTACCTCAAGGTAGTTTTGTCACTCATTATCAGCAAGCACCCTTACTCACAAAGTACTTTGAGGTAAATTCTCAAAATAATTTAGCTGTTAATGAGTGATAAAACTACCTGGAGGTAGAATTTACCTCAAGGTATCAATGATGGATACGGCCACAGGTTTACAGAATTCGATATTGGTTGCCAATCGTACTACTTGTTGTGAGTCAACGCTGAGATGTGCAAACATTTTCTTTTGACAAAACCTATGTCGATGAAGAAAAGAAAGTAGCACTCAGAATGTACATAAACGAGCCATTCTTTTCATTTGATTTCAGTTTTGCTCCCTACATTCCAAATTGTTTCTCAGCGTATAGGTATTCATTTTCCCATGTTCGATAATGTCAACCAGCTCAATGCCATTACATAAACAGCGCGTGATGCAGAACATTCTGACGCAAAAATGCCAGAAGCACAGCTGGAATGACTAATGACCTGTTAAGAGATTATATATAAGGGTGTAAAGCTATACGAAAAATGTTCTATGACTATTCTTAGGGCTTTATTTTGTATTTTATTTTGTATATATTTTTGTCACTTCCAAAATTTGCACCTATGCTCATCACTCACTACTTGGTCCAGATTTTGCGTCCATTCGAACCTACTCAACTAATGATGGCGTTTTTTTCCTCATTTCATGTAAACCCTTCTACGACCGTATATGTGTAGAAGTATAATGCAACCAATACATAAAAGAAAAGGCAGAGATATACCCAGCACTACCTGTAGAAAAAACGCGAATTAGACTAGGATGATTTGCTTTCTGTCATAGTTACCGAGATTTTTTCACCAAAAAGTCTCTTATTTCACCTTGTAGATGCGCACTCCAGCAACCCATAAAGATCTCGCTTGGAAATTACGTGGATGAGGAATGTACAAGGTTGGGGTAAGGATAAATGTACAGCTACGTAATCATTGCTAAAAAATTTGATTGCCGTCCAAGTAGGACAACACTAGTTAGTAGAAGGTAGAAGAATTAAATAATGCCACAGACAAATCCTTAGTAACTAGAACAAACGCCTTAAACCATCTGAGTTCTTTTATTACTCTAAACGATAGGATAGTATCTCCAAGAAATACCGACAAGATCGATAGAAGCACAGGACAACTGGTATTTCTCACAGCCCTGAAGCCCTCTCGATGGGTAAAATAATTGTATTTGTTTAGAGGACTTCTTTTAAAAGTTGTAATTTGGAAGAACACTAAAAGAGAGCAAGAAGGAAGAGTAGAATTGCATGAGAAGGTCAAAGCCTGTGCAGTAAGTAACATGCGAGTATGACCATCGCCTGCAGTGCCGTATCGATCGAGCCCAATTGGCGGAGCGCCGATACGCAGCTGCAACGTGCGGCGGCGGCGCGCCGACTTCGAGTGGGGCACGATAACCATGAGGTGTAGTGCATCCTTCAAAATTGTTGTTCCGATGGGTGTCATCAATGCCTTTCAATCGTTTTAACGTAATAGCCAGACTAGCTGAACGTCCTGCTTCAGCAGTACGCGGCGCAACCAGTAGACTGGTGTCATTCGGCGTCACGTTGGCAAAAGTCGTGGCGTCTACTGTGTTCGCAGCAACAGTAATTTTGGAGAGATGATAAGAAAACATCGAGTATGAGAGAATGATGAAAAGGCTTTACCACTAGAAAATGTTTGTTGTAGCGCAATCGCATACCAGACCTGATTTTCCTCCAACGTGACTCTTGATAACAGCGACTACGCAACATCCTGCTGAAGCAGGACGATCGGTTAGTCTGGCTCCTACCTAACACGTTATCTCCAACAAATTTAAGGCGCTAGTTTGAACTTTACATGTTGAAACGATCGAAAGGCAGCCTTGATAGTACCTACGGGAGCAATTCAGGGGATGCACCATGCTTTTTGGATGTCGTATTAGTATATAAAACGTTGGTGTAGGTATGCACAGTACGCTTGATTCGGGTGATGATGAGATAGACTATGTCGGTGGCTTCAGCTGCAGAGATCGGAAAAGTCTTCCTATCGTCTATTTCACGAGCGCTGCTATCCCTGCTTTTCTGCATCTCTAACCCTAATACGAATGGCTGACATGTTGGCAACATGCAACAATGGACCTGCTGCAATATGCTGGAAACCCGCAACGATGGCAACAACGTTGGCATGTTGCCAGCATGCCAGCGATTCATGCCGTAATTCAGAGACGCAGAGTAGGGGTGGCAGCTACAGTAATATCGGCACATGGCCTGCTGTGATAAGAGTAGGTTTACTGACCAGATGCTTATTGACATACCTTGCCACGCTTACCATAGTTATCATTCTATCAATGCACATACACATGTGCACGTTCTTTGACTCGATAAAGCTACTATAGCTAATGTGTTCTATATAACACACACCAAAAGGCGCTATTTTGCTTCAAGCTATTGTAAGCCTAAGAACCACCATTACACAGCAGCAATCGGCGTAGGGGACTCCAAGGTTTGGGTCAGGAGCAGGGTCAAGCTTAGGGTGTGGCACGCCACACCTGGGGGTCATACTGAGGGGTAATGGGGAAGGGTCGTCATCGGGGCGATAGTGTTGTTAGCGATAACATGATACTCATTAACTATAATACATATCATCGGCACCACGATTCGTGTAGAGGCGGGGTTTTGCCAACTCAAAGCGTGGCGGTTTTTGATAGCGAGAGAATACAAAAAACAATGCTATGACGTGGAGGTTTAACAAGTTTACCTGTGTTATCAGGCAAAGTCTGCAATACACCTCTACACGAATCGTGGAGACGATCATATATCAGATAGGCCCATTATGCATACTGCTAGCATGTTTTGGTCACCGTTGTATACGTACAGTGAGTATAACGAAGAAAACTCTGAAAGCACAAGAGAATCATTTTCGTAATATCTCCTCCATGACGAAGGCGGTCGCCCAAATAGGTTGACAGCATGCAAGGCTGACGCGCACGCGGCGCGCGGGCAATTGTCAACCACGGGTCGCGCGCACGCTCGCGTGAATGACCGCTGACCGAGCATGCGTGCGCCCTGTGGTTGACAATTGCGCGCGCGCCGCAGCTTTGCATGTTTTCAACCTATTTGGGCGACCGCCTTCGTCTTGGAGCAGATATTAATCAGCATGTTAATTAAAATAACCTCTGAGGGCGAAGTTCCAGCGAATTTCGAGGTCTTCAGATATTACTTACTTAGATACTTAGATGGCCCGGTTTCACGTGCGTGCGGGCCCCAGCTCAGAAGTTTCCATTTCCCTGTCCCCCGCTTCAGACATCTGCACGGGTTCTAGGTGCAAAAATCGTATCCACCTGATTTCTCAGCTGGTCCATCCTTTCCACGAACACGTCTGCCCCTCTCGTTGGAGGTCTTCCTCGGGGACGTTTTGCTTCACGAGGAATCCACTCCGATGTTCTTAGTGTCCATCTGTCATCTGTTCTTCTCATAATGTGACCGGCCCATCGATGCTTCGCTTTCGCAACGTAATCCGCTGGGTCACGAAGACGGGACAATCTCCTCATATCCGTACTGCGAAGTCCGACAAGATGTTGTTTGTCGGGTCATCTTCAGAAGACTACGCTCTAGCGCTCTGTGGGTGGTCCTTGAAGCTTTCGAAGTGGCTACTGTGTCAGCCCAAGTCTCAGCTGCGTAACAGAGCGTCGGGACAACGGTTGAGTCGAACAGGTGGGCATGAAGCTCCGGGTTCGTCAGTTGGTCGGTGGCTTCCTTCAGAGGCCGGCCCAGGCTGCTTTTCTTCTCCTGTTTAGTTCTTCCCTCAAGTCGTTCTCCATTTTCATCGAACGTCTAAGACACACGTAAGAAGACGTCTCCATGAAATGGGTACCTTCCAATCCCATTTCTGCATCTTCGCAAAGGGCGTTCTTCATGAATTGAATCTTCTTCCGATTTATTCGCAATCCGATCTTCTCCCCTACTTCGTTCAGTTCCTTCAGCATCGTCTCTGCTTCAGTGATACTACTCGAAAAGAGAACGATGTCGTCCGCAAAGCGAAGGTTTGACAGAAACCTCCCACCAACTCGTATGCCTCTCTCGTCCCAGTCCAGTGATTCATCAGGCACTGCAAGGCCGCGGTGAACAGCTTTGACGAGAATGTGTCGCCTTGTCGGACTCCCTTTCCAGTAATGGTCAGGGGCGATGGAATAGCTGCATCGTTGTTGCACAGTCCATATAGCAGTCGGCTAACGTCCTCACGTAAGTTGTGAGTCCATTCCTTGATGGAACTAGCGCGGACACGATGGCGTTGGTTTCGACGCTGTCAAAGGCTTTCTCGTAGTCGACGAAGGTTAGGACGAGAGGCAGTCGGTACTCCCGGCAGAATCTCGAAACCGTCTGGATGTGGTCCCAGCTGAATCCTTTGCGAAATCCAGCTTGTTTTTGGGGTTGGGCTTCATCCAGTGTCCTAGATATGCGGGCGAGGATAATCTTCGTGAAAAGCCTGTGCAGCACACTCAGCAGGCATAATGGACGGTAGTTCCGAAGATCTTCCCGTTCCCTTTTTGAAAAGAAGGACGGTTCTTGATGTTTTCCACTGGTCGGGAATCCTTTCCTTCTAAAGGTAAGATGGTAAGATGTTAGGTGCGATCGAGAATCTCGTGTAGACGTTGTCCTCCGGCTTGCAGTAATTCGTCTATAAACGCTTGCAGATGCACGACATCACTGCGGTTCATAGCTCCTCTCTGATCGCATTTCCATTTCTTTTATGTCTTGCTGCTTCTCGCAAACAAATTGTCTCAAAGACGCAACGCGCCCGGCTCGCATGCGGTGATTTGCCTTGATGTTGAGACAGTTTCAATATCATGAGCGGTGACGCGAAATGTAGACTTTTTCCAGGTAATAGGGCGCCTGTCAAATTCGCATTTGAGATGATGAAGTAGGCTTTGATTATGAATGTAGCACCGCTATGAATAATTGAGTTTGTGGACTATTTTTATCCCTATCTTGAGTAGGGCGTCATGGATTACGAAACCTTTACAAGCTTTACTCATGACCAGAAATCCCAGAAATCATTTATTTTTTGCATCGAGACTGTCGTTGTTGTTACGAATTTTCTGAAACAGTAGTAGTTTAGTTGCACATGCAAATATTATTTTCGCCCAGAATGTTCCATTTGAAATCGTTAAAGCCTTTCACAGGGCAATAAGAACGCAGTTCAGACTAAGTACTTTTGAATATTCAGATAATTCAGTATTTTGGAATGCTAGTGTCTTCGTAGGTTGCGCAGAAGATCCGGAATATACCAGAACAGCTTTTAATCAGTGGATGCTAAATTGCAATTATTGAAATAAGAGGGTGTGGCGCAATAAAGCCGTCTAAAACTTGTTACCGGACTAATTTGCATTCCATAGAAATTTGAAGATTTTTGCTATTCAAAGCTTTCTACCTCCCCATAAGGTCATTATTAGAGTCAAAATTTTTGGGCAAAAAGAGAGCATGAAATATGCACATTTGCTACGCCCCTCATCGCTTACAAATTTTTGGTAATTCTGAGTAAAATTCAAGGTTGAAGTAAATTGTTATTGACATGATGAGTTTAGCGGCTAATTCAGAAACCTGTTCTTTGAAGATTTTTTACTCAAACAAACGAACCCCCCTCTCGCAATCCCCTCTTCCCCTCCCCTATAAATTTTGCTAACCGACATTTCCCACCGATCCTCATTCCATGGAAACAGACGCACACATTGTTAACCTTTTGATGAGGTAACCAAGGCAGTAATTACTTGTGTGCTGCTTGATTTACTACAATTTTGCAATAAGGAATGCGACAGCAATGATGTATAATCAATAATCAATTTAGGTTTCCAATCAAACTGCGCACTTGAATGCTGTTGATGTCAAGTTATTGTGCAAATCTGTATGCTAAGTTGCGATATTGCCATTAGGTTGGAAAATTGCGTCAAGTTATTTGAAAATTCGCAGTTTCTTTTGGTTCTAATAGAAATGCGCTTTGTTACGGTCTAGAGGGATTAAATCGTTTACTCTATGCAATTTTTGACAACTTTGTCGACTTTGTTAGTATTTTTCTACTTTTGTTTTTTCAAATTTATTTTTCAATCTTGAAATTTGTTAAAATTGCAATCTACTAAGTTGGTCCGAAAGTTCTGTCTCACCATTTTCAAAAAATGATAACTCCTTCTATCACGATATTTTTGCAGGCTAAAAATTCGGTTGAAAAGAGCAATTCGTGCACTTTCTAAAACTGCCTTGGCCTCTATCTACTATGCTCTCATTGCAGAGATAAAATTGGAAAAAGGAAATCACTTCAAGTTCGGAAATTTGAAGCAAGCCCGTTAAAAAATCCAACTGTGCCAGAAAATCCATAACAGTCAGTATCCTAAACTTTTTGACCCCCCCCCCCTCTTTTCAGCTGAGCAAAATTCGCGCTGGTCGAGCTGTTTCTTTGAAAGTTATGATTTTTTGGAAAAAATGCCAAAAAATGAGTTTTCTTAAAGAACTGATTTTTTGGCATTTTTCTCGAAAATTATAACTTTTCTGAAAAGAGCTCGATCACCCCGAATTTCGCTCATATAGAAAGAGGGAATCAGAAAACCTAATCTACTAGCTGTTTTTGATTTTATGGCACAGTTTTGGATTTTTCAACGGGCTTGCCTCAAAATTGCGAACTTAAAGTGATTTCCTTTTCCCAATTTTATCTCTGCAACTAAAGCTATTAGATAAAAGCAAAGATGTTTATAGAAAGCGCATGAATTGCTATTTCCAATGCATATTCATTCTTGCAAAAATATTGTCTTAGGAAGAAGTTACAATTTTTCGAAAATGGTGCGACAGAACTTTCGGACCAACCTAATAGACAGTGGCGGAACGAGGGGGGGGAGCGGTTCCAAAGATGTGCAAGTGACCTGTTTACTCTTGAAAATAACTGAAATAATTCTCAGAATTTTCAAAAACTTAGCCTTGTAAAACATTTTTTTGTTTCTAGATTTTAGGAGTTATAGTCCTGCAAAAATTCTGAGAATCACCTCAAAAATTTTTCGGAGTGCGTGGCTGACGTCACGCACTTTATTTGAAAAAAATTTTGCCACCTGCCCCCCCCCCCCCCTCCCCCTTCAGGACGGAAATCCTGGGACCACCACTGATGATAGCCATAGTGGAGGGCGACGTATGCTATCAGATATGATGGAAAACTCAACGAGAACATTTTTTGAACATTTTTCTCGAGAAATCCAGAACTTTTGAAAAAGGCTTATACTCTATACTCCAACATGAAAATTACTCTGCAAAAATAGCACATCTCGGCAAGATCTACTGCTACTCTTTTTTCAATTTTTCTCATTTTCTTGCATGCCCACCATTTTTACTGCAGAAAAAAAATAGACGTAAGGTCACATGCCAAAATTGACTGCGTTAATTTAAATAGGACAGCTGATCTCTTGATGAGCCTTCCAGCAGCACTTGCAGATGGGCTAAAATGCCGCTCAAACTGTTCAAATAGACAGATTCTGTTTTTTGGTAATTGAATGTAAATGTCGCGTCTCTGTTTTCGACTATTTCTCACTATCGGTTCGTTTTCTGCTTGATTTAGAAAATTACAGTTAACGACCAACCAAAACGAAGAGGACCACGTCAGAGGCGAAGACCATCTGTGATGCCGGACCAGACAGCAGTGAAGCTGCTCTATGACCATAACGATGGCGATGGTGTCGTTTCTAGCATTGGTAAGTAAAAAAACTTTCTCCATCTTCAGTCGTGTGTACACTAATTTTTCTTTTTGACCTTGCTATGGTCACCAACGATACCGCTCATAATCAGTCAAAAAGTCGCTGAATTGCGTCGGAATTCAGCGACATTCGCGTCGCATCGCCATATCTTGGTTCAGAGTGGACAAATTCTGAACCCAAGCGCACCGTTCGGCTCGGCTCGGTGAGGCGCATCTTGCGATAAATAGAGGCGCTCGTTTGGGCACAGTAGGAGGTCAGATTAAAGGAATCGTTGTAGACTTTTGCTTTCGGTAGTGAACTCAATTTGCTTATTCATTGCACCCCTTGAGTAACCATAGGATAAAGATCCGTAAAATCTGTCCGCCCACCTACCCAAGCGGGCACTTTTACATACGAGGATATGCATGTCCCCGAGCTGAGCCAAAGGTGCCCTTGGATGCGGGATTCGTCCACTTTGGACCAAGATATGACGATGCAAAGCGAATGTTAGTAAGCTCCGGTGGAATTGATCTACTTTTTTGAATAATTATGAATGGTATTGTATAGTGCTTTGCTCTCCTCTTCCCTTGGTTTTAGCGCAGTGTGCCGTTTTATTCATTCATTTTTTGCGACTATGAATATCAAATCCAGGAACAAGGTGAAACTTTCCAAAATATCAAAAATTAAAACTTATGAATTTTTTGGTGAGAACGAAGTGGCTAAGATTTGTGGCTGACATTTCGCATTGATGAGAATAAACACAAATAAAATGATCCCAAACTCAAGAAATCGCCACAATACCTCTCAACTATCTATTGAAAAAGGTGGGAAAAAGTTGATGGCAAGAAGTTGCATGTAATTTCTCACAAATCACTTCGTTTTTTGAAATAAAGAAGATCCAATTAAAACAAAAAATCAAACATTTATTAATTTATTCTTCATCTCAATTTCTCAAGAATCACTCTGTTTTTGAGAATATTCAAACATAGCAAAAAACCGACTATTTCTTTTATTATTCATTCATCGCTGCTCTGTAATTATCACTTACTTTTTTTGAATTTCTATGTTTATCTAGTGCTTGATCATTCACTTATCTGTATTCTCAAAAAATGTCCTTTGAGGATCTAGATTATGTACAGGCTCAATATTGCTACAGTTACAGGTACTGCTCGCAATTTGCTGACACTTTCGCTCAGATTCTCTATTGCTTCTTTTGCACTCTTCTGAAAAGTGAATAATGCATGATAAATCAATTCTATGAAAGTTAGTTAGTCGTTTTGTGGGGCCAAACAGATTTTTTATCTCGAGTTCTTTCGAATTTTTTTTGTATGGGCACATGCAACTGTCTTAGTTGATGTTTTATACACATTAAGCACTAATTCGTACCAACAGGTGTCACGACGTATCAGCGCCAGTGCGAAGCGGATAAGCGCTTTAATGTGAGCGTATTTGTCAGCAAAGGGTTTGAAAAGTTTGAGAAACGGCCATGATTGCACTAGGGATTTTATTTTTACAAGAAAGGTTATAGAGTGTTGAAAGTAAAAAACCATGTTTAAAACATGTTTTTTATGATTGATTTTGACACTTCACAATTCCATTTCATTACAAAGATTGATTACCTTTGTTAAACTTTTTTAACGGAGGCATGATCTTGCATAAAATTTGAGAAGCACATCAAAAATTCTTTCGTTCATCCAAGATTTTGCCGCATCCTCTCCCGATAAAGTTCTAGGACCGTTATTGTGAAATGAATAGTAAGCAGAAGATTTTCATAAGGCATAAACGGCAACGTCAAGCTCGTCAAATCTCACGATACTTTCAAAGTGAAACATGTTAATTAGAAGTCCTTTAAAAGAAGCTAAAGAAGTCGAGAATTGGATTAATAAAGTTGAGCCACACCATACCTTCTCCTAGCGAAGCAATCAGCATCTTCGCTCGAGGTACCGGGCGAGATTTCTTCGCCAAGAAAATTTTTTAGCTGCTGCTTGAGCAATGATTTAGTCAAATCCTAATAATCTGTATCCACATACGTTGCCCTGGGATGAGAGTTAGCAAGTAAGGTTGATTTTGGATTTTTAGAAAAATTGCCCAACAACTCAGCATCGTTTTGCTGAATATAAATCAAATCTTTCTCAATTGAGATGTCGACTTCATAGCTCGGAAATACCTTCTCAATTTTCAGTTTAATGCGAGAGTTACCGTTAAATCTACTATTATAGAAAAAAACACTCGCATCTAATGCGTCAGATGTACTCACATTTTGCTTCATGTGTTGGGTTGATGCAAAAGTAATGGCCATTTTCTAAGCCCTTTTTCATGACAATTTTTTCAAATTCCTTTTTTGAGACAAATACGGCATACCATTTAGAAGCTTCTTTCATGCTTTATCTAATGATGGTAGAAGCAATCTTTCATCTTCACTTATCAAAATTTTACAGAGTTTCAAATAACCGCATTCAGAATTAAAATTTCGTTGCATTCTCTTTTCCGGCTAGTCAAGCGCGAGCGAATGGCGCTTCTTCGAAAGGTCTCGCTATTGTATGTAAAAGAAATTGTCTTCATTAAACATCTACCTATCTTCTTTGGAATAATCTAGACTTCGATATCGGCTGGCATAACATGGCTAGCTGTTGCTGTCATTCCATGACCCATAGTATTTTTATTGAGAAAGGCGATAAAGACCATTAAAAGAAGCAAATACAGCGCGTATTCATCTATACTCACATAACAAACGGGCAGGAAATATGAATTAGAAAACAAAAAACTTTTTCTAAAACTGAACTCTCTATTTTTGACATGCCATACCTCTTTTCAAATATTGTTAGTTTGAACGCTGTTTGAAAGCTGCAGTGCCAAGCCAGCAGGACAAAAGAGTGTGGGGCTTGAGCAGAGAAGATTCGCGGAGAAAAAAATTAATCAAAATTCTCACTTTTTTCAACATTTTTCAATAAGCCTCAAAGTCCCGAATTCGAAATTTTGTGATGTAGATTTTTCATAAATGGGTATGTAGATTTTCCTTAGAGTTGAAGCACCTCAAAGTGGGAATCCGCAAAACGACCATTATGCATTAGACCAATAGTTTCGTCTGCGGCACATGTTCCAGAGAGTGGAAGTGATTGTCATAATAATCTCACAAGGAAAGGATGATCAGTCGAAGTGGCCTTTTGCAACGATTTGTATAGAATGTTAAGGGACGTAAAATGCTGATTCCAAATTTGTCCTCCTTATCCGCGGAGCGTTCCTGGACGAGGAGTTATGAGCGATTAAAGGAGCAAAAAATTAATGTTTTTGTGGGATAACAACAGTTGCAAAAGGAATGAGACAACCAAGGTGCGGATATATTTAATCTAAGAGTATTTATTTTATAGAGCGTTGGAAAGATTACTACTGGTCCATTTAAGCGCTAGAAAAAATGGTAACATTTTCTAGTGTTTTCATATTATTAGGTTGGCACATAAGTTTTGCAACTTTTCCCGTAACTTTTTTCCTATTTTATGTAGCAATCTCATTGTGTGGCATCATGTAGATCGTGATGTAAGCTGCAAGTCTGCGCAAACCGTTTGATTTTTGATAACCTAGTACAAAAAATCTAAGCATTTTTTGAAAACTGCTGAAAATCGAGGTTTCACGATTTTTTGGCAAACATGAAGCCCTACGAAACCTGATTCAAACATATGAAAAAGCAATTATAGGCAGCATGTAGCTGGAAGTTGGCACATTGGAATCAGTGAAAAAGAAATGAAATTTAAAAACAAATTAAGGTGGGGCGCCTTTGAGAAGTTGAACAAGTCAAATGCGTCAAGTTTTGAAGGCAATTTGTCAATAACTAAGCTGCGAAAAGTCAAAATTCGCTATAACTTTGCACTATAGGGTAATCCTGTGCGGTAAACACGAATATCATATTCATTTGTCGCTAAAATGAAATTCATCTTCTGATCTCACGAACGAGGCCTTTTCATGCAAAACGGATCTCATTTTTGTGATCAGCATGTCAAATAAGCCCTATTGGCCAAGTTTTAGGAAAATCTGATGCATTCTAAAATTTTTCCCATAGTACCGTAAACCTACCGTAATCCTCACATAAGATGGTAAAGTTCGGCAAAAATGTGTGCATTAGAAGCTTACATCATATTCCTTATACTGCCAAAAAATGAATGCGCTAGGTTCAAATAGACAAAAGTTATATAAAAAGTTGCATTACTTATGTGCCAACCTAATATTTGCATATTCAATTCTTTTTCTCCAGTAAACTCTCATAACCTCTGGTACAGGAACGCGATGCAGATAATGAGATTTGGAATCAGCATTCTATGCCCTCCAACATGATATACAACCCGTCGCAAAAGGCCACTTCGATCAACCATCCTTCCCTTGTCACTAACATTTCATAGAAAACCCTCTTGTCAAACAACTGTTTTATGAGTAGTACTTGTGAGGATCAGCTAAACAAATGCTCACAAGTACCTAGCTGAAAAAAGAAACTGTGCTTATGCTCAGCTGAAGAGAAAGCAGAGATAGGAAACAACGTTTCAGTTTATTTGACTGAAGTGTGCATGAAAGCAGCTTTCAATCCAGGAGAACATCCATTTTCAAAAACCAACACAAAAATATGTTTTATCAAAAATGCTTGCTCCTGTTAAAGAATTTATTGTTGAATGTCTGCAAAAGTCTTCGCAATGCGCATTTCTCTGTAAACATGCCAGCTTCTTTAGTTTTTGTCATATCCTCGTTTATGTTTATGCATAGAGATGCTGAGCTTTCTCTATGCATGTCAGATGCTGCTCTCATGACAGCTTGTCAATCCCATATCTCCTATTGTGGCCGCTCCTTCCACTACTTTCAGAATGCTGCTTCTTTCTGATTTTTGCCTTTTGTCATTCGAATATTTTAGGGTTGAGGAAGTTGTCTGCTTCTTCCAACATCATTCATTTTTTCTTAGTCGTTTATTCATTCTCACGATTTTTTGGAAATTTTCTCAAGAAATAACAACCCATAAAACTGACAACCTTCAATACAACCAGTAATTCGCTTTTCTCAGATATTAAAGGCCCTAGCCCATCACATGCGCGAAATAAGAAGCTAACTTGGCAGCTCAAAAATTTTCAACAGACAAAAAAAAACAACAAATGCATGAGTTTACGCTACGAATTCCCCTCAGGGATTTTTTAGAAATTGGTGCGTATTCTTTCACAACTTATGCTTATAGCTGACATATTTCAACTGAAAATTTTGGAAAAAACAATAAAATGATAAGGTTATGACAACTGCGGTCATTACTCAATACTGACAAGTCTGACTTCGCATAACAGCGACTTAGCTTTTCAAGTCTTGTTCCATAGCTTTCAGTAATTTACAATTTTTTCCGGGATATTCTCAAGCACAAATTTTGAATTTTATACGTATCGTGGAGAGTAATTTTTCAGCGAAAGTCTGCCGAGATGGCCATAATCGAATATGTACGCTTCCTCATTAGAAGAATTTCAACGCTAACAATCCGCCCATAAGCTTCTCGAGTTTTTGCGTCGCCTCGTCTATAAGCTCAGCATTTGGATAAATAGTCTTCTTAGTGGACTTTTTCTTGCAGTAATCCATTCGCAGTGCTGTTTTCCTTGGAAAATTGCTTTGCACTTTACTTGCTTCTGGTTCTGGTTGCAGCTGACCACTTGAATGGGCTTCCACCATTTCAACGGCTACTGCCTTTCTTGATCCGCGACTAATAATCCTTACCAAACATTCAGCTCAGTTAAAGTGGTTTTATTATAATAAGAAAAACTCTACCTCCAGAGTGATAAAAACTCGAAATTAGTTGTAGTGAATCAGTGAGGTCCCAGGATTTCTGTTCGGGGAGGGTGAGGGGGAGACAAAAATTTGTTTTTTCGAATAGGGAGGTGCGTGAGTTTTGGGAAGCTTCCCAAGATTTTTGCGGGTCCATAAAACAGAAATTTTAGGAAAAGGAAGCGTGGCGATAGCTCCCAGAAACTTTCTTACAAGACTAAATTGGATTTTGAAGAATTTTAAAAACCATTTCAATTATTCACAAGTAAAAAAGTCACTTGCACTTTTTTATAATACATGTAAGTGACTTCCAAATGTTCCTAGTAATCCCTAGAAACTCTAGCATCATGCGAATCTCTCCCTGTTTTTGCCATGCAGACGTTCACAAATGAAGTGTCGGAGCTCTGCTTCTAGTTTCACACCTCGGCTGAGTGAGAAACAGCTTCCAATAAATTGCTCTGTTTAGCCACGTGGTCAGGACCGACATCTCGACGCTCGTCAGCCGGGGTCATAGTTTCGGTCATCACAGCTTTCCTGATGTTCGTGCTTGGAGTGCTCGTCGGTGCGTTTCTCCATGCGCTCGCCTTTCCTGACGGTGGATCCCCTCTAGTACGTTTTCTACAATAGTCAATTCCTCACTAACCAAGTCTGAATTTTGAGAAAACCCCATTCTGCGTCTGATCTTACAAGGGAATGGTCAGAAGTCGAAGTGGCCAAACCAAACAAGCTGTATACCATTCGATGCAGTATAAAGCGCTGACTTCGAATGTGTCTTTCTTATCTGCTTCCCGCTTCTGTGGACGAAGCTACAAGCTGTTTTATTGTGAAAAAATTACGCATAAATACAGTGAAATTGAGCACACTGTTGCACTTTTAGCTCAGCTTCTTTCTTTAAAAATTTGAAGTAGGCTAGCTGCATGTTCTGGCCCAGCATTAAGGCGAACGTGGCTCTGCACGGCTAAATTTTCAATTTCACGCGTAATTTCTTAGCAAAATAATGGTCTTTAATGGCTTGTAGCTTCGTCCACAGAAACGGGAAGCAGATAAGAAAGACAGATTCGAAGTCAGCGTTTTGCTTGTTTGGTTTGGCCACTTCGACTTCTGACCATTCCCTTGTTAGCAGTAATCTAGAAAGCGAGCCGCTTGTGAATGCTATAAATCTTTGACTGTCTTTGCACATTAAGAATAGGCGAATTCTGAGCAAAATATGGTGCTTTTTTTCATCAACAATCGATTCTACGAAGTTTGAAGTTGTCAATGGCAGTGTCTTGGCAGAATTTCGTTTCCCAGTTTTTTATCTTTTCGGAGCCTTTTCGCCATGAGAAATCCATAATCTGGGCTTTTCAGCGCAAAATAGCGAAAATAAGCATTTTCCAAAGCTCTTCAGGTCCGCATTCAGTGGGAATATGTGTAAATGGGCGGAGTCCGGGACGCGGGAGGTGGGACGCGGAAGATTTTCGGCATATTCTTCCTTCATTGAATGCGGACCTGGAAAGGAAAAAGAAAGCTCATTTTTGCCATTTTCATGCGCTGAAAAGCCCAGATATGGATTCCTCATGGCGAGACGGCTCCAAAAAGGGGAAAACTGGAAAACGAAATTCTGCTGAGACACTTCCTTCAATACATAATATCTGCCTTTTCGTTTTTTGACTCTAGTAAACGTACTATTTGGCGACACAGTCTACGATTTAATGATGCATACAAGTGACAATATCTTAGCGCAGATGTATGTACTTTAGTAGCTTGTTGGTTCATATGGTGTTCCTGTGGTACCAACAATATTTACTCGTAAAAAATAGCCCTTGACGGCGCTCACGATTCCAGATAGCCACCAATTCCACAAAAAAAATTCCGTAACGTGCGTCTTAGTCATATGGTAATACCGAGTCGCAATAGTCGTAATGGTTCCTTCGGGCATTGTTTCCTTTTGGAACTATTTAAGAATGTAGACTTATTGGAATGCCTAGAACTTCTTTTTTTTGCGGAGAATGTCTACTGACGTCAGCAGAAACTTTTTTTGTCAGAATTGGAAATATGGTGGCGTGTAATCCTACTCTACGAAGCATACAAAGCTACGTAAAAGTTCCCATAACAGTTATTAATGTTCAGATACTCAGGAGTTTCGCACAAAACGAATCAGTATCGAATGATCTACTTCCAAATCATTCACCAAGCACAATCAGCTCGACGAGCGTCACTGCTCTATACGAAGATGTGAGCTCCACTGGAATTGCGACAAGTAAAGGAGCAGAAGAAGAGGCTGAGATGGCCACCAAGAGAGTTGAGCCTCTTAGAAAGTTGAACGAAGTAGACGGAAAAGAAGAAGGAGAAGAAGAAAAAGAAGAAGATGATGATGATGATGACGATGGCGACTGCAAAAACTTTCCATGGAAAAGCTTCAGGTAAATTTACGAATCAAAATTATCTAGTGAATCATAATCATACAGATTGCCACGAGACATCGTTCCTCTCTCCTACAATCTCACCATACATCCAAATATCACAACTCACAATGTTACTGGAAGTTTGGCTATCGATCTAAAGGTAATTATCGCATCTCAAAATTTCTCTTTTTTTCTATAATTCAAATTCAGGTGATGGACTCAACAAAACTTATTGTTTTACATGCGCATAATTTGGTGATGAATACTTTCAGTCTGAGTGTTAATGGCAGACGAATGGAAGCAGAATTCGTGAGTCTAGCCATTATAAACAGTCTCATTCTTAAGTATGGTAGCATATGCTGTGTGTGAACTAATTGAACTTAGTGGATACAGGTGAAGACCTATTATGAATTACTATGTAAGCTTATACTTTGCAAAGGGTACTTTTACTGTACTTTGCAAAGGGTTTCCATTGCACTAGAAAGGAGCCTTCCAAATAACCCAATCAACTTCTGTGAACGGCTTTGCTCAAGGAAAAGTGGTTTAGGAAAGTAGGAAAGTATTCCAGCTTCAAGGCTAGTTTACGTAGGCCAGTCCTACCGTAGAAGTGGATAATGTCCAGCCATGAAGGTGTGAGAAAATTCCTTCAAAACCCGGGTTTGCGACAAAATTTTTTCGGATAATCGAGCATGATGCGATCTTATAACTTGTGAAGGCTTTCAAAGTCACCCCTTCGAGAACCTACTTTAGCCATTAAACATCATTTTTTGCAAAATTTGCATAAATCTTTAAAATTATGAAGCTTTTTATGTTTTGAGTGAGAAGCTTAGCGATTTGTAATATGAATAATTTTGGCAGAAATACAGCCGCCGTATCTTGCTTTGATGACAAAATTTCAGTATTTTTGCACGGACACTTCACAATGGGCGTTTGCTATGGATGAAGCAGTGAAAGTGGGAGATATTGTAGATCTCGGTATAGAGTTCCATGGAGAAGTTTTGCCAGATCTGCAAGGTCTGTACATCTCAACGCACACGGATACCCAAGGAAGGAAAACGTTAGTAACTTTTCGATTACCCTTTGATTCAACTGGCTTAGCGTCTCTACGGCGGGGCTTCGTGACCTATTAAGGCTAGAAAGTAGTGATCAGAGAGCACGCGCGCGGGAGAGACGCAGGCTACGTCGCGAGCGGCCTTAATTGGGTCATTAAGCCACGCCTCCTAGCCGCCAAGCCAATTAAGTCAAAAGGTATAATAAACTTCCCACCCTCCATTTCGATTACTTCTCATCAGGAGATCTGCTGTGACACAGTTCGAGCCATCCTATGCCCGAAAAATGTTTCCGTGCTTCGATGAGCCAAACTTCAAGGCCACGTTTGAGGTAGCACACTTAGTTTGTCTAATAGTGCAAGTTTGACGCAAATTCAGGTATCAGTGATACGCGAGCCTCAGCATGTGGTTCGCTCGAACATGAAGTTGAAGCATTCCGAAGAGCATGTGGATGGGTAAGCCAATAAACTGATACGGTTATGCTATAAGTGCATAAATCATTCTAGGCTTTACATCGATGTCTTCCATCGCACTGTAAAAATGAGCACCTATTTACTCGCAGTGGCCATTCTCGACAAGTATGACTATGTGAAGAAGACGACTATAAACACAGAGAAACCCATAGAAGTAGATTTTAAGGCTCTTGAAAGTAATGGAGGCTCTATAAGATGTTCAGGTCAGGTTGTATGCACCAAAGGATATGATCAAGGGACATACAGAATTTGGCCTGGACACTGCTGTTCGAGCTCTTGAGTACTTCGAAAATTACTTCAACATCTCTTATCCGCTCGACAAAATGGGTAAGTTCAAGTGTCTACCGAAAGCCTCTTCGTTGAACCGTGGCTCCTTTGCACCAATACAGTAAGCTACCGCAATTTCTTGCCCTCAGTTTGTAAAAATTCAGTAATCTTGCTTTCTAAGCAGAAAATTGGTCGAAAAATTTTTGGAAGTAGCCTGTGTGAGTTATATAATTGCTCAAATGACTTATTTTCACTTGAATATAATTTAAATAATAATAACAATAATTTGTAAAATTTTTTGAAGATCCAAACAAGTTCTGCAAAAAAATTTTTTTGGGGGCAAGTTGCTGCCACATCCCCTTTCTTGAAGTTCCATTCTCAGTTAGCGGCCGATACCTCCCTCTAAGAACTTGCTGGAAGCATTGTTTTGCCTTCCTGTTCTAATTACTGTGTTAATACGGTAGCCATAGTACGAAGGTTCTGAGTGCCTTCTTTACCATTTCCATGAAATACTGGTATGTGATTGCAGATCTTCTCGCTTTGGACGACTTCAGTGAAGGTGCGATGGAAAACTGGGGTCTGGTCACTTTTCGAGATTCGACAATTTTGTATAATAAACAAACAACAAATGCACAAACTAAGGAACAAATCGCGCTGATCATCTGTCACGAAGTAGCACATCAGGTGACCTATAAATTTCGTTTGCACTGCTTGAGCTCCACGTTAGCGGCACCCATTGAAAATACATTCTGAGTTAGGCAGCGTCCAGAGTTGCCTTGTGTCAGCGTCATTCCATTGCCCTGCCCGAATCCACGTGGGCAGTATAGGCAGGGTTCATACTGAGCCGCACAAAGCGGCACAGTTCCAGTACAGCGCTCGAACTGTGCTCGAACTGTGCCCGAACTGTGCTGCATGCGCAGTTGGAGTATTTTGACCTTTTCTGACGGTTTTTCTTCTAGGTTTCGCTCATTTCGGGCCTTATTCCTCCACCCCGCTTTTCCTTTTGATGAGTAGAACTCCGAGCGCAAAGCGGGGTTGAGGAATAAGCGCTGTTTTGCTTTGTGTGTCCGATTATGCGTGTTGTTCCGCTCGTTCATGTCTCTTCGTTTTATCCTTGCATAAAAGTATTCCATTTTTTTCCAGGAGGCCGCTGCAATATTTTCGCAGGCATTTTTCTTGAAAAAGAGCAAAAATAGTGCAGAAGAGCAGGAAAGTCCATCAATCTGTTGGCCACTATTGGGTTCTTAGCCCCTTTTCGTTTTCATTTCGTTGTTTTTTCGTTCTTTGTTTTACCCCGCTTCCCTTTTTGTTGTGTAGCGCTTCAAACTTGAAGCGGGGTAAACCAACGAACGCGGTTGTGCTCCATGTATCCTCTCAGCCGCTTTCTTTTTCCATTTCATTGCTTTTTCGCTCTTTCCTCTACCCCGCTTCAAGTTCGAAGCGCTACACAACAATAAGGGAAGAGGGGTAAAACAAAAAACGAAAAAACAATGAAATGAAAACGAAAAGGGGCTAGAAGCTTAAAGGCAGTGTCTCACCAAAGTTGAGGTCGCGGGGATCTTTACATATTCTATTATAGGGACCTCTAGATAGGCCATTGCAACAAGTCCCACTCAATTTGACCCCCTCTACGCTGAGAAAAATTCGCTCAAAGTGGTACGCGGAGAGCCAGTTGGTACGCGCGGACGACTCTTTCGGTCTCCCCCCTTACGCGTTTAAACATGTTCCTCCACTTGGCATCCACCTCTCCTGTGTTGCTGCCACTGTGGCTGAGGCTGAGGTTGGAAGGTACAACTCGTCCACGTTGCTTCCGCGGGGCCTCCAGAAAACGGGGTTTTTGGGAACTTCGCGCGATTTTAAGCCCATACAGTGCTAGACAGGGTCCGACAGGCTTGCAAAATGCAAAAATTTCGGCAACTAAATTTTGGTGAGACACTGCCTTTAATAGTGGAAAACAGATTGATGGAATTTCCTGCTCTTCTGCACTATTTTTGCTCTTCTTCAAGAAAAATGCCTGCGAAAATATTGCAGCGGCCTCCTGGAAACAAATGGAATACTTTTATGCAAGTATAAAATGAAGAGACATGAACGAGCAGAACAACACGCATAATCGGACACACAAAGCAAAATAGCGCTTATTCCTCAACCCCGCTTTGCGCTCGGAGTTCTACTCATCAGAAGGAAAAGCGGGGTGGAGGAATAAGGCCCGAAATGAGCGAAACTTAGAAGAAAAACCGTCAGAAACGGTCAAAATACTCCAACTGCGCATGCAGCACAGTTCGAGCACAGTTCGAGCGCTGTGCTGGAACTGTGCCGCTTTGTGCGGCTCAGTATGAACCCTGCCATAAACGGTGGACGTGCCTCGTATTGATCGATCGACATACCGGCACGGTATACGCTGCTGCGACGGCGCAATATCTTCGGGCACGAACGCGGCTTTATTAGTCGCAGAGCGCATGAGGCGCAGGATTTACAACGGTGAGGATACGCGCGCGAAGCGTTTGCGCCCGCTCAACTAATAATGCTTCTGCCCTTTGTCATGCAGTAGCCTTCAATAGCACGACCAGCTCTGGATGCAGCCTTACTAGAATAATAAGAAACATGTACGGCGGCATTTCAAAAAATATTTTGCAACATGGTTCGAATTACCACCATATTGCTTTTCTTTCCTACAATCCCTGGAATTTAGTGATTCAAACTGAGATCAAGAAAACCTATATAAAACAAGGTGTTTTAGTGGTTCGGCAACTTGGTGACTATGGACTGGTGGAACGATTTGTGGTTGAATGAAGGTTTCGCTAACTACATGGAATACAGATGTGTTAATAAACTATTCCCCGACTGGAATATTGTAGGAATCAATAAGTAGCCTCTCAATGCAATCGAGTATAATATAATTCCAGATGACCCGCTTCTACTCGGAAAACATTGCATATAGCCAAGAGCCGGATGGGTTGCGGAGTTCTCGCGCTATTTCTTCAATCACAGCTAACAACACTAACCTCATGAGTTTGTTTGATGCCATAAACTACCATAAGGTAATTTTTGGATGATTCGGTATGTAATAGTTTTTGAATTTTATTCTTCAGGCTGCAGCAATTATTCGCATGCTGCAGTCACTAGCTGGAGAGAAGAACTTCCAACGTGCTCTCGTACAGTACCTCGGTAAATACGCTTACGGTAACGCAAAAGGCTCTCAGTTATGGAAGATGGTAGAAAAAGTATGTTTTGATAGCAATAGTGTACATGTTGACACCTTTGACTTTTGTCTTTAGAATGCAGCACTTCCTTATGGAATCTCAATCTCTGATCTGGCAAACGCTTATATTACCCAAGTTGGGTATCCAATGATATATGTGACACTTTCCCGCAATGAAGTTACCGTACACAATCAGGTAAGACGTGCAGACGGCACGTACCGTTTAACTACCGTAATCCGCACCTAAGGCAGTATGGGCTCTACGTGCGGCACTTTTCGTTGAGGAAATTTCATAAGAAGTAGTTTCCTTCTCCGCTCCATGCCATATCATATCACAGTGGATTACTGTAGGACTAAAAAGGGGTATATCCGCCAAATACCACTTTTCTGATGTGACAGAAAAGCCAACAATTTCAATGAGTAATGTGGTCTGTGAAATTAAACTATCATGACTTATAATAAGCGGCTTAATCTGAAGTTGTGTGGAGTTTGTCCTTTACGAAATTACAGTGAGGAATGATTTACGATACTAAACATCATGTGAGGTTAAGATAGCGAGTATGGTTCATTTTTAACTACGGCTCACGTTGCAATAAACCGAAAAATGATTTGAGAGACAAGCTCTCAGAAAGTGAGTTTATCACAGTTCACGATGCCAGTGCGAACCTCTGCGAAGCAGAGGTGAAGCACTGGTTATAGAATAATACAGCGGGCAATGAATAAATTAATCATGATGTGGACGTCAAAGTAAATAAAAAGGGCATAAAAGTAATTGAAGGGTCATCATTGTCAGTTTAGCATATTTGAGTTTTTTTGTCAAAAAACAAATGTCTTTATTTGCATTTCTCGTTTTAGACGCGATTTTTCTTCGAAGATGGCATGGAAGATGATCAAGAGTGGCCGATTCCGATACATTATAGAACTGATTCGCAAACTGAGTCTAGAATGCAGTGGATCAGAAGTGATCATAATAAAGGTAGGCCTACCAGATGTTCGGCAGCATAGAAAAAAGAATCGGATTCAGTCATATGGCCTTTGGAGGAGCGCTCAAAATGGATCATTATTAACACCGGTGGGATGAGTTATGTGAAAGTGCTCTACGACAGGAGGAATTATGCCGCTTTGGCTAAACAGCTGAAAAGCGACCACTTGGTATGTTCTACGACTTGTATTCGAGTTAATCTGGGCATGTTCAAGGAAATATCGGCCACTGATCGAATGATGATCCTCGCTGATGCCTTTGATTTTGCCAAGACCTCAAAGCTTAGCATAACAATATATCTGGACCTACTATTGTACGCAGAAGGTAAGGAGCTAGAAGCGCCAACATATGACCGATGATGATGAAGTTTTTTTTAGAGGAGATGGACAGAATGACTTGGCAGCTGATTCACAAACATGTCAAACATATAGAAGATCTCATTGAGGAAACCTCATTTGCTCATACTTTCAAGGTAAGTTTTCTCATTGCAGGTAACTTTGATCTAGTACAGGAAGCATACAATATGGTAGATTTTCCGCTCACATGGTTGTTTGCTATACTGGAACTTTGCTGCCAAACTTGCACGTGAAGTAAGCCGGTATTTTGCGCGCGCGGGTGGCCGGCATTACAGGCGTGCCCATTTATTAACGCGCGAATTTAGTCGCTAAATCTGTACCGCAGGCACACAATATGAAGCGAGAAATTCATTAGATTGCAAAGAAATGGTATATAATTGGTCAGTAACAAAAAAGCCTTTAAATGTTAATGCAAACATGGAAATTTTACTAAGCCTTCGCCTCCATTTATCTTTGAAATTTCACTCCATTTCTTCCTTCTTTCAGTTGGTTTTCCTAGTAATAAGTGGCTCCACAATTTAAATTCAAGACAGGCCAGTCGCAAATAGAATATGTTTTTGTAATATGTGACCAAACAAATGTTCTTGGCATATGCGGTTTCAACTAGATTGAATCAGATTTCGATTTCCGTCATTTTTTTCTGTCATTTTTTTGTCATTTTGAGGAGTATTTCCTGTATTACATGCTTGCTTCTTCTGTAGGATCTCCAACGAACGCTTATCCTTCGACCTTACGAACGCATTGGATGGGAAAGTAATTCGTCATACACTCCTGCTCAGAAAGGACTACAAGTTTGTATCTTAGATATCTTTTTGAAGCTGAGATGGCACTCCAAAAATCCTTTTTAGGTAGAAGTGCTTAAGATGGCCTGTTCGCTTCGGCAGCGGGATTGTGTCAAACAAGCGCAAATAAGATATAACGAATGGACTGCAAAGAAAAAGCGGTAGACATCTTAACTTTTACTCAACGAAACATTGGGTCAAAACGAAGTCCTGAGTCTCCACAGTAATCGTACAAGTTTTCTCAAAGCACCTATTATATAATTGTGCTTTCAGCCCATCACCTGAACTTCACGGCATTGTTCTTAACGAGGGAGTACGACAAGGAGGTGCAGCAGCATGGGATCGCGCATATAATTCTCTTGTAGGAGCTAAGAGCCCCACTGAGAAATATCAACTAATTGGTGCACTAGCTTCAACGAGGGACCAGTCGTTGATTACCAGGTAATCGACGATTACCAGCTCTTATTTACAGCTTACGAGATTCATGGTAGGAAACCATCTCTGCTCCTTCTATAGTTTACCATTAGAGTTTCAAGTAGTACTCCTAGCAGTATTTCTTTCGATTTTACGCAAATTGGTTTTAGTAACAGGGTCATAATGTACCATAAAGGTAAAATTCAAGAAATTTATGCGAATTCTGCAAAATACGCGCAAAGCAACCGCATATTCGTTTGGAACGATGGCTGTGAGGTTTCTTTTGATAGAAAAAGCAGAGCATAACTCATTGCAAGCTCGATCTTAACCGTCATGCCAGAAACTGGGTAATCTTTGCTTCGGAAGATAAGTTAAAATACGGTTCAACGGCGAGTCACCGAAAGTCACCCTCTACGCGGGTCGTGCGATGCATTGGGCATTTTCCACGGTAAATATTCAATTGCTATCGGTGACTAAGAGCGCTCAGATGTGATATAGTAATTTGTTCAGCTTCCGAAGCGAATTCTTTTCCGTCTTGGCCTCCGTACTAGGGCAGTAAACCGAAGCGATAAGGGGAAGGGGTATCTTTGGTAACCAAAAACCCCACAATATGTTGCAACCAGACACTGCATTTACCCATTTTTATTCGTTTCGCAATCTGAAACCTCAGATTTCATATTGATGAAGTAATTTCCTCTTCAATTTAAATCGAAAAATACTGAAACTCCAGCATCATTTACTCGCATAAGCTTCTTGTTTTGGAAGTGATTAATTTCAGGCTACTTCGTCTCTGCCTTGACGGTAAAACCTTTCGACCAAATATGGTACCTCGGGTGCTTGCTGAGTTGACACAGAATGAAGCGGCCAGAGCATTTACTTGGCGTTTCTTCAGAGTCAACTACAAGGAATTTGTGAAAATGTAAGTCTATGTTTCCCTCTAATAATCGCCAATTTTTCACAGAACAATTAGAGATTGTAAAACGTTTTTAATAAATGTCTGATAATAAAATATCGCTGTTCAAACCAACAAGGTTACCACTGGTATTATGCATTCTTGTTTAGCTTAGGAGACGGATCAAATCTACTTCTGAACAGCATCAAAGCAATGGTTGACAAACTTAGTACACAGGAGGATTTGGATGCCGTGAAAGCTTTTCTCTCCGACAAAAATGTACTCCTTACCTCAGTTGAACCCTGCAACTTGAAACTCTTGATGTGATTTTTTCAGCTTGAGTACAACAAAGCGAGACTTGACCAAATGTACGAACAAATCGAACTGAATATACAGTGGAGGAAACTCAATGAAGAGCCGCTGAGGAGATGGCTTGAGAGCTGGGATGAGAAGCGACGGGTACTATACCGTCGTAGAAGGCGTTCACATCACCTTTCCTTCTGATTTGTTATTAGAGTTGTTCTTACTTCAAGTTCTCATGAATCTTGACAATTACAGGGCGCTTCTGTTCGCAGCTGACTGTTCATTCTCAGAACTTGTGACGCAAAACTACAGTTATGAAAGGGTGTACTGTATTAGATCCTCCAATCTAGTAGGCTTCAGCTATATTAGTGTGAAAAAAATCTATTCTTAATGGCACCGTCCACCCAAATCCTCGACTCCCTGTTTTGATCGTGCCGGGGCCTTCTCATGTCCCTGATTTCGAATATGAAGTCGAGAATCTCGAAAACCTCGACGCTTCCCATTCCGGAGAACCTCAGGCCGACTTCGCGGAAGGGTGATTAAATGGGTGCGCACGGATGGACGGGCATTACTCGAGAGGGGAGGTGCCAACTTAAAGGCAGGGGTAGGGGAATGAAAGCCGCCAGTTTGGGCCGCCTCCGCGGACTGCTGGTCCTGGAACGACATGCAACAACGCTGCAAAAAGAGCAGTTGGCCGCGAAAGACGCCTCAAACTGGCGGATTTCGTTCCCCTACCCTAAAGGTAGCGGCTCGGCAGAATGAAAAGTTTGGGATATTTATGGTTCCCGGTTCACCTGGACGAGCTTAGTCCAAGACTGTGCTTTGCAGCTTTAAAGAACATCAATAATCCGCTTTCCCAGACGTGAAAAGTGCTATTTGGGCGGACCGCGTATCCTGCTCTCTAGAGCGCGATTGGCCCGTGAGTACGGTAGGTCCGGTGTCTCCATTCACAAGCCAATAGCGCTCTAGAGAGCAGGATACGCGGTCCGCCCAAATAGCACTTTTCACGTCGAAAAGCGGATTATTGATGTTCTTTAAAGCTGCAAAGCACAGTCTTGGACCTAGCTCATCCAGGAGAACCGAGAACGACTAATATTCCAAAGCTGTCATTCTGTCGAGCCGCTGCCTCTAAGGTCTTGAGGTATGTATCGTCGCTATTCCGAAGCGATTTTTTCGCTCCCGAAGTGACATTTTGCGCTGCGGCTTGGGCATTGGCTTGATAGGGGTTCCTACTAACATGAGCCAAAAGCTCAAGACCCCTAACTTAGGGTGACGGTGCCTTTAAACTTCCCCTTTTGTTTCGTTTCCAGTCTACCCTCCCACGGTAACTTTTGAAGACTTAACAATAAGATTTATGACTGAAGGTGCTTATTTTGTGGCGCCCTGTGCATTGCTAGCACGGTACCTAATTACCCATCGATTGTCAGTACTTTGCAGCAGATCATTGATACAAACTTCAGAAATTAGTAGAAAAATTTCTTAGGTGCGTAGTAACTCTGATGCAAATATCTCTGTATTTTGTTAGAGAATTCGCATTTTCGTTGTAGACATAAATGAAGAAAGTGTTACCTGTCGGAATTTGTTCATTCCAGAGCGAAATCTTCTGTTGATAATTTTTGTCGTACATATCTCGGTGCTGCTTGAACAGTTCTTGAAGCTTGTTGAAATATTGATTGACGTTCTCTTGGCTTGTGCAATAAAAATTTCACTAGCACTTTTTCAACACATAGATACCGATACACATAAAACAACCAAAGCAGTTGCTCGCCATCCATATTCGAAACGGGAGAGGAAAGAGATCGAGGATGAATAGAAAGTAGAAATAAAGAAAGCGAAGAGGGAGAAGAGGAGGAAACATACGTCAGGGTTGCACTTCAATTCCTCAAGCACCAAACTCGCTGTAAAGGGAAACGAACTAAAATTCTGGCAAGTGGGGCAAGTGGGAGTGAAATCACTGCTACGATACTTGATTCGAAGAAATAAGCTAACAACACTTGAAACTTAGGGCTTGACCCAAGATGAGAGTGTTAAAGTTTTCATATTCCTCTTGTGCCGCGAATCGCTCTATGAATTGTTACCAAGCGATATTTCGGTTTGGATACCATGCACAGTAATGGCCAAACATTTTTGCCCCCCCCCCAGGACTTTCGTACGGGGGGGGGGGGAGGGGGGGCGGGAGCAAAAATGTTTTCAAATGAAAGTGCGTGGCCATGCACTCCAAAAAAATATTTTTTAAGTGCTTGTGAAGATTTTCACGGGTCCATAACCCCTATTTAGAAAAGGGAAGCGTGGCAACAGCCACGCCCCAGAAAAAAATTTTTTTCAAGGCAATTTGAATTTTGGAAAATTTTAAAATTTTTCTCAATTATTTACAACAATAAACAAGTTACTTGCACATTTTTATAGCCCATGTAAGTAAATTTCAGAAACTTCGCGAAGTTATCTGCTCAACTAGACTGAGAAGGCTTGATTTCATACCATTTTTTCAAATGGGAGATCGCTCAAAATTCGGGCACAAAAAAGAGACACTTTCAGGTCACAAAACCCTGCTGTAGAGATTTATGTAGCAGGGATGAATTTCCTCAATCCCAGGAAAAGTTTCATAGGTTTCCTCGCTACTTTTTCCTTGTGCGGTCATTTCTTTAACCAAGTGTTTTGAGCTGTATTTACACTCAAGTAGCATTCAAACAAAATTTGGTGAGTTTCAAGCTACATGAAAGTGATGAATAGTTTTTTCAAAACCTTCATTGAAGAATTTCTGTTTCAATGTCTCTCACATCCACTGACATCACATTTTCTAGCCTCAAGATAATTCAGCACTAAAAAAAGTTGTTTCCTCAAATTATCCTATGTGCTGCTTGAAAAACAACAAAGATGAAGGTGAACTAACAACAAAAGTGAAAAACTTTGATATTGGCGATTGGCGATCGCCAGTCGTAGCGATTGGCGATCGGTAACTGTGTGGTAACTTGTTTGCGATCAATAGGTATGTAAAGTACAGTCGCCGATATTAGGGATCAGCGATCGCTAGTCGCTAATATCGTCGACGGGCGATCCCAGTAGATTGGCGGTTGCCGATATCGGCGACAAAAACCGCCGATTTTACACGTATTTGATGCGTATCGACCTTCGCCATGCTATACTTCTCGAGGAGTATAGCGCCTGCCTAAGGCCCCGGGCAGACTTCACGCGATTTGATCGTCGCGACTGAATCGCGAGGAGACAACTGTTACAACATCATTCCATGCAGATCAACTTGCATTCGGTTGTGATACTTTTCCAGACCGAAATTTTTGAATGTGAAATGAAAATGAATGGAAATCTTGGCGATTTGGTCGCGACGATTAAGTCGCGTGAAGTCTGACCGGGGCCTAAGGCCTCGGGCAGAGTTCAAGTTTGATCGCCGCGATTCAATCGCTACAAGACAAGTGTCACGAATTCATTGCATGCCGATCGGCCTGCAGTGATATTGTTGCAGTTGTCTTGTCGCGATCAATCGCAATGATCGAATTGCGTGAACTCTGCCCGAGGCCCAATATCTAAATGAGAACGGCAGTGTGACTGTAGCACTATAGCAGGTTTACGAACGTGTAAGAAACACGAACTGGCACCAGATTTTGAAATTTACCCAACGATAAGCATCAGTTATCTAAACAAAAGACAGAGGGACAACGTTCCGGCTGTTACCTCCTCACTTGGTGTGGTCTTACGAAATTTGCCATCCTCCCAAGCTTACGAAATTGACTCATAATTTTATGAAATACAGCATCATACGAATCCTCGGACAAAGATCAGTACATTTCACTATGATTTCTAGAGCGAGTACAAGGGTACAATGATAAATGAAAAATTTACTGATAAGCTGGCAGTGAATGTGAATACTTGTGATCACAAAACGTTTCGGGAAGTTCATCATCGCACCTTCTTTGAGGCCACCTTCTTTCGCAAAGAGCGGTAGAATGGCGGAGACCGTACACCTATGTAGTCCCATTGCACAAATCTACTACATTGGAAGTGTGTGAGGTCATCATCAAAGACCTAGGATTTTTATGATACCCAAATCTTCAAGCACATTGTTTTCCAAGCATTTCTACCAACTTCAGCGATGGCGAATGGATTTGCCGAGAATGCTGGCACCAAAAAGAGCAAGTGATCTGTCAGTGCTTAAATATTAACCTGCCACTTGGGTCAGTATCAACGTACATATTTGTTGATACGATGGTACGAGGAAAGTAGGCTGATTACTTTCCCTCTGAGTTTCGAAATCGCTCTCGTAAAGTTAGAGAATTAGAGGCTGGTGTGACGGTCATGCTCTTCACAACACTGACCAACGGAGTATGTGTTTGGAGACAAGACTCTGCATCGAAAAAATCATGCCAGGGTAACATTAGTTTCATTTTACAAAACCCTTTGCTTTTAATCAATATGCTCTTTGGGTTCGAACGACAGCAGGTCTCGGTAGGGCTTTATTAGCTGTGGCGATTAACAGAGCGCAAAACAGTCTCTGAGAACACTAAAAGTGGATTTGAGAGTCCTATTTTTACACTGCACTTGGCCAGGATCCAGCAAGGTCATAGAAGCACGCTAAACTTCTTTTCCGGTTAAAAACAAAGGAGATATCTCGAAACATTTTGTACTGCAACGGATCCACCTATATTCACCGTCTTCGAAAACAAGGCATAGGCTCGCTTTTGAGAAGCATCGTACTACGCTTACTATTTAAGAAAATCGCTTTAAGGGCCGGGCATACTTCACGCGATTTCAGTCGCGACGCGACTTGGCAATATTCCAACTGTCCATAACGCACTGTATGCACGTTTTAAATGTAAAGAAGATAGGGCATTTTATCAGTCCACGTACATATGTTATACGCACTATGCATGTGCAGTTTGTTAGTGTTCTGAAGACTTATGGCGAATTGCTAAATCGCGTCGCGAAAATCGCGTGAAGTATGCCCGACCCCTTTAAGAAGCTTTCAAAGGGTTGTGCTGTGGATGAGACTTGCATCGAGGATGCGCCACTTGTGTGCATCAATGTCTGAATAGTAATGACCAATGAGAGCTGTTCGAAAGTGATGATAGGCATTCTCTTATCCGATGCCATGAGAAAGTTATTTACATTGTTAGATAGCGTAACCACGCGATGCTCGGCTTGATCAGGTTCATTCTCATTTTCAATCGCACAAAACCGTGACCCTTCAGAGGTTTCAAGTTGAGTGTTGGTGTAACGCTGCTTTTCACGTCTGAATTGTTGCAGCCATCATGACCGTCAACTACATGCAAGCAGCAGCGACTGCGAGAGGTGGATCGTTCATAAAACTGCTGTTTCGCTGGCGAGGAAGTGTATGGAAGCTTGTTTGGAAAGAACTAACAATCTTTCTTTTTGTGTACTTCAACATGAGGTTTGTGATTTCGTTGGGAATTGCACGATAAGAGTAGATTCATCAAGCTAACGCAATTCACAAGATAGCACATAATGGAGTCGAGACGTGCACTGTAGTCTGTTGTCTCGACTTAATCTTAATGTAAGGATTTTCTGCTAATCCTAAGCTCATTCATCTCGCTGATTTCGAAAATCAAATTGAGCTCGCGATAGCTGACTCAAATTTTCATTTCTTGGCAGTTTTTCGACATGCACGTCAGAGGCTCTCTAGTTCAGCTGTCGCAATAAAGCAGTGGGATCCAAGTGCAGAATCGTCAAGCTCTGTGCATAGCTTCGTTGAAGGAATCCGTAAACCTATCTGACCGTGTCTCTGATTTTCAAGCACATTGCATATGAAGCTTGAAAATTCGTTACCAGTGACATATGCAAACTTCTCTCAGACACTGGGAGGGAGCGAGCAGCGGCCCTTGATTCACTACACCGAGATAACTAGGCCGGATGTTTGCAGCATCCGCGGACAGTCGGGGATATCGATGTAGTGGAATGAGGAGCCACGGAGCCATAAGCCATCCGCACTGCGCACAGAAAGCAACGCTGTTGCGTACATTGAAGGCAGTTCACGATTCGAAGAAGCGCAGAGAAAACAGGCACGAGAGTGCACGAGGAAAGAGGAGTGACGCGCAATACACCCTTGCACACTCTCCGCGCCCTTCGCGGACGGTCTATATAGTGCGGATCACTCACCTCTTTCATTGCACTAAAATATTCTAACCAAGCCGCGGCTTATAACAGCGGTTGAGAGGTTCTAAATTTGCTGCAGCGCTCGTTGGACTGCTGTAGCAAATTTATAGATAAGAAAGGTTTGTTAATTAACAAAGAGCTGGTACCAGGCAATAATGCGGACGAGCGCAGTGTCTCTACCGGGCCAGCGATCATACCTCTTGCCGCTCATCCTCTAAAGGCACGCCCATCCGCTACAGATATAAAGCGGGCGAGCGGCGTACCCTAAGGCCTCAAACAGAGTTCACGCGATTTTATCATCACGATTCATCGCTACAAGACAAGTGTTACAAGTTCATTGCATGCCGATCTACTTGTATTTCGGTTGTGATTAGTCATGATTGGTCGTGTTGGAAACTCTCATAACCGAAGTGCAAGAAGATCGGCATGTAGTAACATTGTTACACTTGTCTAGTCGCGATCAATCGCGACGTTGAAATTGCGTAAACTCTGCCCGAGGCCTTAGCAAGCGATCATCATACTTCTCTCCTCTCTCTCACTAATAGTACTCCGCTCGTCCGCTCGTACATCAAACCGGAAGAGCGGAGTGCCTTTGGCGGGCTAATGTTCATATAGGGCATACAACCACCATCGGTCGTGGGTACCCAGGGAAAGAGGCAGAGCGCGCGCGACGCGAGCAAAGGAGATTGCACTCGAACGCGAAATCTAGTCTTGTTCTTAGACTCATGACGTTGATTCATCCCGTGGTTACCTTACATTCCCTTATTAGGCATTAGATTCCGTACTTGTATCGATTACTAGACATTTCAGATGGTGGAGCTGTTCGAATGAAGAATATTCAAGCTGGGACGGTGAAGCGCATCTTTTGCTCTAGCAAAAAATTATCATCTATTCCGAGTTGAAGAGACTCGACCACGCTTTGCCAAGTATGAAGTGAAAATGTTACTTGTTCTTGGCGGCGTGGCGTTATGGGGCAAAGCTACGCCGCATTCGCCTGCGGTATATCCTGAGGGCCCTTTGCGTTGTCTCGGTCCTAATTGCACCCGCAAAGGAGCTAGCGTTACCCAGCGGATTGAGTGATTCTCGAAATTTCTCTTCTGCAAAGAGACCAGAATGCGGAAGTTTGAGGATTAAAAAATAGATTCTGACGAAGAAGTGTTTGAAAGTACCACCAAAGCGAAAGTAAAAGCTTGGAAAGTTAGTAACGAGTTCTGTCGCTTTTCTCTGTTGATTCTCGTGTTACAGTTAAAATGAAATCAGTCTTTTAGTCTCATCCGAGGTTCAGGCTTCGCATCCGTAAAATCCATGTATTTTTCGATTTTAAATATCTTTGTTGCATTCATGCAGTTTAGACATCTTCTCAAGGCTTAGCAATAGGGAATGGCTCATTCGTTGTCAGAAGCGGCGTACTCCTGCAGCTGCAGTCAAAGGCGACGCAACGCAACTGACCTCAGGACACACCGCAGGGGAATGCGGCGCTGCTTTGCTCCATAACGCCTGCCCCCCCCCCTTGTTCTTTATCCCATTTGGTTGGTTTACTACTAGAGATTAGACGAGAAACAAGTACAAGTTTGTTAAACAGCGTGTGCAAAGTTCTGAAGTCTCCTAATCTCAGAATTGGCTTATAATCAGAATGTCAAATTCAAGTCACAGTCGCAGAAAGCCGAATTACCTTTCCCACCATCGATTTGAAAGAAAAGAAGTTTCAGTGTGCTTATGCTTCTCATTTCGCGTGAAATATGAAAAACGAGATATTTCAACATGCAATTGAATACGAAATGAAGTTCATTAGATACGCAAGAGAAGTCTCTGTGCAAATCAGCTGAGAAAAAGAACGATCGTCATCCCTAGCCGCAGATATAGCGACGCTTTCGCGCTCGGGTACTAATTTCGCTGTCCTCGTCGCGCTTTCGCACCCTCATCCCGTGGGTACCCACGACCGATGGTGGCTGGTATGCCCTGTACCTTGCCCCGCTCTTCCCATAGAGTTACGCCGCTGGTCGCTGCTCCTGAAGACTGTACGGATTTGACAGTTACTGTCGTTGGGATAATAACCTCCCCTTTCTTTTGCTACAGGTAGATGCTATTGGCTGAATACTTGAGAAGGAATATATACAGGGTGTCCCAAAAAAATGTATCGAACGTTTGATCGTTAATATCTCTCTTCTGAAGAAGTCTTTTCTCTTGCTTTAGGTACCAATCTGTAGAGCTGGCTTCAACTTAGATTTGCATTAAAAAAGTTTCACTCATCTCTCTTCATTACTGTAGGATTACGGTAGAAACTTCAAAGAGGGTTTTAAGCAAGAAACAACCTCGACATTTTTACACTAGGCTAATTAGAGTTGCTGATTATAGCTGTAAAGTTCCCAACTTATTATGATGCTTCATTGAAGAGTTATGACAGGTAAGAGGTAGCGGTCATTTTTTTAATGTTCTTAAAAGTGCGGTTACACCATTTAGAAGGCTTCATAATCTCGTGAATAGTTGAATATTAAACTCAGCGTCCATAAAAACCCTATAACATAAGTTTTCACATTTTTTTGAAAAATTTTGAAACGGCAGCTTTTTACACATTGACACCATATGTTTCAAGTTTCTACCGTAATCCTACAGTAATGAAGAGGGATGAGTGATTCGTTGTATAGTGCAAATCTAAGTTGAAGCCAGCTCTACAAAATGGTACTTGAAGCAAAGCAAAAGACTTTTTGGGAAGAGAGATATCAACGATCAAACGTTCGATACATTTTTTTGGGACACCCTGTACAAACATTTATTAAAACGGCTCATACTTTATTACAATTACTACTTATCAAATCGCTTCATAAGTTCGTAGAGTTTTCATTCTTTGCACCTCTTTAAGAAGCGGTTGATTCGAGACGAGTTGCGTATACCGTTGAGAAAAGCTGTTCATACCTTTTGAAGTAGACTAAATATTTTTGATGAAAAGCTGATGTGCTTTGTCCTTAGCTTCCAAAAAAGGATTTCTTAGAAGGCAAAAAAGCATTTTCGGCACTTGCTCATTTTTTTCTTATCAAGGAAAGCATTTTGCACAGATTTTTTTGCCGATTATCGAGAATGGCGTTTTCTCGTCAATGTGAGACAATAAAGGAGTGGCTCCTCAACAAGACTTTTTGCAGGATGGGCAGGAGGTTCTGCGTTAAAATTGCTAAGCAAGAACGAGATGGTCGCCCGCACCGTACGCAACCCGACTGCACCGTCTAAACAACTACTGCAGAAAACGCTATTAAACAGATCCAGTAAGCTTTCCTGCGCGACAAAACTTAGCCCCCTGCGACAACCGTCTTTATAGCTGCCCTACAAGAGTTGGCTGGGAGGTACAATAGTATCCAATGTACTCCTGAATCTCGCTCTAGCAGATTAGCATCTGTTCCATTCTATCGCAAAATATGAACAGCATCCGTTTTGATTTTGAAGACGATCTCAGGCGCTAGTTAGACGACTTTTTGGGGACCAGATCCGCTGAGTTCTGGAGAAACGGAACTGAAAATCTGACCCGCATGGTGGCAGAAGGTTGTGCACAACAACGGGAAACGGCATTACTGACTGAATTCTGCTAAAATTTTGTCATTTTTTTGATTTATAAAACTCTACGAACTTATGAAACGACCTAATACAAGCACAAGCAAATGGAATAAGCATGCTCACCGACGTAAGCTAAAACAGCATGATCGGCTCCCAGATTCGTGTGATGGTGTATTGCAGACTTTGCCTGATAACATGGATAAACTTCTTACCTCAACGTATTGCTTTTCGTACTCTCTCGCTAGCAAAAACTGCCCGCAGTGAGTTGGAAAGACTCCACCTCCATACGAATCTGGAAGCCGATGATTCTGAGATAATAAACCGAAACAAAATAAAGGCGCAACAAGATTACATTCTCATGAGTGCAAAAACGTGCAAGCACGCATTTATATACATACACGGGAAATGCACTGCTCGGCCCCAAAAATTTTTTTTCCAAAACCTCATTCTTTTCTTTCATCTTCTGGATTTCGTCAGCTGATGCCCACGCTTATTTCGTTGCTTGCATAAATTTGCTGTAATATTCTCACACCGCTAGGAATCCATTTCCCCGAATGTAAGAGCGCACATCTCGCTCAAATTTGAAAAATGCAGTATTTAGCATGGTGAAAACACTCTCTTGGCGCAACCGACTTTCTTCAACGTACAATGCCATTTGTGGGCACTTAAAAAGCTGAGGGCGCCAGTCTTTCTGCTGCTGTATCAAATCGTCCAATTGTTCGTTCCTTTCTTCCCGTCTCTCTTGGATTCTTGTAGAAGCTTTGATAAATTATTTGGTAGTTCGCAACACTCGATGTTTGACAGCTCACCTACAAGGGCAGTTTGCTTATGGTTAGTCGAATGGCGATTCGGAAGGGGATCTATACCTTTGGATAGAGCTTGAAACGTTGATCTCAAATATACCTTCTATATCTGCTATTGTTCTGAAAAATATTATGAGCTTCTCTAATGTCAAGTTTTCGTGCATTTTGGGTCGCAAAATCACGATAATTTCTACACAAAAGTATGCAGCTTCAAAATTCACCTAGTAAGTATTGTTCTAATTTTTCATCCGAATGTTTTCGAGTGTTTCCAACCATGTTGTATATCCACAAGTTGTCATTTCCTTTCTAAATCACACTTCTATTATAGATACAAAAAACACGCATAATTCTCTCTAGAAAAACGCGTCGCAGATGTAGAAAGTATATTTAACACTGCGTTTTACATTCTATCCATTGACATACGTCATCATCCAAATCGCCACTTCGACCCAACGAGCTTCCCTTGTTAGACACTTCAAGATTATCTCAATCCAGGGCTTTAATCCATTATGCCGAAAACTCAGCCTAGCTTCCCCAAAATCTAAATGTTGGTAATATTGCCAAACGGGACCGCTACCAACTTGTCTTTTACCTTTTAACACTTCTTCTACCTCATCGGGCAAGTTTTTCAATGCCTCAATTCGTCCTCCGGTGTGGTTCATTTTGACGGCGAATTCCTTGATTTTTTGGGGGGTCCTTGTTTTAAATGCACTTTGTAGAACGCACACTCATTTGCAAATGTTCCTGACACTTACTCGCTTACAGCACAGACCAACATAAAGAACAAAGTTGCTGATATGCATTCCCTCTCCTTTTTCCCTGCCATCCTTTGCGATTTGTTAGATTGAGCTAGACTGGTGATTATATGACTGTCATGAAACCTTTGTAGCAACCTGCTTGAACGGGGGATTCGCATTTATCTTCCATAGCTTTGCGCAATTGTGTATACAAATTGTTACGCTAGTAATCGGAACATTCCCTTCCGTCTTTTCCGTGCAACGTGCAGTTCTTGTTGGGACGACTCTGGCTATCTCAGTCTGAAACAGGATACTAACAAGGATCACAACAAACAGAAAACTTAGCCATACCGTTATTCTGTCAGTAAAGTTCCCCAGCTGGTGGTATCGGTTTCGTTGAAGCGGTTCAGATATGTCGTTCTTGCGTACATCTCTACGCTGGATCTCACGAACCCAGACAAAAGTAGTTTTGCTTTTATAGAGTACAGGGGTAGAATATATATGAAAAGTGGCTCCATTGAGTTCTTGACGACGCATATTTGACAGTATATGTTTAGCGGCTTGGTCCGTGTATGAAACATTGTTGCAAACGCAGCTGTATAAGGATGTAGGAGAAGGAGAAGGAGAAGGAGATGTTTTACGATCCGAGTAGTACCGAAGTGAAATTTACGCCTTACGTAGACATTCCCTGAAAAATCAAAAACTCTTCGTAATTTTTTATGTAAAACCTCATAAACATTTTCCTCTGCAGAATTTTCTCTGTTGAGCCCTTTGTCAATGGATACTTTTTTATCACTGCAAATGCGAAGTTGATATCGAAATTGGATAAAGTGCGAAACGAACTTTTTTTAAAAAGCTGTCTTAAAGCCGGCCTCTGCTCTTATACTTTTCATGGGGCTCCGGTACTGCTAAGAACATATTGCCCACGTACAAGGAGAATTGTAGGGCAGCCGTACTGACTCGTCTCTTGCGGGGAAAGGTACCGCTCGCTTGCTGAGCTAATAAGATACCTTGAACTACGTTTTGAATCATGTTGGTCCCGTTCACACCTCGGAAACGTGGATCAGTCCCTGCGCATTGGCCCAAGATCTTCGAAAAGGAGCCCACATTCCCATGCTCATAATCCTCAAACTCCTTCGAGTCTTGTTGGTTAATGAAAACGGATCGATGGCGGAAGAGACATCAAAATCATGAGCAGCCTCAACGCTGGGTTGCATCTCATGCAGATACCGTTTACCTCACAGCGTGTGAGAAATGTGAGGAGAATATAAACGTCATTGTCGGCCGCTTGCACAATCACAGGTATTGTCGTCCCATCAAACGGGCACACTGTTGCCCGCTCGCTCGGACATTAATACTGCCGATCGCATGTGCCGCTTAAACGGAATTCTTGTTTGCCGCACACGCGGAAGCTTTGTGTCTGTGCCAGCCGTATGTACAAAAGTGTCTGCAAGTGGGCCGCTCGCACGGCGCAAATCCCTGAATGTGCGGGACAGACACACTGACCTGTTTGTCGCTGAGTGGCCACCCTAGTTCTGCACTCAAGTTGCGATAACACTAAATGGGAATAACTCGCACATGAAAGTGACTAAAGGCAAATATAAAGGTAAGCACTTTCAAGTTAGTCTAACGTGTTGATGCTACACCGCCCATCAGCAATCAAGATCCGCTGCTCGCAAGCTCAGCAGGGTACGCCGCTCGTCCGCAAGAAAAGTACGCCTACAAACTAAAGCTCGCCGCTCGCCCGCAGAGCCGTTAAGGCCCGCCGCTCGTCCAAATTATTGTCTGAGTAGTACATGCGAAATAAGAGGATAGGAACATGGACTCAAGCCAAATCGAAAACCAGCCTGCTTCCATACGATTTGCGCCGGGCCTTGCACTTAAATAATGACCGAAGCCTAGTGCTCATTCAATACTAAGCGAAGAGCTAATCTTACTGCCTACCTAGCGCGCAACCAAACTAAAGGAGATAAGTTAACCCATTAACGACCACGCCTAATTTCGCGTGGCGGCGCTGTGGGACGACGCGATTTTGCGCAACACTTTCGGTGTGGGAAGGTTTTGTGGATGTTTACGAAATGCAAGATTGTTTTGTAGACAACTATAGACATTTTCTTAAACGACGGAGACTACAGGTCCCAAGAGTGCAGAAATTAGGGAAAAATATTAATATGTGGAAAAATTACTAGGTCTACAAACAATATGACTTTGCAGGAGGTGTGGGCCAACGGTGGTCCACATCGTCGTCAAGGGGTTAATTATTTATACCTATGACTCACATTACACTACCATGTCAATACATGTCGGAAGGCAGTCCCTAACTGGACGTAGCTTCATAGGATCTGAGCGTAGCTTGATTGCACTTTCGCTGTTCCAGGTCCATTATCTTCATTCAAAGACAACATTAGAGGACCAAACCAACACAGTTGTCCCTCTATTAGAGCCTACATTTAGGATCGACACTAAGCGGAGGGGGATAGATTTATCCTGGACACTGTGTTTGATACTCATTTAAAAAGTAAAGCTTGTCTTGAGATAAGTCTATACACAGAGAGAGGAAAGAAGGGAAAAGAACCGGAAAGTAGTGGGAAGCGTAGTAAGGGAAAGGAACAAGAAGGGCGCGAAAGGAATCAAGAAGTAATGTCATTATATTGTCCTATTATCCTGCTGTTATCCTGTTGGTCTAGAGGTTACGAGTGGGACTAAGGCTGAGAGCCAGTATGCTGAAAACTTGACTTGCTAATACCTAAATTGCTGAACCTATCGCAAGCTTTGGAGCATACCGATACTCGATTTTTCAGCGTATTATACAGGTTCTTCCTGAAGGGAAATGTACTTGGCACAACCTTTGAACTAATTGTGCGTCACTGCCGGTCTCTCTTTAGCCAAACGGAGCCGGTCATTTCGTTTGCCATGGGTTTCTACGTAGCCCAAATCGCAGATAGGTGAGTTCAACCACATCCCTACTACGGTTAACATGTATGCACCTTAGATGGTGGAGAATTTTTATGACAATTCCTTGGCCAGACAGCTTTGGTTTGCATTTGTGCGGGCTGCTGAGATCTCGCACTGGTGAAAAGTATACGGTAACGTTCATTGTTTTCACTACTATATACAGGTTACTCTGGACATCGCATACACATGTGGAGCATCCTTATTTCTGTTTGTTTATTCCTTCTTTACATCCACTTCTTCATCAGAGTATTCTCGACCAACTGAAAATAAGCCTCAGAAAGCTGAATTGAGCGCTATATTGGATATTGTGATAGGAAAGAGTAGATTAGAGAACACATGTCGCTAACTCTGCCGCACTGAGTTGGCACGATGTCTGACATAGCTAGTTTATGCACGCTTTGAAGTCCTAACAAAGAGTAAAAACAGCTTGAGTTGGTTTCTTCGTTAGACGCTAGATTTGATCACCTCAGAGTGGCCAAAAATTCGTAATTTGCGAGTGTTAAGATCCAAGGGAAGAATTTTCACATCACATGATTACTTATCAAGGTACTAAATCAAGGCTGCGCACAAGATGAAGACATTTATTTCAAAAGATTATTCTTACGCGTTTGCGGAAGAACATATAGGCGAGTCGTCACACGTAGAGATGGACGCAATTCCGACTAAGATGCCCGGGCATGAAAGAGACAGCGGACGGCGTGAAGAATGAAAGAACGTCTGATCATGGAGACGACGACAGCGTCCCCAGTAACGCCTTGTATTTGCATGCGAGAGATCGCATATATATTAGGTTATCCGAAAGTTCGTGCCTTCTAAGTCTATCCTAAAATTCAAAATGAAGATAGACAAACGCTTCAATAGTGTTCGATGCAAAATTTCTCCCTCTTTCTAGCAGCCGTGTTCCTGTCTCGATTTTTCGATGTTTGCTTAGTAGTCGTCAGGATCTCCAACCATGATTTTTACCTACTTTTGTTCTAGCTATTTTTGATAACTTTCATTCTCAACTTTTGAAAGAGCTTTCATCACTGTTGAATAGAGTAAATGAAAGGCAAGACAATGCATTTTTTGATATTCATAGCTGAATTTCAATCTTCAAAATTTATGCTACCAAGTTCCTTGGTCATCCCAATCCTATAACCAATAGCGAGCGACTGAAGAAGAGAAGAAAGGAGCTTTCGCAGCTGAGAAACGAGCGATCTCAATGGAGGCCTCATTTGTATCGATGCAGGTTATCTTCCTCTTTCTTATGAGCGTTTTTCCTCTCTAATCCATAAGGGTTTCAACAATAAAATTATCGTAATTTTAGCGTCAAGCTGTCCCGAAAAATGTATTCAGAATCCCGCAGCGGTCAACATTCATTCGTACTGATAACAGCGTTTAGAAATATATGTTCAGTTGAAGAAGCGTAAAAATACTTGTCTTGCATTTTGTCGAATTCACCCATCAGTAATCAATGTTCTTCCAAAAGTTAGAATTAAAATTTACAAAACACAGTAAGTTTCGACCCGCTTTAGGCGGAAATTGGACTGGTGGGAGTCTGCCTCGCAACAGCTCGCACCGTTTCGCAGCTACAGTATATCCTATAGTGCTAGAACCCATGTCTGCGTCTCTTCAATCTCCTTAGTCTTTGCTTGGCAAAATGCCACCGCTAGAAGCCTTGCGAAGCCTCCAGCGATGCGCATGCGCTGCTCCAAGTAAAATGTCGCGGCTAATCCGGGATGAAACCGACTGTACTTGGTAAGGGTAGGTAAAAATCATAGGTTCGAAGGACTGCCAAAAATCATGGAACAAAGGCAACACCTTTGAAAAAAAAAAAGTCTGCATCGAATGCTAGTTAGAGCATTTGCTATCTTTATTTTGCACGATAACGCGAGTGTCGCAAATTGCGCGACTTCTACACAGTTGCCCGCTGCCTTGGCGCGGAAAGTTCCAAAACGCCAGTTCCGTGCTGCCTCACCCACTCACAGCCGCCTGTAGCGCCAGCTTAGCAGAAAACATTTTTGTCGCATGTGCCAACCAGTGAGAGGTCGGATTTCAACGTCTATCTTCGTATCGATCGATCGAGCAGCGCCTTTCCCAACCCTCGCGTACGTCGCACATATAGGGGCCTGCAAGATCGCGAGAGTCGGACGTGCGTACGGCCATTGCGCCGCGCACGTCAGATCGGCGTCCGACGACTCGGGTAGGTGCCAGACTTATCCTGTTCAACAGGTTCATTCGGTTCACCACCTTTTCTGTGGACAATGTAGTGATTTGACCCATGACCCGAACGAACCGGTTGAAGCGGATGAATCTGGCACCTGCCCTAGTGACATCAGACGTGCGCGGCGCAATGGCCGTACGCACGTCCGACTCTCGCGATCCTGCAGGCCCCTATACCATGCCGCAGAGGACTAGTCCCCGCGCAGATGTGCTAACCCCGGATGCGCTTGCGCCTGGCACCGTCGGCGACATCCTCGGGGGGGGGGGGGGGGTTCTGATTCATTGGTCCCTAGGATTGTAAGTTCTGGTCGGTTGTACTCCACCCTTGTGTTTGAGTGTAGGGAGTTTGTGCGAATAGATGGTGGGCTTTTAGGGGTGTATGTCAAGAGGCGCGATTTTTATTGCCAGCTGGACACCAAGTAGCACATAATAAGTGTTCTACAACTTTCCAAAAAGAATTTTAGAAGAAGATACATTAGATAGTTGCATGTGCTGTTCAATTCTGATACTCTAGAAAAAATTCAAAGCAGTAATTTTGAAGGTCAAGAACTCATGAAAATACATTTCAAAACAAATTCATAGATATTTCAGTCCGATTTAAGCAAAAACCATGAAACTCAGCAAGTGATGACCTCAGAAAGATAGTAAACTAATGCACTTTATCCGGTAATTTTTAAAGACTCGCATGGCACTAAACTGGAGTTCTAAGTTGGTGACAGCCGGAGAAATCGCGCCTCTTGACCATCTCCCGGCATTTAGCACCTGTGTTATTGATTGAAGTGATGTGCCACGGCTCTATGGCTCCGGGAGTATCTTGCAACATCATGTGGTTATCTTATGTTCACCTCAAATGAACGATCGGTATGAAGGCTGGCACGGCCCCGGGTAGTGCCTAGATTATGAGTGTAAGTCCCAGGTGTCCATAGTTAAGGGCAAGTGTCAACTGCAGGTGTCGTAACAACTGCTAAGCAGGCTGGTGGCAGGGGCTCGTATGTGTACAATTGATTCAACTGGCTGAGCTTCGGCAAAGGCGGGCTTCGTGACCTAATTAAGGCTGGGTAATGATCAGAGAGCACTCGCGTGGGTGCGTCGCGGGCGGCCTGCCCTGATGGAGCTAAACCATTTGAACCAAAGATAATAGCGTAGTATTCTGGCAGGCTCAACAAGCATTCTCACAGGTGATGCCACCATGCTCTTTTCGTTACACTGGGCCACCATGCTCTTTTCGTTACACTGGCCCACACTCAGGGATTCGCGCCGTGCGAGCGGTCCTCCTATAAGGGCTAGCGTACAGCGGTCGACATAAGCCTAAAGCCTCCGTGCGTGCGGCAAACAGCTGAAAGTGCCGTCCTAGCGGCAGGCAATGTTAACGTGCAAACGGCATGCAGTACAGTTGTTCGAGCGAGCGGCCAGCTATACGTCCGTCTTATCGGTCGAATACATGTTGCCGCACAAGCGGCCAACAGTGACCTCTATTTTCTGCTCACTATTTTCACACACTATGAGCGTAAACGGTACCTGTGTGAGATACGACGCAGTGTTTAGGCTGGCTAAGCGTTGACACATCGTGCTATCAACATTTTCTTTTACCAGCAAGACTGGAATGAACCTGTGTGAGGCTACAGTTATCAAGAGTGATGAGAGCTTCCCCATGAAAAGTTTGGCAATGCTGCAAGCATCGATCCATGTTCCCAAAATGTGTAAAGGATTGATCTATCCAAGAAAAATGGTCAAGATATCGCAAATACATCTACTCCAAGAGCAAGCGAGCGGCCGATTTTCTCCGCGCAAGCGGCGAACATTTGAGACCGTGCGGGCGCCCCACGTTAACCGTGCCAACGGCCCTTGACGACCGTACAATCGCACACACCTACGAGCGATTGTAAGGTCGTCGCTGGCCGCCCGCACGGCGCGAGTTCCTGAGCAGTAAACTCCTTGTCATGCCATCTCCCGGCGGACTTGAGTTGTTCGTAGGGCGCCTTTGTCCAGCATCCCGCGAGCTATTGATCTGAATGTTGATCGTTTTAAATGACAAAGATACGTGTTCTAAAAGAAGAAACAGCAGCACTGTTTGTTCGATCATGGTTGAATGGATAACTGATTGCGATGCAACTCCAGCGGTTGTGGTTCGAGACCTGCAAGCGGGATTCTTTTCTGCGACATCGGCACATAATCATTGATGGCGGCCGGTAACAACGAATCGATGATGACCGCAATCAAAAAGTCAGAATATTTTAGCACATTCTCGTAGAAAGCACAGTTTTTGAACAGAAAGACATTAGAATAAGATAAACAAAGAAATTTCACTCACCGCATTTTCTCACAAGAATAACGCAAACCATGCAAAAAACATCTAAACAAAAACATCTTCACGACGTTTACTTTACTTTCTAAACAGAAAATTCAGTCTGGGTACAATTTCATGAGTGACTTGCCTCTTTTGATTTTAACACAGATACAGACCTGGGATCTGCTTGAGTTCAAAACCGATAAAAAACGCGACAGTCTTCCTCCTTCTGTGATCATTTAATGAGGTACACCGAGTGTTCTGTTGTTTTCACCCAAGTGTTTCAGGAAGCTGATAGAACAGTTCGCAGGACTGTTATGCGTTACGTGATACTGACCTATGTCTTAGTCTTTAGAGACATAAGCGAAAGACTCAGGCGAAGGTTTCCAACCTACAACCATCTGGTGACACCTGCAACTTACATAGATTTATTGGGTTAAGACTGAGATCTCCAGGTACCTGCGCTGATGACAGAAGTAGAAAAGACAAAGCTTGAGAATGAAGATATCAAACGAGCATACTGGCTGCCCATTGAATGGGCAATCCAGCATCTACGAAAATGCTACTATAGAGGACAACTTGAAGAGTATCACTTTTCAACGTTGTGTGGGGTGAGAGGTGCTTTCCAGAGATACTGCAAACTGTATTTTTCCTCTCCAGACCGTTCTGCGATACCGTGAAATGATGCACAGCATTCTTTCTTTTGACTGGATAAATGTACCATTGGTTTACACTCAGGTATTTCTCTCATCTTCAATTGAAGTCAGCAGCTAGTTTGTAGCATAGTTGCGATAGATGAAGCAAAATAAGCTTGTCGAGGTTTTGACCTCCGGGTTACAGTCGAATAAACTTCCGCTTAATATAGTATGCTTGCACAGTTTATGAAATGCGGTGAAATTTGCGCGTGAACAGGTACTGCGCCAGCACTGCCGGCATCTTACGCGCGCAATTGGCCGGCGTCATAGTCGAGGCTAATTCCTCACGCGCAAATTTTACCGCACTTCGCCTTCTGTGCAAGCACACTATATTAAGCGGAAAATCTACTCGACTGTATAGCCTTCCATTGGGTTCAGTGCCGGTTCGCGTGGACCCAAGAATCAACTCTTATGTATTAAGGTTGTGCACATCTGCATATGTGCTTACTTTAGTATCAAATGCTTTTCAAATCAGCCTATATATGAGGAAGTAAGGAATATCAAACGCCAAGTTTGCACTTTTCCAAATCATAAACATGATTTTAGGGAGAGAAAACATGGATAAATGATTTTGTCATTCCTTTATACGCTATTTTTGAATTCGTCTTCTTCGTGGGTTGGCTGAAAGTAGCTCAGGTAAGTTGTCGCTCGGAGATAGTTTGGACAAATTTGTGAATTGAGGTAATGCTCAACCCATTTGGAATGGATGAGGATGACTTCGAGATAGATGGACTTGTGGAAAGAAACTTACAAGTATATAACATCGAATTTATAAAGCAGATAAGCTACCAAATGTATTTCCTTTTCTTAGGTTGGCTACTCTTATGTGGATACGATGTTTGATAGACTTCCACCACTAGTTTATGTCGATGTGACCACACTCCCTCATACCAAGGTGATCACGATGAAGGCACTTCAATTTCATAACTTTGGGATTATGGTAGTAATGTTGAGAAGAAAAATACTTAGTTGTACTGCTCCTATATAATGGCACGACATCAGGCCAAATTTGAGTACACAGTAGCTGGCGAAAATGAGAGAACTTATAATCGAATATGGCTTACCCTTACAAAAATTATGTTTGCTTTTGATTACACTTACTTTGATGTGTCTGATACACATTTACAAGTACACAAATGGAAGGTAAATCTCACGTTGTTTGTACTCGATGGGTACTTTAAGGCTCATCAAAGCCGTCCGCCCAAATCGAAGTTACTGAGACTTTGATGTGGTATGATAGAGGGGCATTAATCAAGCCATCGCCTAAGTCTCGCTGGGGAAGATTGGAAACAAGAAAACAGCTCCAGAAGGTAGAAGCTCGCTCCTCTCATCTACGTGGGCGGTCTGAAAAAAACTCAAAATCGGGCTCTAATGTATCGAAATGTCATAAATCCGCCCCCCATTACATATACCAGATCGACACTTTTATTTATCCTGAAGCCCTATTTCAAATTTTTAATCTTCAGACCACTCACGTTGATGGGCGGAAGAATTAGATAGATACTTGCGCGAGGCTTAGTCTGGGGCACCTCCATATACGAAATCAAGTTTTCATTACCCTTAATCTGGTTAGATAGTGCCTAATAACGCTAATACAGGCATCCATGGCTTTACTACCTAAAGCCACTCCAATGGTTGGTTCAGTTGCACATGTGCATGTACCACGAGCTGAACAGCGAATAATAAGTAAGGAGGATTTAGAAAAGATTAGGAAATTGCTGGTGAGCATAATAGCTTCGAGCAAAGGCCAAAGACATAACTTTTTCCCAGGGTCCAACCTTTGGCAGTCGTTACGCATCCAGAAGAAGTGATATGGGATCTTTGGCGGAAGACGTTCCACAATTAGCCGTTGGTAGTCGCGAAATGCTGCTGCCAAAAACGGATGTTAAGCCACAAGTCACTCAAGTTGAAGATGTAAGAAGACTTACGATTAATTAAACAAATAAGCAGTTTCACTTTTGTCTTCCAGAGTCGCGAAATGACGAGGCAGAGTGTTTCAAAGAATTACACTGCTAAAACCCCCGAGAACCTTCTGAAACCAGCAGCGGTATAAAGATTAACACTTTGTGCCAAAAATACATTCAAACATATGCAGAGTGCAGCGAAAAGTACGCGCAAGAAATCTTCTAAGCGCAAGGCTTTATCCTCTATTCAGGTTGATAAATTAGAATTGCTATATTTACTTAACAGCTTTTGTTTCAGCAAAAAGAGTTCGAGTTGGATCAAACACAAAACACCTCAGAGTCTAAGCCACCGTCGACACCCAATAAAATCATAACGGTAAGCATCGAAAGTTATCTGTTCAGAAACTTAAAGGCAGTGTCCACCCAAAATTTTGCCTTCCATTTTTTCAATCTAGGACCTTTCCTTGGCCCTGATTACAGTTATGAAGTCCAAAATGTGCAAAGCTTCCAAGAGACCCAACTTCTATGAGCCCTTTCTTGAGAAACCAGACGGCTTTCTCTATCTGGGTGGGCGGACCTTGATAGGATCTGGGCGTGGCTTAACACGTTTCGGACCGGTGCTGCACATGGTGCAGCACGCTGCTTTGGAGGATCTTTCTGGCGTTTGCAGGAGGTTTCCTTTTAGTCTAAAGTTGTTAAGTTAAAGGTCTAACCCTACTTTTCAAATGACTCTGTAGAGTTCTGCCGCCGATATTTGTTTAGGAGATATGAGCACAAATCGAACAACAGTTGCAACGAATTGCGGCGACGCGAACGACGCGTGCGACGTCGCAACTTTCCTTTGCTTCGATTTCAAAGAGAAAAACCGTAGTTTCAATACTGATGTGTACCGTCTACAACGTAGATACTTTTGAATACTACAGGGTGTCCCAAAAAAATGTTTCGAACGTTTGATCGTTAATATCTCTCTTCCCAAGAAGTCTTTTGCCTTGCTTTAGATACCGTTTTGTAGAGCTTGCTTCAGCTTAGATTTCCATTATAGAACGAATCACCCATCTCTCTTCATTACTGTAGGATTACGGTAGAAACTTCAAAGAGGGTTTTGAACCATGAAAGGCCATAATTTGCCTCAGAAAGGAGACAAAACAGCCTGAAAACTTTTACACTAGGCTAATTGGAGTTGCTGATTCTAACTGTAAAGTTACCAACTTATTGTGATGCTTCATTGAAGAGTTATGCCAGGTGAGAGGTAGCGGCCTTTTTTTCAGTGTTCCTAAAAAGTGCGATTACACCGTTTGGAAAGCTTCGTAATCTTGTGAATAGTTGAGTATTGAACTCAGCGTCTATAAAAACCCTATTACACAAGTTTTCAGAATTTTTTGAAAAATTTTGAAACGGCAGCTTTTTCCACATTGACACCATATGTTTCAAGTTTCTACCGTAATCCTACAGTAATGAAGAAAGATGGGTGATTCATTCTATAATGGAAATCTAAGTTGAAACCAGCTCTACAAAACGGTACCTGAAGCAAGGCAAAAAACTTCTTGGGAAGAGAGATATTAACGATCAAACGTTCAAAACATTTTTTTGGGACACCCTGTATTAGAATCTGAGTTCTTGTTCCTATCTTTCAAGGGAGCACAAAAGTCGAATTCACTCAGGACTCTGGATATGGGGCTTATCTGACATGCTGATTAAAAATATGGCCCACAGGCCGCGAAATAAGGTCCCTTTGTAGGCTAAAGGCTGAAAGTACACTCTTTTTCGCCGCGCGCGATTTCGCGGTCCGAAACGTGTTAATAGCACTTCCCTGACAGGGGAAGGATACTTGGATGCCGTAGCCATTAATAATGATTTGTATACCAAAAAATGCGCTTTTGAATGCTGGTTCGTAGACTGTCTTTCATATCTGCGAAACGATAATCTGAATGGAGTTATGATTTTTTTCATTAAAAAAATTGCGTTCCTGCGGAGGGTCAAAATCATCAATAAAAATTTTTTCTCTTCTTTCCAAATGCTGAGTATGATCCAGATAGTCTAAATAAATATTACTACGTCTAAAATTTTCTTCAGTAGCATCAAACGGTAGGCTAGATCAAATCTGGTGATTTTTACTATCCAAAAGTAGGCTAAATTTTCAAAGAAAAAAGTTCATAACTTTCTCCAAAAGATCGTTTCGCAGATTTCGAGCACAGATTCAAAATCTGCATTCGAAGGCGCATTTTTTGGTATACAAATCATTAGGAATGGCCGCGGCATCCAACTATCCTTCCCTTGTGAGATTCACGTCTATTTTCTCCATTCATAGGCAACATTGGAGAACCGGACCAACGCAATGCCCCTTTCTTGGGACTACATTCAGGATAGGTATTTAAGAGGAGGTTAGGTTTTGCCTAAACGCTGTGTTCAAAAAATCAAAGTTGATAAGGAGAAGTTTAAAGCTTTGAATTTTTGAAACTTGAGGGGACTAAACTTGTAGTTTGAGAATGAATTTTGTGGAAACACACCCTTGCGCATTGACTTCTTTTTTCTCAGTGGTAGATTCAATGTCTTAATAGTGTTGTCTTTCCACTACTGTACGTCTCACTCGTCTCATCCGATGTTGTGTACACTACTTCTGTGCTAACAGAGTACCATTTTGAAATAATTGATGTAGAAAGCAATCTTGGAAGTTTCAATAGGTCGCCAAAGCCAGAAAGGTTTTGAGACAACTTCAAACTGTATATCACTGCCGCAAGTGCTGTACCAAAACTAGCACAAGGCTAACACTGTGCCGTTTCCCCAAGCTAGCCTTCTTGAGCGATCTGATTTAGGGCGACAGTTTTCTAGATTCTCGTGAAGGAAGGATATCGAATTGCACTGGTTCGGCAAGGAGATGTACATCATCTAAGTCCCTGCAGGACACTGATAACATATCCGCTTTTCAAGTCTGCGAAACGGGTTGTAAAAGAAATAGAAAGTTCTGGGACCTCTGTAGTCGAACCGAATATCAGCAATCATCATTAATGTTGACAGAAACGCCGATAGAGTAGTTGAAACAGTACTCTGGCCTTCAGCTATAAAAACCGTAGATATCCAGCTTGTTTTTTGCAAATTCCCGTGTATTATCTAAAGATTGTATCAAATTGCGATTACCCATAGTTTTCTTAGGCCCGTATGCAAGTACGTCCCCGCTGGGGAGGGGAGGGGAGCTGGATCCTCAGGGGAACGATCCCCTCCGCCGGGCCCCGCCATGACAGAGGGGAGGGGAGCGATCCCCTCCCCTGCACCTAAGCGGCGATGGTGTGAATGGTTTCAGAGGTATTGATCGAGCGAACCCCAGTGCATACGGGGTTCGAATGGGGGAGGGGATCCCTTCCCTTCCCCCACTCGAACCCCGTATGCGCGAATTCAACTCAATAACGCGGGGGAGGGGATCGACATCCCCTGCAACGAAGTAGGGGTTCGATGGTGTAGATCATGCCAGAGACGCGGATATTCTGGTTCTGCTCAATCATTACCAAGCATTTCGTTCATTTTGATGGAGGATTTTCTTTGAAAGCCGGGTTCTTCTCTCAGCGACATGTGGCTTGCAATTTGTCTTTCTTTTCTATATTCGCCTCTTGAGAAAAAATCCGAGCAATAATAGCTGCCAATTTCGATCATTTGTAGGAGTTCTTGATCATTCAGAAAATTTGCGCATTTTTCATATAACATAATAGTTTCAACTATATAGGCTGAGTAAACACATTGTAACTTTCATATTTCATGACATGTTGCCATTATCTTGTTATTTTAACATAAGCTGCCTCGAAAAAATCTAGAAAGTAGCATATTTGCCTATTTCTGAGTAGAAATCCCCTGGGGAATAATCCCCTCCCCAGCGTTCCCCTTGTGCATAGCAGGGATGGCTGCTGGGGATCATCCCCCTGGGATAAAGCACGATATGCAGCTGATAGCTACAGCGTTTATGGAGAGCTGACACAATTTGCAGCTTCTGTTATGTGTTAGAATACTGCTTTGAGCGTCCGCACGGCACCCCCCCCCCCTTTTCGGCAGCATAACGTCTTCTACCCATTCCCTTGCAGAGACACATCAACTTCTATAGTTCAACATTTTTACGCTGAAATGGGGCAGCATGAGCGAAAGTGGGCAGCATCCAAGAAAGCAGGGACATAATGGGAGTAGAAAAAATCATTTTTGGTGCCCCGAGCGCAGTCACTGCTTACGCGCATTCCGCAACCCTAAATTATTGAAAGTGAGGAGATGAAGATGAGTTGCAGTCAAAATATGAAATAAGAAAGAGTTTTTCATAGAAAATTTGAAAGCAAGGTGATTTCCCCGCTTGATCCCCTCTTGTGCATAAGGGGGTTCACTTCCCCTCCCTACAGGGGATCCCTTGTCCGATATTGTCTTTGTGCATACGGGGGTTCGCGCGGGGAGGGGAGGGGATCCCCAGCGGGGATCATTTCAATGGTTAAGCGCACATCCCCTCCCCGCGGGGATGTACGTGCATACGGGCCTTAGTGATTGCGTTTCAAAGCACATTTCTGTCATGGTGATAAACATTTGCAGTCGTTTGTAGAAATTGTAGATAAGGTAGACTGTAGAACCCGCTCGGACAAATGACCGGAACTTCCGCAGAGCGCTTGCGGAATTTCCGGCGGGTCATCTGCAGAAGTTCCGTAAACGTGCCGCGGAAGTTCCGAAATCAGGCCCTGCGGAAGTTCCGAAGAATGCAACCACAACAGCAAAAGAGAACACAGAAGCGAGATTTGAACCTCACTTTATTGACTGTAAGACCCACCTACTATCCTCTACACTACGGCTGACATGTTCGATAATGCACTCTAATTTTTGGCGAGGCAACATCACGAGACAACACATTAAAGTCCTGCTGAAGTTCTGGCAAGCCAAAGTGCTGCGGAACCTCTGGCATTTTTCGGAATTTCCGCAGAATTTTGAAGAAGGTTCTGCGGAAGTTCCGGTTTTCAACCAGTTTGGCATGAAAATCCCGCGGAAGTTCCGATTTTCAGCGTTTTCATTCATGCAATAGTGAACAAAATCCTGTGCAACTTCTGCAAATTGGGCTTGTCCTGCGGAAGTTCCGGTTATTTGCCCGAGCGGTCCGCAACCTTTCCCACAAAACATTTCGCAGAACTGGGAAGCGGATATGTTATCAGTGTTCCTAAAGGACCATAATCGTCGGGCAGTTCAATGCAAGTCCTTATTTGCGTTACCCACGAGACTACTTCTAAAAACTTCGCGGCCCATTTCTTGGGTGGAAGGACTTTGAAAAGACTTGTTGCTTTAGATTCAAATGCAGCGGACGCAAGATTCTACCAGGGAAAAAGCGGAAAGGGCGATGAAGGTTGGTTTGTATTTCATTGTCATGACCTCCTAGATGTCCTTTTGTCCAATGCTCCAAAAAGTACGGTGTGCCATAAGGATCATAAAAAATTTAGTTATTTTGCAGAAACTCAAATCTGCACCAACGTCGGCTGTGTCAAGTACAAAAACGCAGAAGAGTAAAGGAACACTGGAAACGGCTAGAACGCCTTACAGCACTCTATCTAAAAGAAGTGATTTTCTTATTTTTGCTTCCAATCCTCATCATTTCCCTCCCCTCCCCTCCTTCAAAACTGCATGCCTTTAGAATACTCAAACAGACACATACTGCTCTTGTCCTATTCTCCTTACCTCTCTGTCGTTTCTTTCAAAACTGACTTAAAGATTCAGCTTATTTGGAGAAGCATGAAATTTATGTGAGCAAAGGGTCAGGTCCAGCTCGCTTAGTACACAGCTGGAACGGTTCTAGCTAATTCGGGAAAAAGTTGGCACTGTTTTTATAGCTTTGCATAGATTAGGGCCATTCGAGCTCCTTCAGGCGCACGTGTACACCAAATTTGGTGTCATTACATTGTGGGTTATAAGCAAGGTTATTGTTGGAGTACAATTTTGAACTTCTGCTGTATTGCCATGCCATAAGCATGCCTAATCTAAACTTCTTAAAAATTGCTTGCCTGCAACAAAGCTAACGAAAAATGATGGTGTGATACTAGTTTTCCATAATACAGGGTGTCAAAAAAGTATGCATGCACGGTTTGGTCGTTAATATCTTTCCTCTTAAAAAGTCTTTCGCCTTGCTTCAGGTACCGTTTTGTAAAGCTGGCTTCAACTTAGATTTACAGTATAGAGCGAATCACCGACCGCTCTTCATTACTGTAGAATTACGGCAGAAACTTCAAAGAGAGTTTTGAGCCATAAAAGGCCATATTTTGCCTCAGAAAGGAAATAAAACAGCCTGAAAACTTACACTAGGCTAATTAGAGTTGCTGATTCTAATTGTAAAGTTCCCAGCTTATTATGATGCTTCATTGGAGAGTTATGCCAGGTAAGCAGTACAGCCATTTTTTCGATGTTTCTAAAAAGTGCGATTACACCGTTTAGAAAGCTTTGCAATTTTGTGAATAATTGAGTAATGGACTCAGCGTCCATGAAAACCCTATCACACAAGTTTTCACATTTTTTTGAAAACTTTTGAAACGGCAGCTTTTTCCACATTGACACCATAAGTTTCAACTTTCTACCGTAATCCTGCAGTAATGAAGAGCGGTTGCTAATTCTCTCCATACTGTAACTCCAAGTTGAAGCCAGCTCTACAAAAGGTACCTGAAGCAGGGCTAAAAACTACTTGGGAAGAGAGATATTAACGATCAAACAGTGCATACATACTTTTGGGACACCCTGTATACTAGAATGTCGACACATATTTATTCAATTCTTCAACAGACTTTGCCTGAACTCGCGAACTATATCCTCTTTACTTTTTCCTTAGAGATCCAGCTTGTCTGCTCACTGCCTCTAACCATCTAGAGTAAGTATGCTAATAACATAAGAGAAATGCCTCACATTTCAGAACTCGACGAAGCCACAGCTCGTACGTCAACTAGAGGTGAGGTAGCACTTTTCCTACGATGACCTCTTCATCCACCAATTTCATTAGATGTCACGGAACGATGGCGCTTCCTATGCTACCGCAACGGCGTAAACACCAAATATGGGAGGGTACCATCCAATGAAAGGAGTGTTTATAGCCGCAAAACATGAAATGAATCTTAAAATAAATAAATCATCCGAAGTTTGCAATCATTTCGGCAGAAGTGGCTTACTCGGTTGCTTGCGCGGTTTTATACAGTGCTGGCCAAAACTATACGTCCACCCTGAAAACTGCCGTAGCTCATCTGCTTCTCAACGAATTGATCTGAAATTTGGTACAGCTGTGTGTTTAACAGGCTACCATCAGCACCTAGAACGGATCCCGTCTTTGTTTGTTTATTCAGGAAAAAATCAGAAATTTCGAAAAAGCAGGCTTGAAGGTTGGCCAAAACTATACTTCCACCTAAGGTTTCTGTCCACTAAAGTAATTCTAGGCTTCCAAAGTCTTTTGTGCATATACATAACCAAAAGTCAAACAGTCGCTTTACTCCAGTTGTGTCCTATCCTTATAAGAAAGGTTTATCTGATTTTTGGCTTAAAAATACTTTCATGCGCATTTTGTTCCCGAAAATGTGTTTTTATGTGTGATTTCGCAGTTTTTTGACTGGTTTGGAAACGATAGGGCTCCATCTATCTTATAAATGCTTAGCGAAGTGAGAACTAGAAAAAAATTTGAATTTTTGCTTTTTAAAGGGCACCCGACATAGACCTAACAGCAAGCCTGCGCTCAAATTTTTGCCTTCAAAATACTTTTGCGAGCTCAAAATGATGTAAAGCATTGTTTACATAAAAAGAAGTTTGTACACTAACTTGCGATTGTTGGCCAAGTCACTTTTGCTTTGTTTTCAAAGCATAAATCTTCTCGGTTCAATGATAATATTTAGGCAGTCCCAAAATACTTACCAAGTGGTACCTTTCCTGATTTTTTGCCACTATTTAGCTTTTAGATAGTAAACACACCCTGTATTGTATGATGCCTTGTGACTCGCATGAGCATTACGGTCAGAACCAAAAATAAGTTTAAGGCTTTTTGCAAATCAGTTTTTGCAGGATGAATTCCTCAATTAGCCTGCATGCTAAGACCTGCGGAAATTTGCAACCACCGCATTCGGGCTCTCATACGTACAAACAATGTTATTACTCTACTTCGCGCTCATGAGAAAATTGCAGAAGGAGTTTGAGGGCATAAATTTGAGCGCAGGCCTGCGGCTAGGCCTATGTCGGGTGCGCTTTAAATATGAAAACTCAAATTTTTCTCTCTAGTTCTCGCTTCGCCAAGCATCTATAAGATAGACGGAGCCCTATCGCTTCCAAACCAGTCAAAAAACCGCGAAATTACCCATAAAAACACATTCTTGGGATTAAAATACGCATGAAAGTATTTTTAAGCGAAAAAAAAGCAGATGAGCGTTTCTTATAAGATATGACACAGCTGGACTAGAGCGATTGTTTTTACTTTTGATTATGCATATGCACAAAAGACTTTGGAAGCCGAGAATTATTTTGGTGGACAGAAACCTTAGGTGGAAGTATAGTTTTGGCCAACCTCTAAGCCTGCTTTTTTCGAAATTTTTGATTTTTTCCTGAATAATCAAACAGAAACGGGATCCGTTCTAGTTACTAATGGAAGCCTATTAGACGCACAGCTGTATACCAAATTTCAGATCAATTCGTTGAGAAGCAGATGAGCTACGGCAGTTTTCAGGGTGAACGTATAGTTTTGGCCAGCACTGTATTATAAACCCTCAGAACTTTACCCACGGACACACTTACATCCTCTATGCGCCTTAGTGATCGAGAAATGACAAATTGAGCACAAGAGGTACCAAAGCAAAGCAGCTTCGTAATTTCAGCCCAATCTTATTTATTCTGAATCGAAAATAATCTGACATTTGCATTCAGTAATGATTATGTGATTACTAGATGACCAAGCGGGAGTATTATACACATTTGGAGATGTCAGATTGTCTTTATAGTCTACTAGTTGGCTTTCCCGGTCCAGCCCGGGTCATGGTTCACCGCACTGCGACCCCCCCCCCCTGTCCTATATGGTAGGATGACCTACCCTGGGACATCCGCTTGGAAACCGCATCCTCGTGATCCTGAGGTGAGAATGAACTTAACCGCCCTCCTTTACATGAGTATGGAAAATGCTTGATTGAACATGATAACCCTTCAATTCCTTAGGAAAATGTAAACAAATCAATAAATCGATAGAAGGGACCAACGAATCGCCGCAAAAAGTCGCCTATCATCTGCGCAAGGGTCGAAAACATATGTGTGCAAAGTTTCAGCTGAATTGGTTGAGTGGCGCGCGTTTCTATAACGCACATACCCTCCAAACTGACAATTTTTGAGTTTTATATATATATATAGATGTTGTTCACGCTTAATGTAAATATTCAATAATCATTTTTGGACTTACTGGCTTTACTTTATGAATATTACCCCAGTTTTTCGTGCTCACTCTGTTGCGGTAGCACTGCAAGTACCATAATTTCGTGACGACTTGATACGTCAGGTTTCGGAACATTTTGAATTCGCAAGAACTGGCAAATTCTTCAGACTCTCCCCTACACTGTAAGCGCTGGAGTCGCAATGCTTCAAAACTTTGCTAGTGTCGAAATAACTTGCTCTTTTGAAATAGCGAAGCTGGCAATGTATATAGCAACTCCACCCATCCGAGCAGTTGATCGATCATCCGCACCACATCCTGTCAGCTTACAGTCGATGTCAACCAAGGCTCCCTTTTCCGTAGCAGCTACGCGTCCGCGCCGCAAGGGCCTAGCACAGCAAATCCGATCGACGAGGCGAGTTTTGAATGGGCAAACTATCGCGCGCGAACGCGGCGCGAGATTTTGGGGTTGCAATTTGGCTGGTGGTGGAAAAGCGGTGGAAAAGGGAGCACGTGATTGACATTAACTACATCTCACGTCCAAAAGCGAAAAAGAATAAGGACTTTTAACACTAAGTTTAGATAAATTTGACTCACCACACCCAACAAGCTTGGAAATAGATTAGCATAGGCTTATCAACTTGTGTGCAAAAGTTATTCTAATTTTCAATATTTTAGACGAAATAAAAGGGAAGGCAGATGTCAGAAAGAAGCCTACAGCGGGAAGTTCAAGTGAAAAGAAAGGGAGCCGCAAAAAAGTCTCGATCAAAACGAGAAGAAAGAATACAAAAGAAGGTGTGAAATCGAAATCGGAAGCGCTGCCTTTGCTCAAAAGTGACACAAAAACCGAGTCAAGCATCAAACCTGCCACTGCAATTGTACAGAAAGCTGTCTCACCAAATGCTTCGCCGGAGCCTGTTGGCAAATATGAAAAACAGAAAGCAATGCAAACGGAAGTGTCCAAGCAAGCTAAGTTTGCTTCGCAGTTTGCTAGGACAGATCTGACACCCAAGTTTGACACCGGCACATACCTGGATCTCAGAAAAGATGAGAAGGAAGAGAAAAAGAAAAAGGCTTCCTCACGGGAGAAGAAGAAGTGAATTATGTAGAAACTAGGTGAAACAAATACTATCCTCGCTATTTACTTGCAAGAAGCCTTGTGAATGGCAAGGCTTGAATTAGTTTTTTTGCTTTTGATAAAAGTTTTGAGGATTTTTTATTTGTTGGTGAAGTTAAGCCGGATGCTCATCGACTCCTACTGATTGCAAAAAAAAGAATATGTATTATTTCGTTAGCGCTGACATTTTCGATAATACGATACTTCGTAGGAGTGATTGAAAGATTTTAAAAGGTTCACGCATGTAACACAATAGCGGCTGAATCATAGGGCATAGCATATTAGCTAGTGGATTCATGGCCAGCAGTTTGACAATACCTCGAACTTACAGTCTAATCCGTTAGACTGAAAGCGTGTGGCCTAGGGCTTAAAGGGCCGGGCATACTTTACGCGATCTTAGTCGCGACGCGATTTGGCAATTCGCCAGAAATCTTCAGGTCCAACACTAGCAATCTGCACATGCACAGTGTGTATAACTTAAGTGGATTGATGAAATGTCCTATCTTCTGTACATACAAAATGTGTTTACAATAAGTTATAGAGAGTTGGAATATTGCCAAGTCGCGTCGCGACTGAAATCGCGTGAAGTATGCCCGGCCCTTAAGGCATACCTCGCGCGATTCGGCCGAATCGCGCGAGGTTTGCCTTGAGCCTAAGTGAGGAACTTTATTGTTAAGGTAAAAAAAACGACGAAGGGGGCGGAGGGGGGGGGGGCTGATAGCGACAGCATAGTATGTCAACCGGCAAATTTTTGAAAAACCAAGGCTTCCTGAAGCCAAGCAAAACGCTCCAGTGATTGATAAACCATTCGAGAACTGAGAACATGGAAAATCGATGTGAACCATCTTTTTGTATTCAGTTTTCCCGAGCAGTAAAATATGAGAAATTTTAGCTGGCCAAAATATCAAATGATTTAGGTCTGTATGTAAATACATCTCGCTGGGTAGAGGAATCGAGAGGAGACGCGCCATTTCTTCTACCCTAGACATTCGCATTCTTCTTTTTCTATCTGTGTCATGGAGGTCCCATACCATGATGCTTGAGTGTAACGAATCACATAACTCTGTCATATAAGCTGAAAATTTCACTATTTCGTGTGATCCCCTAGGAAACCCCCAGGGAATCACCCTTTGTTTTCAAAGTCGTCTATCTTTTAAGGAACTCGATGAAAACGTCGCAAAGTTCTTCAAGGATCTAACACGGCACTGCTGGGGATTTCGACACGACAAATGGATTGTGCAAAATTTAAGTTTTTCGATGAAATTCAGAGCGCGAACAGTGGTTCATCGAAGATTTCGTTATCCTGAAAAAATTCATCATAAAAAATGAATACAGTCTTTTTCAAACCGGGCTAGGCAAAATACAAGTGGAGCAGCGCGTCCGCACCGCCACTGGCTCAGCGAGATAGATTAGAATGAAGAGACGCAGACCACAAAGCGGCGCAAATCGTTGCGAAGCGGATTCCCGCCAGTCCAATTTCCGCCTAAACATAGTTGGAACTTGCTATACAGTCTGCTGCATGGCGAATGCGCAATATCTTCGGGCGTAAACGCGGCTATATTAGCCGCAGGGCGCATGAGTCGCAGGATTTACAACGGAGGATACGCGCACGTCGCGTTCGCTCCAGCACAACTAATACTACTTCGCACCGGGTGTAGGCCCTCCTGAACCCGCTCCAATCGCGACGGTGGTAATAGGTTGGACCACCCACTGAGGTAGCACTGCGATTGGCTGCAGCTTTCGTGCGAGCGGTTGGCGCGCTGCGTCTCCGTACGAGCTTCTCGATGGAGCGTGTGGCGTGTTTTCAAACAATACGCCACAAGATGTACGCTGAAGCGACGTAAGACAAAATAAACGCGTCTCGCATATTCTAATCGCACATTTCTGTTTATTCGCGGGTATTTCATTCCCATATTCGTTCTTCTTCCAGCAGTGAACGTCGACCGCTTGTGCCCTCGCACTTTCAGAGCATAGATAAATGTTGACTACGAAATTTAGTCAGTTTTGGTAGGTTAGCCTAGTTGTTTTGACTTTTTTTTTCCTTTTCAGCACTGTGTTCTTCTTAATCTAAAGTTATCTCTTTGTCGTGTGTACTTTAATGATTGAAACTTTGCATATTCAGAAAGCTTTTATTTGGAATCTCCTGCTTTCAGGGCAGTTCTCTCGAGAAGCACGCGCATACTCAGTCGACAAGACTCTGACAGGACTACCAGCTACCGTAAAGTCAAAGAAATATCACGTCAGCCGATACCTTGAAGACTTCGTTCTTGTAAGGTTTTTCTTTTCGAAGTAATCTCTTAGCTGTAAATCTATATATGTAAGGTTCTCAACGGTGAAAGTCACATTTGCTGAAGAATTCACGAAACGTTGCGCTACTTACGTCGTAGCTGGTGAAGAATGGACTAGCATGCAGTCATTGGCTAAAACTGTTTTGTCTGGTCTTAGGGACACTTATATCGCTGTCTTCACAGCAACTGATGCTGTTGCCACTGACAAGGTGCCTTTTTGTTGTAGAAAATTCAGCTGATGTTCCTCTTCTAGGCACGAACGAAGCGTGTGATCACATCTGAAATGGATTAAACGACTGGATCACCTTCCGCAGCGAACGGTAAGTACAACCATTTTATGAAAGGAAGCACTCGTCACCGGCTTCATAGGTGAGTATAGAAGTAGAGCTCGCTATCATTGTTGAAAAAATTTTTTCATTATCTTGTTGCCGCAGTAGTGCTTGTGAATTCGTGAATTCGTTGGTGAATTAGTGGTTGTTCTGAGCATGTTTTCAGTTCTTCATAATTTCAAGTAAGTAATTTTAAATACTTTTCAACGTTATAGAACCAGAAATTGACATGCCCGTAAACTTGCCCCCATATAACAGGACGGAATATCCGGATGTCAGGCCTGATGCGTGAGTTTTTTCCCAATAGCTTTATCTAATTTTTTTTCTGCTAGTAATTTTGAGCCTTTTTAACACAGCGAGCGAGTTCTGACACTCGATTTATAGGCGTAAGCAATTTTGTCATTCTAAAAAGTCATTTAGGTCTAAACTTGGCTCCTGCATGCTATATTCTGAAGGAATAAACATTGTCGGGCGGAATGCTAAAAAGGAATTTGTCTCAATACCTGTGCGGTCGCTGACAAATCATCTTGGTAAGTCAGTATATCTACGCAGTTTTACTTTTCATGACTTATGATGTTATAGGAGTTATTCTGCTGGAGATGTCAGCTGTGTCAGTTCCACAGCTGGACCCTATGAGTTAGTGTTATCATCTCAAATGCACGAGACATATTGATTATTCTCTCATCAATCATGTTATAGGTTCACTGTACGACTGAAGTTGAAGGGGGATGTCACGGATAATGCTGAAAAAGTCAAGATTAGCAGTGGAAGCCCCATAGAGTTTAAGTAAGTCGACTTTTGAATACTTGCTCTTCTTTTGATTCCACCTATCTCCCTTGAAGTATGAGTACTGATTCAGACTTGTATTCAATGGAACCAGTGGCGGGTTTTGGATGTTAACTGATGTTGTCGCAAATAACGTGGCTGTTCAAGGCAATGGCAAAGGCTTCATTCCAGGGGTACGTTTTCTTTTGATTTCTTATTTTATCAGTCTATATACAGCACTTGCAGTCTGCAAAGGCCGACACTAAAGTGATTTTCCGGCCATCGGTGAATAATGTTGATGATGATCCCAAACATAAGCAGATCGTGATCAATGTCAGGGAATGATGAATGGTACCGATCACTGTATAATCTCTCGCCCACTGGGTATTTCTTCGAATGCTAACGCTCGTTTCTTCTCATAGTGTAGAGTAACGTGTTGCAATACATATGCTGTTCGCTCCTCGAATGTCATTGTTTATAGAAAATTTCTATCTGTGATGTCAGTTTTTTTTTCGTTTTGTTATTTCCGCTATTTGACTTATTAGTTGAAATCCTATGTATAAAAATCATTGGTAATTTTAAGCCATTCCAGCTACCGATTATGGTAACCATTTCTCGAAGGCAGATGACACAAGTTCTGCAGTTTTCATAGTTTCTTAGAATGATTTAAATTGTCATTGCCTAGATTATTCGAAAACATTCATGAATTGTGCTACTTATAATCATTTGACTTCTCTGCTAGAATCATGACCCTGAGTAATATAACACGCCTATATGAGGAGGCGTGATTTGCGATGAAATAAATCACTCTATTTATCACCAGAATCCAGAAAGTAAGTGTTGCACCGAGATATAGAGTACATATCACATGACAAGTGAAGAAAGTTCAGATTTCGAAAATTTCAAGGCGAGTAAGGCAATAAAAGCATATATGCAAGCACTATCCAGTTAATGATTCAGAGTCTTCTGTGCCATCTGGATTCTCCGGGTTATCCACCCTCGAACTTGGATTCCCAACACATTTTCTCTTTGCTTTGGGAATACAGTCAGAGTGATTTCCCTTGGAAGTTTTCGATTCTGCATCCATCCCTCGGCATTGCATTTTAGCGTTTGTTAGTAGCATTTAAAATCATCTTTTCGACGACCTAAATCAAAATAAGTTAATGCCATACTTCCTCAGAAGCAGAACTGCGTACCTTTTGCAGATCTAAAGGCCATTTGAACCGCACGTCACCAAATGCTCGTAATGGATATAGTTCCCCCAATAATCTTCCTCCTCGAAGTATATGCGTCTCATACATGGGATGCTCCGAACGTATCCGTTGCACCCACACTCAGCATTCAAAAGGGAAAAATCCACACTACATGAAAAGGGAAATTACCTCATCTGCGTTATCTATACAGTGAGCTCTAGAGAGTTGCCGTGCTATGACATTGCCGCTTGGGTTTACAACGCCTAAATGAAAAAGGCGGTGGTAGCTAGCACACCAGAAACAACTCAAAAGCGGGAACGTACCTAAGACAGCAGCGCCGTTTCCTACATTAGCTACATGAAGGTTACCTTTTCGTACATGAGCAAGTGTCGCACAAGAACCCGCAGCGGCCGTAGCCATCGACAACCTGGAATGTATAACGCAGATCTCTTGAATTCTGCAGGATAAAATCTTATGCAAATTTTCAGAAGTGCACGGAAAATTCTACTTTTTCGCAGCTCTTCGCATTGCAGCTTTTCTCCCTTTGAGTAAACTGAAGAATGAGTAAATACCATCTCCGGAAAGGGTTAACCTTCACACTTATCATCGGCTCCACGATTCGTGTAGAGGCGGGGTTTTGCCAACTCAAAGCGTGGCCGTTTTTGATAGCGAGAGAGTACAAAAAACAATGCTATGACGTGGAGGTTCAACAAGTTTACCTGTTTTATCAAGCAAAGTCTGCAATACACCTCTACACGAATCGTGGAAACGATCGTACCTATCAATCTGACTGCGATTATCAGGTAAAGCTGCTTTACATAAGTTCTCATCACACATTTCAAAGGCGAGTTTGAGGGCATCACGGACTATAATATAAAAACCTCACGCATAATTCGAAAAGAAAATGATATCAAAGGAAGAGACAATACAAAATGAAATGTAAACGGGAAAAATTACCTGTATGGAGATCCTTGTGCTCAATAAAAGATATGTAATAGTCGATTATTTGATCTTTCTCAGATTCGCTGAAATTGAAAGGATTGTGCGAGTCATTCTCAGCGGAAGACACGCAGGACAAAGTTACTAACACGACTCAAGAGACTAACATAAACAAATTTGGCAAATGGGTGTCTGCGCTACTGAAAAACCATTGGAGACGACCATCAGGTGGAAGAAGTTTTACCTGAAGAATATAGAATTGAGTTTCGCTCCACAGTTTTTTAAAGAATCTACGCCAAATTGATAAGAAAAAGATGACAGGTGTTACCTCGTGTTTTTGCAAAACTGAAGCATATATATACGAAAACAACAAGACAGACACGTGTCTACTGCATGAATGGCCACCATGTCCATCGAAGACACCAAATAAAAACGCATTTGATGACAAGCCTAAAAAATGAATGTCTTGAAAAACTTTTGCAGATTAGATTACACCAATATATTAAGCCGGCAACTGCACATAGCAAAGCCATTATTTGTGGAATAAATAGGCCTATGGTGCACTCATTTAACAAGGAAATTTTGCAAACCAATTCGCTCCTATCCTCTCCCCTCCTCTCCCAACAGCTCCTAGGAACAATAAAAGTCAAGAAACAAAAAAAAAAACAATAAATTTTGCGAATCATATAACAATAAAGTCGCACTAATTATGACTGTTAAAAAAGTAAACAGATAAAATCATGTTGGAACAGCTAAATATACGAATGTAAGAACAAATGTACACTTTGCAGCTGAGTAAAAATCCTCTATAGGGCTATTGGCAGCTAGTTGGCAGGTATCAGCTCAAAGAATGGCATCCTGATCAACAGGTAGAGAGCGTTCATAAGCTCTGAAAAGGACAAACTGCCAAAATTCACCGAACTCGGAAAAAAGGCTAATATGATTGAAATGTAATTTTATGGGAAGCGGATAAGATATCTCTAAGCCTTACCGGAAATTTTGAATGGCACGATCTATCCAGAATTGAATGGGGATAACTTTCATAGTTTAAATGAACCACAAGTCAAGCAAAAAGCTTCGAGACCAAACCTCAAGTGAGTGTCAGCATTCCAGCGAGAACTACGAATAGCACGCCGACATTCAGCAAGCACACGACGATTCAGCATCACGTTCGGAAAATATATGAAAAGTATGCGACCTGAAAAGTACGGATTCAAAATTCCAAAGGGCACACGCTTCACCGTAAGGCCCCGGTCAGACTTCACGCGACTTAATCGTCGCGACCAAATCGCCAAGATTTCTATACATTTTCATTTCACATTCAAAAATTTCGGTCTGGAAAAGTATCACAACCGAATGCAAGTTGATCTGCATGGAATGATGTTGTAACAGTTGTCTCCTCGCGATTCAGTCGCGACGATCAAATCGCGTGAAGTCTGCCCGGGGCCTAAAGCTAGAACAATAACAGTCACGAAATGCATGACGGCAATGATAACAATCTCGAGGGTACCGAAGAATTAATGAAAGGAGGATAAGAACTACCCGAGGGAAGTAGAAAATGTCGAAACGGCGTTATTGATTGCACGGAGAAGAGAGACGATCATCTCGTCCACAGGGAACGCAGCGCGCCCGCCCGCGTCCTGCGTTTTGAATTACGGTAGCGCGGGCTCGGTTCAGAAGGGCCGTCTCCCCTTCGCACCTTTACCATGCAGTAGCCTTTATTTTTGCTAACCTGCCTAGCAGTGTCCACGATAACTCTTCAGAACAACTTTACGACAATTTCATCGCGCTTACGGTATGACAGACGACTTTGAGACCAGACGATCACACGAAGTAGTGAAAATTTCAGCTTGTACTCCAAAATTCTGTCATCCATCATACTCAAGTAGAGAAACTTCACAAGATAGAGAAGGTAATGCATTTATCTAAAGTAACGAGATATGAGGCGGCATTCTCAGATTTCGCAGTTAAGAACCGAACTCAAAAAATTTAAATAATATTACGATCGAGTAAGTGAAGTGGAAAAACAGGCTGGTAAATATCATGCGCACCGAGAAGGAATGGCGGTCGAACATTGTAATTGAATCCATTAAAAACTTCGGCGATTTCAAATCATCTCTCACAGTACCACCGCAAGGTTGCCAAAGAAGCCTGCTAAGTAAGATGTGTATAGTCGCCTTAATCGGCTTGTCAAATTACCTCCATGAGCTCTACGAACCATTACCTGTTACATTTTCTAGTATTTAGCATCTAAAAAGCATCACTTTTTTCTATCAGACATGATTACCGTCGAGTCATTTGTTATTAACTTAATATGCGTAGTACGCACTTTACATGCTAACTAACGAACTTCAAAACTAGAACCTGCCTTGGTTTCAAAAGTGAACGAATTCAGCCTTTCTGTACTCGTAATAAATCAACGTTCCTTTTAAATCGAAGTAAGCTAGGCTACCTATATATTCCTTTCAAGTCAAATTAAGCTCAAATATTTTGCATATAGGTTTGTGCTAGTGAACGACCTAAAACTTGGGTGAAAAAGCCTCTTTGGAGAAGAATCATGGGGCCAGGCTAACTCTGAAAAGGTCAGGCTACTTTAGCTTTTGCAGCTTTCTTTCTGACCACTTAACTTGCACTCAAAGGAATCGCTTCAAGTGAGCCTATAGCCCCTTCTTGCCACAGTGAGATTTTGGAGCCAGTTATCCCACTTCCGTAGAAATTATCGCTTTATAAGAAGGATTTAATGCGAGATCCGCATGTGGATTGCGTGTACCGTAGGGGATGTGCAATCACTCGAGCGTATAGGCGATTCATAGCTCGCAAAAAGTGCGGTTATCGTCTCTCTAATCGAAAGCACTCTTTCGTTTCTCTTATCGTCTGTTGTCTTTCCCATCCACGAACTATCTTGGCTGGACGCAACGGCGGCCAGTCTTTGCGTTTCATGAATCGTGTGTAAACATCTTCAAAAACCACTCTTTGATAAGGGCTGATGTTTTCCAGAATGTTAAACCTTCTGAAGGTAAAGTGAAGTAAGATCGTTCAAGAGCTCCCAGGGAAAAGGGTAATTCGAAGAACTTGTGTCTGACCTCAAGTTCAGCCCCAGTCGTGTCCGTTTGCGCAAGGAACGTGGCGCTCCAGTGTCATTTTTCGCAACAGCTAACTGCTCAGGGATTCGCTCCGTGCGGGCGGGTTGCCACGCCGCAGCGAGCGGGCGCCGGTGTTGCGGGCCGTAGCGGTATCGCAGCGCGCCCAGATGACGGTGGGTTGCCGCACGCACGGGGGTTGATAATTTTGGACACTTATTCGGGGTTATTTTTGTTGCTTGTTTATGTGTGGTGCTTGAATGTACTCCATTAATGCGTTAAATGTTTATTTTGTAAACCAAAACATCATAACATTACAATTCGACAGAATCGCGCAAGCAAGAATGTATAACTGTCCTGTAAAAGAACAAACTAACATCATGAACAAGAACAGAAAGCAAGATAAGAGACAAGACGAACTGTCAATTCCTATGCTGCGCGTTACAATCTCTCATATAACATTTGATATTATATACAAATATAACACAAAACAATAGTCCGTAAGGTTGCTTCAAATTCTGCGTTTCCGCTCGTTTCTTAAAGGTAACCTTCATCCAAAATAGTTATTTTTTCCATGCTCTGAAAAATAAAACTGTCAAACAAACACAGCACGCCAACAGTGATATAAGGAATCACCTTTGCTTCGATCTTCAGCCTTTATCCATTTGTATTTTGCTGAAAGTAATTGCGCATCTCATTAGAACAAATAAGATTGCTATCATACCTCGTTGTGTGATCCAATAAAGACATCCTTGAGGATCTAGAAATGAAGGGTTTTCTGATTAATGTCGTAGGACCACTTCGAATAAAACGTCGTGCTATCACACCTATCCTTCGTATCCGCTGAAAGAATTGGGCATATTATCAAGGCAAGCGAGTCAAGGAACCATACCTTGTCGTGTAGTCCAATAGAACCTTGAGGTAGTAGAAAATTTAAATGAGTGTTCGTGGCAATCGATGTTATGGGTTCCATTTATAGAAAGCGTCGGATCATCACAAGTGAGCGTAGGCAGAATGTCACACATCGAAATGAGGTGCGAAGTCTCTATGGTAAACGTCAGTTATGGCAAAGGTCAATCAATGAATGACACGGATGACAAAAAACTCAAACAAACAAAAATACCATGGAAAAAGACGGGGTCATAGTATCCCAGAATGCTCTAGCATATTGAAAAAGAAATACGCATGGGAGGGCGATAAAACTATTGCAGCATGGCATCCAAAACGATGACAAATACAGCATAAGAGAAGTCCTACATAAGCTAGAGAAGAATCAAGTATAGAAGCTTTTGTTATAAAACAATCTCAAAGGAGAAAGTTAACACGTTGACGACGGTGTCGCGCAATGGTGCGCGACAGGCAGTCTGTCCCTGTGGACGATGTCGCGCAATGGTGCGCGACACCCTAAACATCAGTTTTAATGTGCACAATGGTTCCAATTTGTGCTCATATAATCAAGTTAGGCTCGAAAGTATTTCATGTTGGCCCCGCCCCCTTTTGGCAAACTCCGCCCACTCCACTGTCCTCTACAAAAAACTTTTTTGTTCTCAAATCGCATAGAAAAGCTCATAGATGACAGGGGAACCTTAAATAATCTTGATTTTGACCCCGCCCCCCGTAATGCAGGCTCCACCCCCTCAGTGGCAAGCTCCGCCCACTTTTCAAAAATGCCGGAATTTGCACGAATTCATTGATTTTGAGCAATTTCCAGCATTTTTTAAAAGTGGGCGTGGCTTGCCAAAAGTGGGCGGAGCTGCCCCGCCCACTTGCATTTGTGTATCTCAAGTATAGATGCATGCATACATATGTGCAGCCGGCTGTGAAAATGCCCGGAAACGGTTCGTCCACAGGGACAGACCTTCAAAAAATGGCTCGTCGTCAACGTGTTAAGAAGATCTGCGCATCAATTACCGTGCCTTTTCTTTTTGAAACAGTCCGTAATTGCGCGTCTGGGCAGCGTTCCTTTACGCGCTGCCGCAGAAAAGACATGGTTGCCCACTCGCATGCCTAAACTCATGCGGCGCGCTCGCACGGGGGCTCGAATGGCCCTTATAATTAGGCTGCCCGCACGCACGGAAGGGCTACTTCGCAGCCCGCCCGCACGACCCAATGCTCTGAGTGCACGCGTTGCGTGTCCTAGTCCTTTAATATCTCAATCGACAAAAATAATCTTGTTGACAATCTTCCTGCTTTTTCTTCCTAGTCTTATGATGTATCTTATCACAGTTTTCACCCATGTTCTTACAACATGGCTACTTATCAATCTATCTATTTAGATGGCGAATATGGATAGAATGTCTGGTGCGGAGTACCTAGCCTCCATTTATGGTACAGAGAAGGACAAAGTAAGTGTTTTCATTCCTTTTATATTTGAGTTTGTCTTGGCAGAAGAACTTGTGTTGATGTGTGTCTGCTACTTTTTAGATCACATTTTTATTATTTTTATTGTTGTTTATATGGCAACATTTATGTTCCAAAATAAACTCAACTTCTGCATTACCTTTTTTAGGTCAATTGCTCTTTCTTCTTTAAAATCGGAGCATGTCGGCACGGAGACAAGTGCTCTCGCACTCATATTATTCCAACATTTTCTCAAACAGTTCTTCTGAAAAATCTCTATCATAATCCTGTTATCGATATGCGCCAAGCTGATGCTTGCACAAAAGTAAGAGTTCCCTTTTGTTCCACTTATTCACAAGGTGAATTGGATTTGGAAATATGTTTAGGTCGGCATGATGAACAAGGATGAACAGCAATATTTTGACGAGTTTTTTGAGGAGATTTTCACTGAAATCAATGATAAATACGGTGAAATCGAAGAGATGGAGGTGAGTATTTCACCTTCTTAGCCTCCTGCGATGGTGAAAATGAGAAATGTGTTTTGCATTTTTTTTGAGGAGAACTAAGAGGTTATTCAGTAGCTATTCAAATCCACTGAGTCTAATCGGGTTATACAAATCATGTTCCACTTCCTTAATATCAGCTTCACTTAATGTGGGGCCAAAAGCTTTTCACAACAGGCTTATTTTGAAAAATTCGTGACATGACGTGTGCGGTGTAGGCCGATTTCGTCAGTATTCGTTTTGTCAGAATGCAGCTGTATTTGCTTTGTCTGTACCTTCATATATAAGTGAGAGAATAGTAATTTACCCTTTTGAGTTTTATCGATTAGAAGCAGCACTTAACGTCTTGCGTCTTCTGCACTAAATTCATACAGGAATAAGAAGAGGAGCGCTGTTAGACATTCGCTGACCTTAACGGTGTTCATTCTGTTTCTGTCACCTTTTAAATTAATTGTTTCAGGTATGCGATAACATCGGCGAACATATGATTGGAAATGTCTACGTCAAATTTGCCAGGGAGGAGGATGCAGAAAAATGTGTGAAGGCCCTAGACAACAGATGGTATGAAGTTGTTTTTGTCGTGTGATTTTAATTCTATACAATCACATCGTATGTGATCAACTGCATTGACTTACTTTCTAGGTTCAATGGTCAGGCGATATATGCAGAACTTTCTCCAGTAACAGATTTTCGTGAAGCATGTTGCCGTCAGTATGAACTCGGAGGTTGTAATAAGGTGAGTGTGCACTGTTATTCCACTTCTATCTCACTGCGTATAGTGCTTCGCTTCTTTACTTTGTATTTGAAATTCTCAAGCCGTTAACACTGTTTCTGTCATTGTCATATCGCGTGCGCTTCCATATTTGGTACCAATTGGGTAATTGACTATGTCTTGATGTATTACATTGTGTTGTACTTGATCTGACTTATCGTGTGCATACCATGGATGACAATCAGCGTAAAATTTTGCGGCTTCGATTAAGTCCGCTTTTCAGGGCGCATTTTGCAACTTCATGCATCTGAAGCCCATATCAACAGATCTTCGCCGTAAATTATACAAGGGTCGTAAGAGGAGTCCTCCTAGATACCACGGTGGAAGAGACCGGTGAGTTTGCGCATTACTCTCAGTAGGGCAGATATTGATACTGTGACTAAAGGGAAATGCGAGGTGATCGCCGAAGGGACTTTGGCGGACGAGGTGATTTTGGCGGTCGCGGAGATTATGGAGGGCGTAGTGATTTTGGTGGAAGGAGAAGAAGTCGCAGTCCGCGGCGACGTTTCTGAAGCAGATGTCCTCGATGTACAGTTGGTGCTATTACTATGTTCGCACATGGTCTGGGCCGCTATTCTCCGATAAGTAACTCTACATCCGATATTGTGTCAGGTCAGGCGCTGTTAGCATTGTTTCTCTTTGCTGATGCTTTCATCGATTCTGTATATCTTACAATTTTTGCGGGACAAAAATGTCCCGGAATATTGTCATTGCATATGTTTTGATTTGTCAGTTCACACGTGATTGTATTCATACATTTACTACTGGAATGATAAAGTGATTTTGTTTTCTTTTGAATACGTGATGTGCTGAGATTCGCTTTGAAAGATCTTTTGTCCTTTTCTCAACTTTTCTCGAATATAAACACTCATAGGTGGATGCGCGTATCCAGACCACTGGGTTTCGCGCGGAAAACGCTTTTAGATCAAATCTCACGAGTTGCTTCACGTTCAGCAAATGTTAGAGCCTTTCATGACGGACGTGGACTGCTTGGACAAAGTACCAGCGGGTGTGGCGGTGATTTGCTAGTTGCTCCTTCATTGTCTGTCGTTGTTTTAGCTTTGAGGTACGTAGTTGTAGGCTTAGATATTATGTAGTTTGAGTAGTTTGGTTAGCGGTTTAGGAGCTTTGTCGCCATGAGTCGCGTTTTAGATGTATTGAAGTGTGTGGATCGAACTCGATCAACGACTATACTAAATGATTTTCGACAGGGAGGGGCAGACCGCCTCATGGTTAGTGAATTCAACGAGCAGAAGTTGACATAAAATGCAAAACCAATCGTATAGGTTGTAGCCGATTTTGACTACACTCTCAGTGCTCGTAGAGGGGAAAACGGAGAGAAGGGTTGTTTGACGCATCAGTGTTTCGATGCCAGCAAAATAGTGGAAGGCAGCGATACTATCGGGGATTTGGTAGGTTTTGGTCTTTCCATAACCATATTTTCTATGCTACTCAAATGCCCTCATTGCTCATGAGTCTTCTCATGTTGTGGTTTTCTCTCGATAGTTCAAAGTTGAATGTGCGAAAAAATTGAGAACTACTCTCTTTGTTGATGCATTGACTACGCATCCGAAGGCGCTCGTGAGTACCGGTATCTATAGAATTTGCAATCTGTAATCTATATATAATCTATCGCTATGAACTTGATAGCTTTCATTTTTATCTGAGTGGAGTCTTTGCTCATTTAAGTTGTTGCTTTCCTAACTATAATTGAGCAAGACTCCCCAGAACTTCAAAATTCATAATCTGTAGGTTATCTGATCAGCAAAAGTACCTAACTAATAGTTTTACGAAACGGGTTTTTGGACGGTGGGAGACCAAAAATTCAAATTTAGCTGTAATTCAGGTTTGTATCATGTGTTTATTAATGATTGTACTACATCGCCAAGAAAGCATAAAATTACAGTCGAATTTGAATTCGGTCTGAAAGCAAGGATGAGTAGATTAGATAGCTCTGATCTGAGTTGTTATGATGGAGTCACTTATCTGAAACTCTCGGAGAATAAATTTGCACAGTCATTGTTGTGTGGTCTATGTAAAAAACCCTTGATGCAGTTTGTGAGTAGATTAGTAAGCCAATCGAGGTTAGTATTTATTGGTAAGTGGCGGCCTAACGTTTCGAGCAATTCTTCTTCTCTTCAGAGGCCTAAAGTGGTTAGAGATTCATGATTTTATGTCTACCCCACCTCCTTCATCCCCCGGGTAGCCTCGATGTTGCCCCAAAATGCTACAAACTAAACTACTACTAATCTCGAGTGGCTTGCTAATCTACTCACAACATGCTAACAATGCCGAGGTTAAGAAGGGAGGAAACTCGGAAACCTTGATGCAGTTTTAATGAAGTCAAAACCTTACTTTAAGCCGCATTAGCGCTTTTATCATTGAGATATACTATAGTACCAAAGATTGATTTGTGAGGTGTCGGTTTAGTAATCTTGAGTAACGCTTACTAATATCGTAAATCTCATTAGCAGGATCTCATGAACACCAACTATTTGCAATCTTATTCTGCTTGTGTCAGCGATGAAGAACGTTCGAAAGTCAACATCAAATGGTAAATTTCAGCTTAGGTTTGTCTCCTTCTAAAGTTGTTTTCCTAGGTGGAATGATTCTCACGACATCATCATACGGTCGAAGATGCATCGAGATGAGATTCCTGCCATAGTGCAATCTTCTAAACTTATCTGGAGGTGCAGTTTACTCTTACTCGGCGTGAACTATCTCGGCTAAATTCTGTTCTAAACATTTCTCATATTCTTTCTTGTTCCAGAAAAAGCGTGCGTCAAGTGTTTGAAGTTCTGGAAAAATACTCTGTCCCATTGCTGATATTCTCAGCGGGCTTGTCTGACATTATTAATGAAGCCATAAGGCAGCTTTTGGGGCACGTACCCGGCAACGTAGTCACTGCAGCCAATGTTATGTACTTTGATAAAGTAAGTTCCCTTTTGTGCTCTAGCTCTCCAATTTTTATCAATGCTCAAATTTCAGAAAGGATTTGTAACCAGGTTCACTGACCCACCTCTTCATTCTCTGGCTAAAAACGTACCCCGACTTCGTGAACTTATACCGGATGTGGACGATAGGTACAATGAGAGAACGAATGTGTTGCTTGTAGGAGATACTGAAAATGACTCAGTAATGGTAGATGGTTGGGGAAAACATGTACTGAAGGTCGCATTTCAGGACGAGAAGGTTAGCACAGTTTGAAGTTCTCGTCTTTTGCCGTTTTTTACACTTTTATGAGTATACCTTCAGCGACCGCCCTTGAAAACCTTTGATGTACTTATCACGCAATCTGACTGCGATCCCTTAGTCGAAGTTATAAATTATATATGTTCAACATCGCAATCTCAATAATACTCGTAATTTGCCCACGAAGCATATTGTCCAACGCTTGGTACGAGTTTTTTTTCTTGATTCGCTGTGTACTCAGGTTATATCGACAATACAGAATCATTTATTGGTATAACATAGGATCATTTATTGGTATTAGTAGCTGTATAGGAATAAGTAGCTATAGGAAGCTTATGATTCACTGAACATTGTCTCATAAAACTTGCCAAGTCTGTTCTCCTGTTGTTTTTGCCCTCAGCAGGTTGCATTAAGTAAAGGACTAAGAAATTATGTATTTTGAGCTTTTCGAGGCGACATTGAAAAGCGTAAATGTAACGGAGCCAGTGAGTGCGGTTATTTGAACTTGGTCATTGCCGCAAGCCGTTTTCGATGATTCATTCTATATCATTTTTTTCAGAAATTTCATGCTTCTTTCCATTATATTTATTGTTCTGTCATAGTGAGATTGGTTTGAGTTCATTCAATGAAAGTTGTGAAGATGCATCTTAAGATATTGGTTATAGAAATTCCAGCCTTTGATTCGATTGAGCTGAGACCATTACCTGTTTCCGGCTGCTGTGGAGGTTTCAGACGCCTTTTAGCGGCAGTTCGCAATGTTCTTGTATCAGTTTGAGTTCGGCGTGCAATGATTAGATTCCTGTCTTGTGTCATTAAATACCTTCTCACTTTCATCTACTGTGATGGAGCTCATTTTCAATTTGCGGTGAGCAAGAGGCGGTACACACTACCTTTTAATATAGTGTGCTTATCATGCCAAGAATGGGGACCAAATGTGCGTGTGAGCAGGTACCGGCGCCTATAATGCCAGCCATTTGCGCGTGCAAAATCGGTATCGCTTGTTCAGGTATCGTTCAGACTGCGCCGGTACCCGTCTAAATCTGCCCAAATACTTCCGAGCCCAAACCCGCCCGCATACTTCCGAATCCGCCCAATACGTTCGAATACATCCAAATACGTCCGAATAGGCCGAATAGGCCCAAACCCGCCCGAATACATCCGAATACGCCCGAACCCGCCTGAACGCGGGAATTGCCAAAGCGCAGCAGATCTGCGTGCAGATTGACATGTTGGAGTACGCGTGGAACACTGCGCGCGTGGTGCATATATTTGTCTTATGTTAGCTCGACGCTCCCTGGGGCTGCAGTTCCGGCGTTCAGGCTGGTTCGGACGGATTCGGACATATTTGGGCGGGTTCGGGCGGATTCGGACGGGTAGTACCGGCGCGGTCTGAACGATCCCTCACATAATTGTAGAGGGCAGGCGTTGCATCTCTGAAGCGGCGCGGTCTTGGTAGCGAGAGATCACTCCTATCAATGTGTGAGGATAAAGAAAGGTCAGCTGTCTATCGACTTTGACCAGCTCGCATCCTAGTTCGCAAAGGTGCCCGCTACAATCGGATGCATGGACGATATCACTGGCGTGGTTGTCATTCACGCGCGAGTCTGGTCGGCCAATCTCGACACCGCAAGCGCACTATATCAAGCGAAAGCCTATAGACTGTAGTAACTCACAGCTCATGTAGCTGATGATTCTACTCTAATGCACGGGTGCTCGCACCGCAGTTAGGGTACGAAGGGGCGGGTGGGAGAGTGGCCAGAAAATACACGAATAGACAGTATCTCGCTGATCAGTAAGGTGGAACTTGTTTTTATTATTTAGTAGAAAGCTTGCAAATTTTTTCAAATTTTTTATTTGGAAGGTTTTTCAAACCTGAGAAAGCTGTGAAAAGATTTTGGACATGATAGAGCTCCCAATAAAAATTTTGAAGATGGACTAAAGCATTTTCCCTGTTCTTGTGATGAACTGAACGCTGAAAACATTGACAATTTCGTCGAAGATTGAACATAATGGTGTAAGTACTTTATGGCAATAGCTTCGACTATTCTCACCAAATAGTCAGGGAATGCTTCTGCAAAGTAACTCAAGTCCTCATTTATTAGGTTGGCGCATAAGTGTTGCGACTTATTCCTTAACCTTTACCTTCTTGGATGTAGCGCTTTCATTTCTTGATATAATGTAGATTAGGTAGTAAGCTACAAACATGTGGAAACCGTTTTGTTCGAGGTGGCAAAGTGGCTGAAGCTTACGCATTTATTGAAACCTGGTCAAATCAAAAATTTCACTGTGCCGAAAACAAAAAAGAAGCCGTTCTCAGACTGCATCAAACGTGTCTAGAGAAGACTATGAGATGATTGCTATATAATTTTAGCAATTCGTATACATATCTCATATGTTCGTTGTTCATGAAACCTGGGCATTGTGTTATAGTCTCTAGTCTGTTTACCCATCCAGGTTTGTTAAGTTATAAAGAAGTTATGCGAAATTTGGTTGGCTAAACAGACTAGAGACTATAATTCATATCAATTTCGCTCGATGCTTATGATGCGGGCTGAGAACGGCTCAATTTTTGTTTTTAGCTCAGTGTAATTTTTGATTTGATTGCTTTCGAAAAAAGCGCAAAACTTCTCCACTTCGCCACCAGAAACGAAAAGATTTGCGCTGATCTGTAGCTTACCGCCTAATCTACATAATATCAAAAATTGAGAGCGCCACATTCAAGAATAGAAAAGTCATGGTATAAGTTGTGCCAACCTAATGATTGATTTTCGTTATTTCCGTTGGAGAGTCGATTGCGTTTGCTACTTCCTCCTCGACATGCAATCATGCCGAGTCTTCGGGGGTGGTTTAACGCGGAGAACAAACTAGCTTTTTGCTCGTATTGATCGCAGCAAGACTGCTACACGGCATCATCTCTGTTCTTTTTTGTTTATTGTTACTATGGCGTCAGCGTTACATCTTATGGCTTAGAAAATAAAAAATTTTTTACATGGAAATTGTTGTTGAAGTTTCGTCATTATTAAGGTCAGATAGTATACACAATTTTTTGCGTTAACGAAATTTCAGTTTCTGAGGTGTTCGTAAGTATAATAGTTTATCGGTTTATCTTGTGCATCTTTCTAATCTCGACATTTTCGAAGTTGCACATGCCGAAAAAAAGTCGTTTTTTGTTCAATAAGTTTCAGTTAACTGAATTGAATGTTCTTCTTTTTCTCTGAATTTTTTCTCGATGCCAATTGATTTTTTCAACTCGCAGTCAATTCAGTATTGCTATGAGCAGAATCGAATTTGTTCACAATTTTTATGATTGGGAGGGGTCTTTTGTCGCATGTACAAAGCAAAGTTTTATTTGATATTCGATATTTGATATTTATTGCACATAAGTGCGCCATTTCAATCATAATGCATCAAGTGTAGACTATAAAAACAAAAAATCCAGTAGGATAGAAAAAAGACATTGGAACAGAAGTGGTAGGAAGAAGAACGTCAAAACATCAAGAAAGATATATAGCTAAAAAAGATATATAAAAGATATATGCAGTTATAGCAATCAACATCGCATTGACAAAATTAAACTCAATGATTTTATTTGAAACCCTAAAAATGACCTTATTTCGTATTCTCAGTATGACACGGGCTTAGTTTTGTCGATTGTTGATTTATTTATTTGTTTAATTGATATAATTTTATTGATATCATATGCCTTGTATTACTAATTATTTTTCTTAGCTTCTCAAAGGGCTAAGTGGGCTGCTTTGTATTAATTTAGTGCTTCGTACACCTCATGAAATGAATAAATATTTTCCTTTAAATAAATATATAGGGGTATCACTTTGCACATCGTAAGATTAGTAATTTGAACGATGCAGTGGTGTTTAGTATTGTTGCTGTGACAGCTGTCTACAGTGAGATTCGTGGTCTTAGACAACATGTGGGAGAGACACTGATAAGAAAAGGCATCAGAAACTACTGGGCTGTCTTGCCAAAGACATTTCGCTTCTTCACTATTGTTGTGCATAACCAGTAAAACAGGATCAAAACTATGATGTCAGGTAGTAAATAACGCTGATGCAATTCTCCGTCGTACATTTCATGGTCGTTTCTCCTTTTCATTCATGCCCAGCAGTAATAGCTGAGGTTTTTTGCAGATGTTTATTGATTTTCGTGGAAACACGGCTCTGGATGTACTTCAATAAAATAATTTAAAAAAATTACTACAACTTTTGCCGGATGCGCATTCCAAGCGTGAAAAAAATTACAATTGTTACCTTCGCTATCCTGTCAGTCACATCGATTCGTCACTTCTGTTGAATGGAACTCACGCTGGTACAAATTAAAAAAAGCGTTCACTGACTCTTTCATGGCAGAGGGCTCTTTCCGCACGAACAGATGTGTCAAGCATCTTCCTCATTTTTTTGTCACTTTTTTCTCAGACATGTGTTACCTTTTTTTTCAGATCGTCTCATGCCTTACAATCTCATTTTTGTATGACCACGCGCTGGTATTTTTTCCTCATTTTTTTGTTTTAGACAGGTGTTTTACAATTTTTTTGTACATACGTCACGCCCAGGAACTTATTTTTTTGCCATATCCATGCTTTTTCATACACCTCGAACTTCGGAAAGTATCAGTTTTGTTGATTAATTATGCCTATGCTTCCGTCGAGAGTTCTAACGATTCATTGACGTGGATGTTAGCTCGTTGCACTTTTGTGACTTGTCAATATCAAATTCGCAGAAAATTTATATCATTCATTTTTCTGACTAAGAGACGCAAGAACGCATTGCGTACGTTTAATCAACTAGTTCTAACCGTTTTGGTCAACTACTATCAGAAATTCTTGAAAGAACGTGTTCAAACCAGCATGGTTTATCAAGCTCAAACATGTTCTTCCACGAATTCTAATAGTAAATCAACCGAAACGCGTTAAAACTCATTCATGAACTTGTTAATGAAATATACGCGAAGTGTGCTCGCGTCTCCTAGTCAGAGAATGAATGATACGCATTGTAGTTGGTGGAGTGGGTTTAAAATTTTTGAGCTCATTCCAAGTGGAAGACCATTTTTTGTGCATTTTTTTGAAACGAAGTAAATTTTTGTTCACATGATAAAAGGCGTAGATAACCATAAATTTGCCCGTTTGTGGATTTTTCTTCTTCTTTGGCTAAGTGTTAGTACGCATGAAAGGGGGCAGAAGACAGCATTTGATACAAGTGAGCCCCTAATTCGGGGCGGCCTGCGCCGTTAATCTTGACGAAACCGTCGGGAATCCATAATCTTGTTCAAAATGATTTTCTCGTGCTCGAATTTTGATATCTGGAAAGAAAATTCTACAAGGATTCGAAAAGCCATTAAATGTTCAGAATTAATTTCATTTGAAGGGTTTCCATCTTGCCGCCAAGGTCTGTTAGGGTAATTTAATGAAAACTCTTTCCATAAAAACTCTCATTTTGAACAAAGTTATGGATTCGCGACGGTTTCGTCAAGATTAATACGTCGCAGAAAGTATTTTCCACCAGAACTAGGGGCTCAGTTGTAGATTTTTGACGGCTTTTCGATTTGCAGCTGCAGATATCTTATTTTTGCAATTCAGAATAATTTGTGTTGATATTTTTTATCTCATGTACTAATTTCGATGTTCTCGTTGCTCAGTATCGTCAGGACTTTGTACTTGCTCTGACCTAGTCTTTGAATTCTGGTGTAATGCGTGCTTGAGGTTGACCCTTCGGAACGACTTTTGAACATTGAGTTCTAAGAAATTTCCTCGTTCATCTTTGAGTTATTCAAACTATTCATTTTCTTCAATTTTGCTTGTGCCGAACAGGTTTGTTATGGTGAAAAAAGAAACATAACAAAAAAAAACAAAACAAAAAACCATAACAGATCTGTCTGGCACAAGCAAAATTGAAGAATATGTCCAATGCCCATGTTCAAAGAAATTGGAACATTCAATTTATTCATTTTTCGTCCAGAGTTTAATTTCTTTCTTCATTTGAAAAATAACAAAACCTTGCGTGTCGTGATAAACGCTCGTAATTCGTCCAGAACTTTGTTTTTAATGAGTATGTTTTTTATAAAATCCTTTTTTACTTTGATTTGTGCGTGACGTAGAGTCTAGGCAAGCCGTCCATGTAACACATGGCTCTGTCGGAACCGCTCGACGATGTGACTTGTGGCCTAGCCACATGTTAACAAAAAAAAATCCCAGGCTTTTTCCCTCGGAGAAGTAGCATTGTTTAAGATTGCATCTTTTTTGTTCTTTTTTTGCTCTTTCTTACCTTTTCCTCTTGTTCTTCAATTTCTTCCAAGTAATGAATTGAGAAAAATGTGTCGCTTTTTTCTAAATTATCCTAAGAGCTTGTAGTAAAGATTGCTCAGCAGAGTACTTTTCCAGAATGCGGTCTTGGGTACGGCAAGCGCAGCTTCTTGGACGAGGAAAATTTCGTATGCCCAAACCACGTGAGCTCAGCATGAATCGAAGAGGTAAGCTGTATGAATGCTCGTATCCTCGACATTTGTTCCTAATCTCACAGAAACAAAAACGAATGTCAAGGAACTCTCTCTTATCAGATCAGTTTTTCTTCTTAGCAATGGTCTTTTAGTCTTTGTTCGAAAAGCGGACAAGACTTTTAATTCGTTTTGCGTTCGCAATTTATTATCAAAGACATGACAGAGTAGAAAAAATTGCGCAATAATGCAAGCAAGGCTCCCCGCCCACCCCCCACCCACTCACCCACCCACCTTCAAATCCTAGTAAAAATACGAGTACTAGTTACTTTCATGATTGGGTGTTTTTACAAGGTATAAGTGTTTTTCCCAACTCGTCCGAACATTTCTTCAGTTCCAAATAAATTTATGGGTAAAATTTATCCTTTGATGAGGCTGAACATCAGTAAGATTTTTTTTGGGTTGGCTTCCCTTCAAGCGGTCTGGTTTGAATACGGTTGAATTGAGTCATTGGTAAGGGAATGATGTTTTGGAGGAGAAAGAAGACAGCAACGTAATATTTATGTGAAAAATTTGTGAAGAACTTCTTGATGTTTTTCTTTGAAAGTTCTGCAAAGCAAAGCGTAAAGCAACAAACAAAAGTTAATATCGACTAAGGGCTCAAATAAGCTGCAACAGTCATTTTATGAAGTGTTTGAATTCATACAGACATCATGATCGAATCTTTTTCTAGTTACAACCAAAGTTCAGGGGCTCTCTACTCGTTTAGATTTCGTGAATCACTGAGTGACTATGGGTATGGCTCCGAACTACAATATGATCTTAGGTTTTGCACAATATCCCAGTATAGTGTTTGCTTTTTTTGCAGCTTTATCGTTCTCACTTCGCTATCGAATATGCACATATAGCAAGCTATGCACAAACAACTTCAAACTATTTTGGTCTTTTATTGTGCATCTTGTTTGTTCCGAATCTCCTTTAAAGGTTTTCTCTGAATCCTGCAATGCGTCATACAGCTTCTAAATCCAAGCATCCGATCTCAGCGATCACCTGCCAGTTATTTAAACATTAAACATCACACTACTGTAAGGGACCCGATGTGCATTTTGCCCTCCATGGTTTTCGATTTAGTTACAAAGTTCTGCATTTGTTTCTAATTACCTACATCACGAATATCTTGCTTGGCTTTCGTTGATATGTTGTCTGGAAGAGGATAAGACATCCTTTTTTATCCTGAATTCTTCTGTAATTTCTCTGGATCTCATAGCCCCTCCCCTTTGTGGTTGGTACTTGCGTTAGATTTTTCAGAAATGTAGAAAGGCATGGTGTTTGCACTCTGTCATTACATAAACACCTTCGGTTATCAAGTGTCCTCTTTTGCTGTAAAGCTAGGTTTGTGTTCATTAGTTCAAAAGTGTGCTTATAATGTTGAATCTGTGATCATCTTGTAGATTCACTCAAAGTTCATTTTTAAGCCTTGCCCGTGCAAGCGGAAATACTCCGCTTTTTAGGAGTATTCAATATTTTTTGCATACTGTCTATACTTATCCTCAGTAACAAAGAAAAATTGAAAGTAGTGAAGCAAAATCAAGGGACTGATCCTACATCTGTTGAAATTGCGTAAGCCTAAATTTGAAGTATCCATAAAGATTTTTTGACCAACCTGAACGACCGCTCTTGCCACTAAGGATGCATGAATTTTTGAGAAATAAAGATGCTTATTGCCGCTTTTGCTGTATCACTCCAGAAATGTGAGGTTTATTCTCCTTCTACTGACCTCACTAACTGACCATGGATGTGGGAAAAGGTCTGTCAACAATATTTTCTGCAGCGTTCTGCTCACTTTTTCCGAAAAGATTCTTGCGATTCTCATCTTTGAAGAAGTTGGGAGTGGTGTATACGTGTTACAAAGAATTCGACAAAAGAGGTACAATCTTGTATTTGAGTAGTTAGAGTAGAAAAAGGTCAGCTCAAAAATGCACCATAGTTTTAAGGAATCTTTTTCCATTTCTCAACTTTTAAAGAAACTTTCTTTCCTCTAAACTGTTTGGCCAAACATAGTCACATGTCAAGAAAGCTCATTTACTCGACCGCCAAGGACGTCGCCAATCAAATTATTTTTGTGCACATTAGGCCCGTATGCACGTACATCCCCGCGGGGAGGGGAGGGGATCTGAGAGGGGAAGCGTCATATTTCGCTACTCTGTATATCTTTCGTTTTCCTTCTTTATCTGTGATATGAAGTTCTCATACCCTAATACCTGCGCATAATTGCCAGGTTACTGCCGTACAAGATTAGATTTTCACAAGTTTGTGTGATCCCCTGGGGATCCCCAGGGGATCACCTCTCATTTTCAAAGTCATTTATCTTCTTACAAATTCAGTGAAAATGTGCTAAATTTGTGCTGAAGGTATAATATGGTACTGCTAAACATGTCTATAGTAGAAATAAGGGAAATCTCAGGATATCGAAATTTTCGATGAACCGCTGCTCGCGAGCCAGGGATCACCGAAAAACTGATAATCTTCAAATTCCATTTCTTCTGTCAAAAACATGCTTAGCAATGCCGTAGTATATCCTCAGTACAACTTTACAGCATTTTCATGGAATTTTCAGAAAGATAAATGACTTCGAAAATGAGAGGTGATCCCCTGGGGATCCCCAGGGGATCACCCAAACTGGTGAAAATCTAATCTTGTATGGCAGTAACCTGGCATCTATTACGCGGAGGTATCAGGATATACGAACCTTCATATCACAGATAAAGAAGGAAGAAGAAAGATATACGGAGTGGCGAAATATGACGCTTCCCCTCTCAGATCCCCTCCCCTCCCCGAGGGGATGTACGTGCATACGGGCCTTAGTGATTCTGCGTTAAGCCAAACCAGAGAGTGTGACAAACATCACCTCATTCTTCTACCACTGTGACGAAACTAAAAATGTGAACAACATGATTATAAGGGGTCTTACGCCAAAGTCATGTATTTGTTGCTGGGAGCTTTTCCTGTGGCACATGCATATGTGACAGTTTTTGTAACCAACATTTTTCGCAATTACATATTTTCTCACTCAAACTTTAAAGAACCAACTTATATATTTATGCAGGAGTCCATATTCCACTTTGTTTTGACACCCAGTAGTTAAATCTAAGATCAAATTGTCTTGAATTCTTATTTTTTCATTTTCAGCGATGAAAATGCTCTTCGTTGACGGGTCACATAACATCTCCTTCAAAAATTTCATATCACCTCTTCAGTTAGAGTAGCTGTCCAGTTTTTGCAATTTACAGTGATGAGAAAGGCAAACACCTCAGATGTTTTTGGGATTCTAGTTTCATTACCGGAAGTTGATTTGCGTGTATATTTTATTTGGACTTTCTGAATGCAACACAAATTTTTGTATAGGGCATTTCTTTAGTCGACTAGGTATGATAGTACTTGGACATTGGAAGTGATTGAAATGAGCGTTGAGATGATGCCTTTTTGTACGACGGTGTTATGCTTTTGTGGGCGCAAAGACCGCAGTCAAATCCGTCATTACGATTCTATAAATGAACCTTACAATGGTTGAGCATCTATATTTACAGATCAAATAAGGCTATTCTAACTTCTGGATGTATTGAAAATAGCACCAATGTTTTTGATCGGCAAATAGCATCAGTGTCCTTGATCGCTCTATAGTAACGTCATGGCGATTTATACAAAAACAGGACATATCTAAATCATCTGCTTCGTCACTAAGGCGCTTAACGCAGCAGAGAGAGCAGCGAACACCTGGAATCCGTTAGTATTCTCACGCCATGGAGTGGTTATCCATTGACTGATAAAAATAATCGGTTTGGCTATTTTCGTCGCGCTGCTATCAGTGACGAGTAGTTTTCGGTGATCCCAACAACGCAAGCAAACTTTGGAAAAAAACACGGAGGTTATGTTTGTGAGTGAAATTTTCTGCGTCATCCTCTATGCCATGCTCAATTTTGGATACAACCCTTCGAAAACTTCTTCTCTTGATGATCTTGCAGAATTTGAAAAAAATGCATTTGAATTTGAATTTGCAAACTCTTCTTGTCATACACGACGTTCTATTTCGCTCTTTGATTTTTATAGCAGTCGTACTTCGAGATGAGCAGCCATTAGTACTCGAATCTGTAGTAAATTTTACGACATTACCATCTTCATCCTAAATTCGAAAAAGATCTTTGAGAAGAACTTTGCGAAGTGGTTCCACTTTTCCACTTCTATTTTGCTTTTTTGTGAATGACCCGAGCTCAAAGAAGCATGTACTGCTTAGTACAGCTCTTCTAGCGTTTGAATATCCTTACGATCCCAGCAGGAAGTTCTTAGTATTATCTTCTTTTTGAAGTAGCTATAGACCAAAAATTAGTTAAGTCAAGAAGTAAGAGTAAGATTTTCCGAGACTAAGTCAGCTGCTACGCGAAAAAAATTGCTCTTTGATTTGCACGAAACTCTTGACTCTGAAACGACCTCCGGTTTTTGTTGTTTGTTGAATGAGTGTAAAATGTCCGCTTCGTTGCCTCTTATCTGCACTCTCAAGGTTTGGTCGTTGTTCGGGCGAAACCGCGATAAGACTCCTATTTAACGCCTCAGTGCGCAGTTGTTTTCTTCCACTTCGCGGTTCGGCTTTGCTACAGCTGGTCGTCTCCAGCTGTTCTCCTTATCGTTATAAATCCCTGTATCAAAATTACTCTTTTTGACCGTAACTATTGTTGATCGCATTAAGATCAGCATAGTCAAAACTTTGAACGAAAGGCTTCACGACTAAAAAGCGAGGATTCGGTATCTGATGGCCCAAAATATTTGTTTATTTGACTGTAATTTCAAATCCATCCCACATGCGCGAAAGTTTTTCAAAACTCTATAGTAAGAGCTTTCGTATTGTCAAGACTTGATAGGCTCAAGATGGTTCGTATCATTTAACCAATTATGGATGCATGTGATTTTGCCTACACTTTAACAAGCTTTCCTTCGGTGACCCCTTTCCTGGTACAAGGTTCTGCTATCTGCCAAACCCGCAAAATGGTGTTATTCCTCCGTTTTATGAGCTAAATCAAAGTTCTTTGAGTCCTTATTGCATGAGGATAGAAGAGGTTAGGAAAGAAATCGTTTTGCATTCTATGAGAAACACGTACAAGTGTGAAACCTTGCAACATTGCGCTTGGCTATAGAGCATACAGTAGCCACTTAAAGGGACTTTGGAGGTGTGTAGGGATAGCGATTCAAATCACTTTGTGATTTTGGCAGCATTTCTCAATATTTTCCCGCATTTCTAGTAAAGGCCGTGAGATTAAGCAGGTGATGGCATAGGTTTAGCTAACATACCCACTTTGACAAATGTCCTTATCATATGAACCATTTACTCAAATTGATGGTGAAATTTTGATGTTGTATATGCGGAGAGGCCTCAACTGAGTCATGGTCTAAGTCGTTCCTTAACAAGATATGAATTACGAAGCAGGAAAGTTGCTCCAAGAGGTGGGAACCGCACATCGACGTTCTCAGGAGATGATGGGTGATCCTCAATGTAAATAGAAATGTCGAAAATTTGAAGCGTTGGTTACATCGAAACCTAATGCTGGAACTTGTTATTTTCAGACCACCCACGTTGCTGGGTGGAGCTACCACCTCTAGTCCTACTTTCTGAAGCAATTTCTCTCCTTGTAAAGTCATTTTTAGCACCGGGACTCAAGGACTTAGTTAGTTTGGGACTAGCTATAGTACGCATCAAAACACCGTCTCACTCCCCCCCCCCCCCCCCCCAACTTGCGTGAGCGGTGCCTTCAAAAGGACTTCTCTGTGCTTTTCTTGATGATGTCCGGGAAAAAGCGCGCTTGCCACCGCCTTTCATATTTCTTTTCATTTATGAATAGTAATTCTTGTGGGTGGTTTATACATCGGGCTAACCGATAAAGCTTCGAAACACAGTGCTAGTGACGTTGCACTTTTTCTTCATGTGCACAAGAGGTCTCGCACGTGTACTGGCATATGTCCATCACAACCAACGCAGTTGTCACATTATTTAAATGACTTCTGGTTTGCTGGCGCGTGCGAGCGTAGTCTCTATTCAGAATTACACAAGTTTTTTTCAATGTATGTATATATATGCGGTATGAAGTTCTATACGTGATATACTTGCTCTATCCTTTGGTTCAAATCGGTCCCATATATCGACAAGGTTTGCCACTAATTCGAAGTTCTTCTGGGGCCAGAGATAAGTTTCACATTTATAAACTGTACTGCGACCTTGCGCCCCAGCATGTCAGTCGAGGTCTGGGTTTTGCTGGTATGCCAACTTACCAGACTGGCTTTCTCCTAGATTTTCTAAGGCTTAAATTATTTTTGCTTCAATTTTGTTGGCGAACGAGAGCCATGGTGTAGACTCCTTCGTATATCTTCCCGGCAATGCCTTCCAGATTGATATCTCAGCTCGTGAACGTTCACCGACATTGAACCGTAGCTGACAAATTATTGTACAGTCTGCCCCAATCCTAACCAGGCCAAAATTGGCATGGCGGGAGTCCGCGTTGCGAGGGTTTCGCGCCACATCTGTGGCTAGTTTGTTGCATTCTCCCCCATTCTTTTCGCTTCCTACGACAGCGCGCGTATGCAGCGCAAACTCCTAGCGCTGCGAGCGCGCAAATTCAGCCAACATTTCGACCTGATCCGATTGGGACAGACTGTATAGTAGTGGCGTAATGAAGCCCTTCCCTCCCCCCCCCCCCCCACCAGGAATGGGTTGCGAAATTTTTGAAAGTTACTTACATGGGCTATAATAACATGCAGGTGACTTGTTCTCATTTTAAAAAATTAAATTAGCCTTGTAAAAAAATTTTTTTTAGGGCGTGGCTGCTGTCACCCCTTTATTCCATTATCAGGATTATAGGCCCGCGAAAATTTTGGGAAGTATTCCAAAAAATTTTTAAATGCCTGACTAACTCCATGCACCTTCATTCGAAAGAAGTTTTTGTCTCCCCCCCCCCCCCCCCCACGGAAATCCGGGTGTATGTCAAGAGGCGCGATTTTTATTGCCAGATGGACACCAAAAAGCACATAATAAGTGTTTTATGACATTCAAAAAGTACTGATATTTTAAAAGGAGATATATTTAGGAGTTGCATGGGTTGCTCAAGCTTGCTACATTGGAATCAATTTAAGAAAGCAATTTTGAAGGTCAAAAACCCATGAAAATGTAGCCAAGAACAAATTCTTAAATTTCCGTCCCGTTTTCCAGCAAAAGCCGGCAAACTCGGCGAGTGGTAACCTCAGACAGATAGTAATCCAATGCACTTTATGTGATACTATTTGAAGACTCGCGAAGCACCAAATTGGAGTTTCGAGTTGGTGACAGCCGAAGAATCGCGCCTCTTGACCGTCTCCCCGGAAATCCTGGGTGCCACTGTCGTATACCGTGTGTTCCTAGGTTACGTTGATAAATCAATTTTGAATAAATTGTCACTACTGTGGGTTATGTAGATTGACAGCAGCGACACTGATAAGAAGTTTATCGGAACCGTTCCCTCCTTTGCTTCTGGAAAATCTGTAGTTTGTCTGGGTCATTGCTCAAATTGGTGAAAGGCGGTGCAGATAGGGGTATGGGTCAGGGCCCGGCACGAGGTCGGCAAATGACAATCTGGAAATCGTTTTGGGGCCAAAAAGCAAAGGGGAAATCGTTTTTGCGGGGTCCGGGGCGCAGCCCTGGAAAAAAAATTGGTAGTTCATGCTCGCTACTTATCTTGACATGTTATGTGCCTCAACAGGCGAACACTGGAGTTCGCGCGCGTCAAACCGCGCCGTCGCTAATTGCCGCACGTGCGACGTCGCCCAAGCGATGCTATTTGTAACTGCATACATGACTAGTTCTTAATGTATGTGTAACGATATGGCACCAAATTTTTTATGCGAACGGAGAGAGGCTAGTGGAAACATAGTATGAAAAGTTATGAAAAACTTATGTGAACGGAACGAGTAATTAGCATTTTTTCCGAGAATTTGGCAAAACTGGTAAATGAAGATGTGAATTCAAACGGCTCGTTTGGAACGCGCAGATGAACGATATGGTATGAAACTTGGTAAGTACATGCACACGGGCTTGCAGGGCTTAACTGAGGAGTTTCATTAAAAAAATATGTGACTGAAGGTTGTGGCAATCTTTTTTCTGAAAATTTTTCGCTACCAAAGAAATGGAAAAATGGCTCGTTTGCAACGCAGAGGTAACGAAATCGCGCGGGTTTCGGTGTGTATATGCGCAATAGGACCAAGTAATAAAGTATGAAATATTATGAAAAACTTAGGTGAATGAAGAGCGTGCTTAACTAATTTCCAAATTAGGTCGGCATTTGCCCACCTAATTCCCACCTGAGGTCTGCAAAACTCTCAATTCACATAATTTTTTCAAAATTTTTACATAAATCTGTTGTACACCTAAAGTTTACTACATGGTGAAATTTTGGTTCCGAAACTCCTCCTCTTGTCCTTGTTAGAGCCCAAAATCGCATCAGCAGCCTAGCTTTCTAAGATAGAAAGCGCGCCCCAGTCAATCGATACGCGCGGGAACGGCGTCTCTCATTCCTATGACTGCGTTTCTTTGATATTTTCACATTCCTTAATCATTTTTCTTGCTTATTTTTCTTCCTGTTTTCTATTTTGATACAGCTGAGGAATAATTTGAGGAATTTGAGCAATTTGGGCGCTTTTGAGCGCTTTTAGGCGAAGTGTGGCCGGTAATCTCGTCGCACAAGCACAAAACGTCATTTTTGGGCTCAAGGGGGTATTCGTAAAATTTATTGGGATCAAAGGGGAACTCAATTTGGAAAACCCCGTTTGCCCACCTCGTGCCGGGCCCTGGTATGGGTTTCCGGAATGAAAAGTTTTCGAGCTTTGGATGAGCAGCTACAAAATGCGAAGATTGTTATCGAAACTGCTGTGTCCTTCGCTTCCAAAAAACATAAATGCTCTAAAAAGTAGCTATCTCTAGATATCCATATCAGCGTTCCCGCTTTGTTACTTCCTTTTTTGCCGAAGTTACACGATACCCCTCTCAAATCGGCCAATTTAGCAGTGAATATGGTATGAACAAGAGTTTATATGCTGTTTTGTACTAAACACTCATAACAACCGTTTCGATTCAATAAGGAAATTTTAGATTTAAGTTTGTCAATTTGATTTGTAGACACATGTTATTTATTTTATTTTATTTATTTTATTTTATGCATACACTCGTGGTGCACCATTAAAAAAAATCGAAATCGACCAGAAAATCAGTCAAAGAAACCAGGCAATCCTCAGTCACAGAAGGAAGAAGAGATATAAATGGAAGACAAAACTAAACAAGACAAATATCGAAACTCTACAATGACGATGTAGCCATTAATTGCAGCATAGCAAAAGAGAAAGCGCTATGTCCAGAAGAGTCTGTAGAATCTTGCTTCTTCTAAAGTTAATGAAGACCCTGTTTTTATTTGTGTTCCGTTAAGGAAAGAGATCTTGCCCACTAACTTATTTTCAATTCAGCTTATATAATAGGCCTTAGAGAGAACAGAGGAAGTAAACAAATACCAAGATTGTGCTGGGGTACAAACGCGTGACGCGATTTTTACACTTGTACTTCCAGATTATTTGATCGAATAGCATTAACACTTCGTAATGTACATAAGCCTATCTTATGATATCTAATGTGCGTCATCTGAAGCGCACACGTGGTTTTTTCTTGAAAAGTGATATATTGAGGACCCTACAAGGAACTTTATTGAGTATTACTTTCTTCTGTCATTTTGCCTCTGTACACGACATTTGAGTGAATCGTCCTTTCCTTGGCTGAAGGAAGAATTAGGATACGTGGCTAATTTCACAATACAAATGTTGCCTGTTCTCAGCTTTCATATGTCATCTATTTTTCGCCTCATAATCAATATTAATAAATGCATTTTTAGTATTAGCACTACTGCCGACCCAACAACAAGTGCAAGCGCTCGAAATGCCGACACCGCTCACTTTTCCCCTTCCGATGATTGATGAAAATAATCGGTAGCTTCCTACTGAGTTACGAATAATTTTGGAAATCAGCGTGATTTTTTATAGGCCCATCATAACTGACCAGACGTTTGACAGAATATTCAGTCGACCCAATGTAATGATGCGTGACCGAGAAGCTGTAGAACGAAAGCTAAAAGTTATGGTTGAAGGTGGCCGAGAGAAACTAATGGTTTGTTTGGGCTAAGCAAGGAATAATACAAAGTGTAATGAGCACTTCCAGGTCATCTCTGACTTCGACTACACCCTATCTCGATTTGAAGACGATGGTGGTAGCCGATGTTGGACCACGCATGGCGTGTTTGACAACTGCGCCAAAGAGTTTGATCCCAATCTGGCTAATAAAGTGAGAATAAAACTAAAAATGGCTAGATAGTTACATGAACTAATTCCCGTTACAGTTCGAGTCACTTCGCGCAAAATACTTTCCCATCGAGTTTGATCCAAAGCTTTCACTGGAGCAAAAGATCCCATTTATGGAAGAATGGTAGGTTCGCCTGCATTTTTTTCATTTCAAGCACTTAATTTTGGAATATCTTGAATTATTATGTAATACAAGTTATGACAGAGTGGAAAATTGACTTACAGAAGATTTATTGAGTGAAAAATTGTACTGCTTGAATGCTAGTTCCAGACCACCAGACCAGTGGCAGTCCCAAGATTGCCGTTTGGGGTGGGGGACGGGAGGGGGAGGAGGGGGGGGGGGGGGAGGGCTGCGACAGAAATTTTTTTGTAGATGGCGTGGTTACAGCGACGCCCTTGCATGAAAACTTTTTTGCAAAGTTACCAATTTACAAGTAACAAGTCACTTGCCTTTCAGGACACATTCGCGACACATTCTCGCGGGGGGGGGGGGGGAAGGGAGGGAGGAGGTTCTGCCCTCCGGCCGTCTTCGTCAGGAATTGCCTTCATTTTCATTGACGTTCACTGAAAAAAACGTGTCTAGCATTTTGCAATTATCTAATCCGTAACAGGACGTAGTTTTAAGGCAGAATTGTGCAAAAATGCTTTTTGCAGCCATTTTTGCAAGCGTTTTTAAAAACAAAAAACTTTCGTCCGTGTTGTGTCAAGAAAATTTGCCGCGAAGTTACGGTAGCATACCATAAGAGGCAAAAAAGTCGTTTCTCGCAAAATAGTCTATTTGTACTTTCTCAAAATGACAATCACCATATCAAGATCATCCGATGAATTTTGCGAAGAAAGCATTTTTGACATCATGAATTTAATTTTTGATTACCTGACCTTCTGTTCCTCATGACTTTTAATTGAACTGCAAAAAAAAAATGAAAAAAAATCTTATTCTTTCCATAATTCAGGTGGAACGCCTCCCATGGCTATATCGTTTCTGCCCATTTTAACAAGCCCACAATAGAAAGCTTTGTGAAAAATGCGAAAATTATCTTAAGGTTTGATCGGAGAGTCCTTTAAGCCACTTCTTATCTGACATATCCATTTCTAGAGACCAAGCCGAGGCTATGATACAACGATTACTACAGCTTGGTGTTCCTCTGGTCGTATTCTCAGCTGGTATCGGTAACATCATTGAGATGTTCCTGCAGCAAAAGTTTGGACAAATGCCAGCAAACGTGCATATTATATCGAACATGATGAATTTTGATGATAAGGTAAGTTGCATGCAGTGAACAATCAAAATGTGATTTATTTTGTTCCTAGGGCGTCATTGTGTCATTCTCGGAGCCGCTTATTCATACGTTCTGCAAGAATTCCTCCGTGATTCGAAAAGAAGCTGAATTCTTCCATGAAGTTAGGGGAAGGTGAGGAGTACAGTCTTTTTCAGCTCGGAGTGGGCGAAACATTTCAAGTAGAGCAGCGCGTCCGCACCACCACTAGCTTAGAGAGATAGATTGGAATGAAGAGACGCAGACAGCAAAGCGGCTTGAATCGTTGCGAAGTCCAATTTTCGCCTAAACTGAGTTAAAACTTACTATATGATTATCCTTGAGTCATCTCTAACCGCGGCAACCGAGGAGTCCTTTAATAGTGACTCGCAAGCGATCCCAACTTAAGGTGGCAAATTGGAATAAACCGCATACCATTAGATGCGTCTTGATGAGCTGATTGCAAATCTGCCTTCCATATCTGCGACAACGTTATCTGGAAGAAGTTATGAAAGGTCAAAAACGTGAAGTAACAGGGATTTTAGTGCATAATTCGCTTCAAAATCCAACTTGGGAGTGTATGACTAGCATGATATTGAGTGTACTGATTTCAAGGAATGCTCACACTCTAAAGAAACACAAATAAGTGTTTTTGAACAACTAATTTTCGAGGTATTGCGCTGTATATCTGCCAAATTTGGACTTTTCATTGGTCATAGCTTTTACCAAAGAACTTTAGTTGCTTTTTAGTTGTTCAAAAACATTTATTTGCGTTTCTTTTGAATGTGAGCATTCCGTGAAATCAGTACACTCAATATGATGCTAGTCGTGCACTTCCAAGTTGGATTTTAAAGCAAATTATGCGTCAAAACCCTCGTTACTTCACGTTTTTAACCTTTCGAAACTTCTTCCAGATAACGTTGTCGCAGATATGGAAGGTAGATTTGGAATCAGCTCATCAAGACGAATCTAATGGTTTGCGGTTTATTCCAATTCACCACCTTAGGTTGGGATCGTTCTCTCGTCAGTAGATTCTTTTGTTGCTTAATAAACCTTATAAGTGTGTACTAACTAATACTACGACTGATTTATACATATGCAATCAAATCAAAATAGACACAAAACGAGAATTAGCTAAATTTGAGCGATCTTCAATCTCGAAAGTCGTCTAATAGTGTGCAATAAGCATAACAAAACTCGATGATAAGTATGCTTCATGGCCAATGTAGTGCCCTTGCGGTATCGACAACACTCGCGCGGAGAAAAACTGTCGTACTTTCAAAGCCGAAATGCATAAATGCACAAAAACCCCGCGCTTCATGTCCATTTTTACGCGCAATTGTTGTCGTCAGCGCAACGGCACTGTAGTAACCTTCAAATCTACTATGCTATAGTTGTTGACCACTTTGTCTTCGTCTCTTTAATGAGTAGATAAATAAAAAAAAATTTCGGAGCTACAAACCCTTCTTAATCGTCTTTGCTTTCTTGCATTGTTGCATTTTACTGCAAAATTTTTACAAAAACTTTTTTAGGAACAATGTGATTCTTCTCGGTGATAGTATGGGCGATATACATATGGATGTTGGAGTAGAAAAACAAGGCCCCACACTCAAAATAGGATTTCTTAATTCAGATGTGAGTCAGACGAGGAAAATGCCTAAATTCAAATATTTCTCAATTCAGATAGACAACTTGCTCGATCACTACCTCGACGTCTACGATGTGGTTCTTGTACGGGATAATACAATGGATATTCCGAACTCTATTGTACAAACCATAGCTGAGGGTCATTTGAAGTGCGCTTAATTTGTAAAATTTTTTCAATGAGACCTCAGGCTGTAATATGTAAGGTTGTAGAGTCTAGATAGCCGTTATATTGTACAAATTCATAGGATAATAAGCATTGTGTGCCTCAATAGGAGATGTTGGTTCTAAGAACATTTTTGTCCTATTGTCACTTATTCAGTTTCTACCTTTTCGTCTACTTAGGCGGTTTTTTCCATTCCGGTGTGTCTGTATCCCGCTAAGAATGCTTATAGCCTTTATGACATCTTATAGAAAATGTCTAGACTTTCCCATGCCCACTCCCAGCTTTACTGATTATGAAACTAAGGAGGATTACGAGGTTTAGTTCTTGTATAGATCTTACTCAAAGAATCATTACGCTTAATAAGAGACAATATGCTAGAAGACGTATAAATCGTTATTAAACTTGCTTTGTGTTGAGAGCTTGATTTTTTCCGTGGAAGAGAGAGGCTAGAACTCGCTAGGTGAGTTTCTGGGAACAACATTCCACATGCCGCGGCAGCTTTAATGCTGCGCGCAGAGATGCCCACTAGCATTTCGGATGTTATTCTGTTCTTCCATTCTTCCAACAAATCGACATGCTTATTATACCACCAAATTCTTCTTCAAGCAGAGATTTCCGTGATTCCTCATTCCAGTGTTTTTGGAGAATTATGTTGTCTTGCAGCATTCTCACTTGAAGACTGTGGCGGTACTCTGATGTATTAACATAGGTTGTAAAAAAAGTTCAATAGAAGTTGCGCTAGACTGTTTTATTCATATAAGTGGTTGCCGAATAACGATATTTTGGCCATGTTACTGATAACCTTATACTCCTGTTTATGCGTATCATAGATGCCTTAAACAGAATAGTGTATTTAATAGCTGGAGCCATCGCACGCTAAGAACACATCCCACGCCCCTTCCATTCGCATTCATTTTTGATAATTATGAGGCGAATTGGCAAAACTTTCGGTACTTTTCCGTTATCCGTACCCATTATTTCAAAAGGATCTCATGTTATAAATTCTTTTGTCTAATAATGAAAATAATTTTTTCGTAGATTCTACGAGGACTGCTTCCTTGCCACGTGTCATAAAAAAATTGACACCTTTTGGTCCATTTTGACATGTTTTTTTTTTGAAATCATTTCCGGTGGGATAAAAGAAAATTTATGATCATTTTGAAGCTGTTTGATTGTTTTACGTAAGCACAAAATAATCATAAATTTATTCTAGGACATCATTCTTGCTTTCAGCAGTGATTCAAAAATTTTTTTCAAATCCTTTTCGCCATAATTTAGCCGAAAAGACTATAAATGGTAGCTTGAAGTACCTTGCTGCTGCTTATCTCGCCTCTTAAATGGCAGAGTCCTAGCGCACTTCTCCTTCCTGAGCAAGTCTAACCTGTTCATCGATGATAGTATGCCGTTATTGATATGACAATGTTCACTTTGAAACTGTTTGATCGAAATGAGTTCAAAATTGATTAAAAAAACAGATTGAACTTACATCGTTAGGTAGGGTAACACAAAGGTAGGGTAACACAAACTCTTGGTAAAACCTGTTAAACATGTAAAAGACATATCAAATTTTTTGACACCTAGCAGAAGGTTACACTCCTTCCTGTGGAGCACCAAATATGAAACAAAGATAGAAGCAATACCTTTCTTTGAAAAAATGGGTAAATAAGGATAAGATAAGGAAAAAGTACCGAACTTTCTTTACAGCCCAACACACATGAACTTGGTATTAGTTCAACCATATTTCTTGGTGATTCTCTTACAAGGCAATGGTCAGAATTCGAAGTGGCGGATCCAAGCAAGCTGCATAACATTAAAGGCAGTGGCTCGGCAAATCTCAACCTAGTCAAACTTGCGCTTACCTGGGGTTATTCAATACGCTGATCCCGAAAATCCACTTTTGAAAGCTTGAAAACGGCTAAAATGAGCGTTTTTCAATGCCCTTCCCTTTGGAATTGGACGAATGGAGCAAGGCTGATGACGCCAAATCGTTGCAGGACCCAATAGTTATAGCATTGCGGCGGGCAGCCTCGGGTAGAGGTACGAACGCCTCAATTACACGCCGCTTCTGGGGGCTGCTGTTCCTTTCGTCTTACTGTTGTACATCGTGTTGCGACCAGTAGTCCGCGGAGGCGGTGCCAAATTGAGGTGTTCGTTCCTCCACCCGGCAGCCTCCAATGGTGGGAAGGAAATTGGCAGGTCGTCCGGATGCGTGTAAGATCGCCCTGCGCGTGTAACTTTGAGAGCAATTTTCTCGGCAGAGAAAGCATGCTGTGCAACGGGATTGCACTGTTTTCATACTTGGGCGATAAGGAATCCACCGCGTTGAAATCCTGAGTTGTTCGATTTTGCCGATCCACTGCCTTTAAGTGCACCATGAAACGCTGATTCGAATCTGCCTTCTTTATCCACTTCAAATGGCCCATTTATAGGTGAGCCAAGCGGACAATAATAAGCTTAATTTCGCAATTTTTATGCACGATCTTTTCGCAGTAAAACTGCTCATAACTTCGCCTGCAAAGGAGTTTTGCAGATAAGGAAGACAAATTTGAAGTCAGCGTTCTATGCTGCATCAAATGGTATACAGCTTGTTTGAATTGGCCACTTCGACTTCTGACCATTTCCTTGTTAGAAAAGTAGTGACCCTATGCGAGAGTTCGATCAACTTCAATGCTGTCCTCTAGTCAAGGAAGAATCGCGTTGTACTCAAAAATAGGCAATAGAATTGACTACTCTAGCAATCACTGCTTTATGTAAATTACCGTAATTTAGCTCTATTCAGTACAGAAGGCCCTACCACAGAGCAATTTTGTGCACGATCGCGATTCCTTCCCCCTTCGTATTGGTGATTGGCAACGGTCTTGTTTATCCGTATCCATTCGTAGTGTAAAAACCTCAATGCGAATACGTACTCGACTGTAGATGCAATTCTGGCCTACCCTCAGAATCGTTTTACATGTTATTCGTGGTTAAACGGTACATCTGTATGTTCTTGCAATTATAGTGCAATCTCATTTATTTTATATACAGGATCTTCCATTGTCATGTTGGAGAACAATACCGACCGCCTCGTGGGGGTAGTCTCGTTTGGATGCTTGCTTTTCATAGTGGTAGCCGTGGGTTTCGTATCCAAGCTGCATTGTGATTTGATCAGCATCGCGAAGCAAGCAGAAGAAGAGTCACCCAAATTCAATGTAAAAGTTTAACTTATAAATTTATGATCAAACAAAATTTTTGCCAGGTTGTACATGAAGAGCTTTGGAAAGAAGCATTAAAGCTTGTTGACAAGTATGGAAGAAATATCGAGAAGAGACACGCCGTTTGTCAGTTTTCCTACTGCTCTTCCTTTTTTGTCAGGGCCGCTGCATAAATTTTTTGTATATTCCAGATCAAGGCCAAGCGAGCCAAAATATTCGCCTTAATCCCTACGTGCAGACCCTTCCAGAGCGCACTAGACGTTTCCACTATACGCCATATCAACAACAACCATTGCAGGTCCTCCAGCCATGTAAGTGCCATCCACTCCCGACCGCATGGACTGGCCTTAGACTGCGAGTTGTACTGGTACAGCCAACGCTTGTATTAGTAGAAATCGCTGTTGTACCCTCTGTTTCATACGGAGTGAGCCCCGACTCGGATCCGCACCGCCACTCCTGAACCTTGCGCAGCGTTCGCGAACGTGTCGCCTTATCATTTTCTCACGCGTGAGCGTTTGTAGAGGCTCAGAGGTGAGCTTCAATCGTTGATTAGGCATAAGAAAATGGTCAGGTGCACTTTTCAACGAGCGCAGAGTCCAAGCGAGGCGGCCGCGTGGAACAAGATCCTCTCGTGTCGGGCCTATTCCAAAGGCACGCGCCATACTTGATTCGCTTGAACCACTTGATCTGCTTCATCCACTTCGCTATTGGTCAGTTTGCTGGTATGACCTATAGCGAAGTGGATGAAGTGGATCAAGTGGATCAAGCGGATCAAGCATGGCAGGTGCCAAACCAGAGTAACGATTCAAGTCGTGCTTGGCAGTTCAGCCGCCCCAAGCGTACTCCGCAATAGATTAGTCCGTGCGTCGACGACTCGACAATATCTCTTCATCATAACCACGACTTATGAGGATTTTATAAAGCCATCACTCTCTAATTCAGATCCTCCTCAGCCAATTTACCAACAAAGATACAATGATAACAGCGGAATACAGTGTAACTGCCCTCGTGGCCCTCGTGGGCCTCCTGGACCAGATGGTTATGATGGAGGTAAGTGAAATCAGAATTCAGTTTCAACCCCACAATCCTTACAATAGTTTGCCTTTTTCCTTCCTCGAATTAGTTTTCATAATGGCCCTATGGAGCTTACAATTAGTTTCCTACTTCATCTATACACCTAATTCGCAAATTCAAGTTCCTGGCGTTCCTGGAGTAGACGGACTAGATGGAGATGATGACAGCACATTGAGACTGCATTATTCGGACGCATGCGCAATATGCCCTGCTGGACCACGCGGACCACCGGGCCCGCCAGGACCACCCGGAGACATCGGTCCAAAAGGTCTTCCCGGTACACCTGGTAACGATGGAGCCCCAGGTATACAAGGTGCAAAAGGGCCCGAAGGTGACAGAGGTTTCCCAGGTAGATGAATTCCCTTATTACATGAAAATTCTTACTACCACGAAATTAGGACAACGCGGACCACCTGGTCCACCGGGTACACCTGGACAGAGAGGCGAAACGTACACTCAAGTAGCCGGACCGCCTGGTCCACCTGGTCCTATAGGAGAACAAGGCGAGATGGGCGAAACTGGGTTGCCCGGAGCGCCAGGCTTACCAGGATTTCCAGGACCTCAGGGATTGCAGGGAGCAAGCGGAAGCCGAGGAGCGGATGGTAACTTTGGTCCGGTAAGTATAGCGACGACCTTTGCCTTCCACAACAGATCAACAAGTTCTCTTTTTCAGCCGGGAGACCCTGGTTTCAATGATGATGGCTACTGCCCTTGCAATGTAGGAAACAGAGACGAGTACAAGAAGGCCAATGGTGTTTCGAAATTATAAGTCCAAAACTTTTTCGCGATATTCATCCCAAATAAATGAAATTACCGCTATCACAAAGGCAAATCAACACAAAATCACAAATAATATCAGATCAGAGCTTATAAACACTGAATACAAGAATGAGCCTACTGTGGAGCTATTGGAAAATGAATAAATTATGAGCCTTATAGGCAAGATAAAACAAAGACAACAAGAATAGAAAATCAAGTAGTGAGTTGATTAGACTAAAATAACTTAATGATATGATACATGAATATAAAATCTTGTTAGTATAAAACCAACAATCTCTTGAAAGTTTAGTCAGTGAGCTAATCATTAAGATAGTTTCTATACCTGTAACGAAATGTTCATGCAACCTGAACGATCAATGAAGTTTACTTCTTCACCTAAATAAGTTGTATACACCACAGTAAATCTCGGAGAGCAAATTTACCTGTTTGTTAGCTTGTCTTTGCCTTTCAATCATCATCTGAATTGCTTCATCCTTGTCCTTTAGAAGCTGTTCAACCTTCTCACGATGCTTTCTCTCCGCACTCATCAAATCTGCTTGCAATGATGCTATCTGAAAACGGATTCCGCTTCTTTGGCAATTCCCCGGAAGACGGTCAAGAGGCGCGATTTCTCTGGCTGTCACCAACTTAAAAGCCCATTCTGAACTACACAAATTTTAAAAAAATTCCAGAGAAAGTCGTTCAGCTTACTAGCTGTTCGAAGTTTACCATTTACTGAGTTTCACGACTTTTGCTGCAAATATGAGCGAAATATTCACGAAACTGCCATTATTTGCATTTTCGTGGGTTTTTGACCTTTAGTGTTTCTGTTTTGGATCTTTTTCAAGATGACAAGATCAGACAGCTCATGCAACGATCTTCTATAATTTCTCAGAAATTTGAAAGGCCTCTAAAACATTATTAAACATTTAAAATGTGCAATTTGATGTCCAGCTGGCAATAAAAACCGCGCCTCTTGACATACACCCCAATTCCCCAAAGGAGAAAATTGATGTGACAGGAAGCAACAGTTTTTTTTTTGTAATCTCAAGCAATTCTGAAGCGGAAAGCGAAAGAACGCCAAAATTAGAATTCAAAAAATGGAACTGCTCACCTTTTTGTCTTTTTCCAGCATAGCAGCCTCTTTCTGCGCGACTATCGAGTTAAGTTTCGCGATCTGATCGCGAAGTTGTTGAACAAGCATCACATTCTCGCCAGAATCAGCAAATGGATCTCGTTTGATTATCTTTGCAGGTTCAGCCTGCGACTTGTCAACCTAAGAAAACGATTATTTTTGGGTATGAACACTAATCACGAGTTAAATAAGAAATGAGCAAAATCAAAAGCTTTCAAACCGTCCAGCAAGATAACTTAAATACTCGCAAACGTACGGCTATGAAAGGAAATGAAAATGAGTGTTCTTCTAACAGACTAAACTGACACATAAGGTTCTACACTTCACTCTGATCTCACAAACTTAAGCAATATGCCTCACAACAACCGCGGATGTATCAGAAGGCCATTCTTTTTCGAAGTAGTTTACCAAGCTCCCCTCATGGAAGGGCTGAGCTTAATCTGATAAAAGTATCAATATCAAGTAAGTTATGATGTCTGCGTCTGCATTGAAGTATACAAAAACATCTTTTGGAGCTTTTGAAGCTTTTCGACGTGAACACATTTGCAGCATTCATAAGAAATTTTTGCTGACTGTTTTCTTGGTAGAATCTATAGTTACAATGAAGAACTTACAGGAACTTACAGCGTCGAGGGTACAAATAGTGAATAATTTCTACAATAAAGTCAGCTTGAAAAGATTTTGAACTTGTGCACTTGAAAAAATTACTACACAGCAGATCCTGAATATGACATATACAACAAGTTCTATGAACTGGATAAATCATACTCAATTGTCAAGCAAAGTCGAAAACAAGGTTTCGCATTGCAGACTTTACTATGACTTCAAGCCCCTCCCATGCACTGTAGCATTTGACAAGCACGTGCGTATATACACATACAAAAATGATCCCTTCAGAATAAAAAATTTAGAAAAAAGGTATACCCACTACAATAGAAAACGTTCATTTGATCAACTTCCTGACAAGTATACAAACAAAGTGAGAAGAGTCTGGACAAATCAACCTTTAAGATGCTCATTTCTGAAGACTCTGTTTAGCTGATTTATGATTGTAAAAACTGATGACTAAAAGAAGCAGACATCATGAATTATATGGAAAGAAAACAAGAGCCATATCTGTTGTGATATCGGCCTAGATTCGACGACTGATAGGATTTATGGTGCATATCGACTTGATACTTATATAAAAAATCATACATACCTTCTTCTTCTCCTCTCGCTTGCGTTTCTGGCCGGAGTGTTCATGCGACGAAATGGCTACACCAGCCAAATTTGTTAGTTTATTGGCACGTGCTTGGAGCACACACATACGACACAATGTAGGCTTGGCCTGAATGATGAAAAGCTAAACTTGGACATTTTACTCAAATAACGTATAGGAAGGCCTGATTCAATAATCCCAGTAGGTTGGCTAAAGTGCAGTGAAACATTTTGATATGCCAAGGAACTGTCAATCCTGTTATACTGATTAGCAACAAAAAGCTTCGTCAGTTAGCGACATAGGACGACAGAACAGTGGGACCAAAATATAAGTGAGTGCATTTGTTACTAGCAGTTAGAGCCGATCAATATGCTAAGCGAGTTACGTAACCAAAAAACCGCGATAAGCAATTTTATGTTATAGTTGTAGCTGTGCAGTATATCCACAGATTTCATAGTCTTACAAAGAAAGGATACTAGCTGACTGTGGCCATTCGTAAGGCAGATACATCATTATATTTGTAAAACGATGGTTACAAATTTGCTTCCACTATCTGCTGATCGAGTGCCTGAATCAAGTTACGAGCTTTTTCGCACGATTTTTGCACAATGAAACATAGTCACAATTATTGGACTTTTTGAGGTTTAACACAACTGAGATAAGTTATACAAGCTTATGTTGCGATTTTTTCGAACTCGACGAGCGTAACAAGATATTTGAGCTAGGTGCGTTATTTTGCTTGACTGAGACAGAATCTTATGAGAAAAATGTTCACGACTTATTTCGGACAATCGCTTAGCAGAGAGTGAAAGCAGATTTGAAACCAACATCCCACGACGCGTCTAATGGTAATGAATGACCACGGTCGTCGAGTATCCTTCTATTGTAGTCTGTTTGTAGCAAACATTCGCTTTGCCACTGTAAGTCGCAGTGGACCAGCAGAAACCCAGGAATAAACATCGGTTTCTCGAGCCTTCCACCGAGGTAACTAACTGCACACAAAAAATATAGATGTAAAGTATATCATAGTGAAAGAGAAGCTCTGGAGAACAGAAAAATTCACAAGCATGTTATCTATCGTAGACATAAAACAAAAAATAAGAGCAGTAGAAGCCAAAACTTGAACAGGCAAACCCAACCTTTTTTGGATCTCTAGTAAATGCTGCACGTAGTTTACAGTTTGCACAGGGGATTGGAGCACCGAACTTGCGCTCGGAATGTGAACAATAAACGCATTTTTCCTCGTGAAAAGCTGCCGGTAGCTGGCAAAATTTGCACGTTGTCGGCTAAATGTGGTAAATACAGTATGAATGACTTTTTTTGTGAGCAACGTGGAAGCAAACAGACCTTTCCATACTTTGCCTCATTTTTCTGACATTTTTCGCACTGGACCGATCCCCTGGAAAAGTCAGCTTTTTATCAACAACTGAGTTACTAGTGATGGTTCCCTTACCCGTTTCCATTCGATTCCGGTAAATCTGAACGGCAATTGCAGCATTTTTTCATCAAGCTCATACTCCACTGAAATATTAGTTAAGTCAATCACTGATTTTTGAGTATTTCACTTGCATAACAGATCGCAACAGACTGAAGATCGCAAATTACTGAGAACTGCTACAATCACACACACCACAATTTAGACATAAGTTCATTTCTCCCAATATTGCAAACGTAATAAATCACAAATCTTGCGCATATCCTCCTCAGAAACTGCTGAAGTTAATGTCATAGTTCACTTATTAGAAACAACATTAAAGGCAGCGTCGAGTCAGTGGTTTAGGGGTGCCAGAATCACGAGTGAGGACTTTCTAGGAGTATGTGAATCTCGTGACTGCAATTGAAAAAAAGTCCAGATACAGAAAGCCCAGAAAAGGTGGAGGAGAAAGTGTCGACTTTCTTCTGCCTGGCTAATACAGCCAAGAAAACACTGTCTAAATAATTTTCTTCGAAGTGAATTGAGCTTCTCGAGATCTCACTCGAAACAAGTGACATCCTTAGGCGTGCGCGTAAATGCTGTGTGCGGATGCAGATCTTGCAAGAATTGTTCAGCGATTTCAAGGGGTGGACAAAGCGATAAATACTTATGATCAACAAAATGCTAAACAAGCGATTCTAAGTTGTTATCGCGCTTGAGCTTGTACACGACGTACAGAAAAGCTTGAAATTACAAATCGCTAAGGGATTCTCGTTTGATTCCCTTTTTTGTGGCAAAATTATTATAGAGGGGATAGGTAAACAGCGCCTCCAGTTACGCTCATACAATTCAAAAAAAAAGAGAACTTCGTTAAGACTTTGTTTCTGTTGTGTTGTCGATGCCATAAAAAGACAGCGATCATCACTTTGGTTCTTTACTTTTATAGATGAAAAGAATTGGCGCAGATCGTATCAGTAACGTCGTAAGTTACATAGATATGAGCTTCTATTGAAGTTAAAGTCAAACACTGAGATCATGTGGAGCTGTTTACAAGAAGAGCTTCGCGCTCTTATCAACGATCTCCCATGCGAGTGCACATGCTTTTCCAAGAACATGTGATGCACTCCTCACCACTTCAAGATATAGTCGCCCTCACCCCACTAGTCGGACGGTGGACGAATTCAAATTTGAATTGGAGCAGGCCTGTCACGGCAGAGCGCGGCGGGAGACAACGCTCAGCAATTACCCTAATTTCAGGTGTATAAGCCGCACCCTTTTTGCTCTAGACGCGAGCAGACCCAGGCGTGGCGCCGCGCATATCTCTCGCGAAGCGGTCGCCTTATCGCATACTGCTCTCACTTAACGCGCTCCATGATGACAGTCAGTCCTTTGGCGTGTTCGCCTTTAGAGTGAAAAGGGTGCGGCTTATACACCTGAAAATAGGGTACAAAGACTCAATATAGATCAAAAACGTTGTAACAATACAAAAACTGCTAAGCAATGGCGAAGAAATACGCAAAGTGAATGCGTGAATTTGAACGGAGAGCTAAGGTGCCGTGCTCTGCCGCGACCTGCCTGCTCCAGTTCGAATTCGAATTCGTCCACCGACCGACTAGTGGGGTGAGGACGACTATATAATTATAAAGAATCGTTAATACAATTCAAAAACCTGCAAATAGCGGCAAACCGCGTGGCGGTCCCGAAGCAAACGCTCTTCCAATTAGCACCTTTAGATTACTGGCTCACTAGTTTAAAACAAAAGAATCAGAATTCCGAACGGCGGAGGTGAAGCTTTCCTTCACTTTTTACTCCGCAAAAGCTAATACTGGGTGTCAATAGCTCTTCCAAATAATTTCTAGCGCAGTTACACACTTGTCCTAAAAATTTCCAAGGCAACGTCCAGGCAAATCAGGACCTAAGTGGACGCGAGGACTGTACTAAAGGACGATTTGCAATGCGCTTGCATGCTTTCGCGCGAGAACCCACGCGGAATTGGTCGTGGTTGTGGGACCATGGGAACACGATATTGGGGTCTCGTGTGGAGATGAATCTCAGCCGACAGTACACCATCTGAACGCCGCTTGTTTAGTTGAGGCTTCAAAATTACTTTTCACGTAAGGCCCCGGACAGACTTCACGCGATTTGATCGTCGCGACTGAATCGCGACGAGACAACTGTTACAACATCATTCTATGCCGATCAACCTGCATTTCGATTGTGATACTTTTCCAGCCCGAAATTTTTGAATGCTAAATGAAAATGAATGGAAATGTCGGCGATTGAGTCGCGACGATCAAATCGCGTGAAGTCTGTCCGGGCCTAAGGCCTCGGGCAGAGTTCACGCGATTTAATCGTCGCGATTTCGCTAAAGACAAGTGTTACGAGTTCATTGCAGGCCGATCTTCTTGTATTTCGGTTGCGATAGTTAGTCACGATTAGACGTGTTGGAAAACTATCACAACCGAATCACAAGAAGGTCGGCATGCAATGAACTCGTAACACTTGTCTTCAGCGATTGAATCGCGACGACCAAATCGCCTGAACTCTGTCCTAGCCCTAAGACCCATATATCCAGATTTGCCTGGATGCTGCCTTCGAAGGCACAGTCAAAGTGGAGATGAGATTTTGATGTTATATAATAGCGAGGCTCCTAAGCAAGCAATTGCCCAAGCTTCGTTACACAAGATGAATTCTAAAGCGAGAAGACCTCTCCAGAGTGTAAGGGGGCCACGCTGGCTCCGCCCCTCAACGTAATGACGTTAAAGGCAGTGTCTCGGCAGATTTTGCGTTTCCAGCTTTTTGCATGTTTTAGGCCTTTTCGATACGCAAAACACGAACTGTGCTTTGAACGGGGTGAAAGACCGATTTTGAGGCGTTTACCCAAGTTTCAAAATGCAGCTCGGATGAGAGTTTCAACAGAAAGTTGGGAGACCCCGGCACGAAGACCCTGCCCTATAATTTTTGCTTTGGAAAGCATGCACAATGCGGGAACCGTCGTGCAGTCCCGCACCGAGCAGGCGAGCAAAGCGGTCCGAGCGCGCGCCGAATGGGGTGCGCACCGGTCTAGGGCTATTTTCTCGGCGCGGCGGGGGGAACATCAACCTGCCGAACATGGCTTGGGGGTTAGTTGGGGACCAGAAACCCCACCACAGCTACTCCAGGGTGCAAAAGCGCCTGGATTTTGTCTTTGAAGGCAGCGTCCAGGCATACGTCCAAGTCTCGAGGTCCACGCCCTCTACCTTGCACGGTCAATCCTCTCGAACGAAATTTCCTCAGCGCTTGACGTGCTTTCGCATGGCAAACACAACACATAGCGTTCATGTGGTTAATGCGTGCTTTCAAGAAAGTTAGCATTGATGGCACTCGTCCGAGTGATTACAAAATAGCCCCAAAAAGGTGTTTTTTTTTTTGAGGATTTCACGCTTTCTGAGTACCATATTCGCAGCGCCATGAAAAGGCCTAAATGACGTAAAAATAGGGGGGGGGGGTCGAGAATCTGCCTGGACACTTTCTCAAGATAACCATTCCAAACTTGCCATTGTATCGGAAACTGCTGGCAGACAATGACCCGGACGAGCGGTGGGCCTCTACCGGGCTGGCGATCATGCCTCCCGCCGCTCGTCCTCTAGAGGCACGCGGCCCGTCCGCTAGAGATATAAGGCGGGCGAGCGGAGTACCTTTGGCGGACGACCATCCCTCCACTCTCCCGCTAAAGGTACTCCGCTAGTCCGCTCGCATCAAACAGAACGAGCGGAGTGCCTTTGGCGGGCTAATATCTATATACCTTGTCCCGCTCTCCTTCTAGAGATATGCCGGCTGTTTTCTGAAGATTGTACGGATTCGACAGCTCAAGCCTCCTATTTCTTTTGCTATAGACAGATATGTTGACGGCTGAGTTTTTGAGAAGGATAAATATATACAAACAAATATTCGATTTACAATTTATCACAAAAGCTAACTAGGTACATGCAAAAGTAAATGCAATGAGCTTGCTCAGCGTTATAAAGTGAAACAGCACGAGATAATAAACCGGAACAACACAAACAACAACAAAATAAACCGCAAAATCACATTCTCATGAGGGCAGAAAAGGCGCAAGAACGCATTTACACATACGCGAAAAATGCACTGTTCGGTACCAAAACTCTTTCTAGAATTTTCTCATTCTTTTTCTTTCAACTTCCGACGCATTTTCATCTCCTGGTGCCGCACGCTTCTGTCGGTGAAGTACATAAAATAAATATTAGGTTGTCCCGAAAATTTTGTCCGTTTTTTCAACCTATCATGAAAGTGCGTGGAACGAAGATAGGGAAACGCTCTAAGCACTATCCGACGCACCTTTTCCTTCTCTTTCTGTCACGCTTCCAAGCCGATTAATCTTTTGTTCACTGAGATAAACGTTGAATTTCGAACCCATGGTTTTTACTATGTCCAAGTTTGGTAATTTTTCACAATCTTTATTTTTTTTTCGGAAAAGCTTTGGCAACAGTTAGATAGAGCAAACAAAGGGCAATATAATGCAATTTTGCGGCATGTATAGCCAGCCTTGAAAATTTTTTAGAATTATTTTTCTGAAGCTATCAAATTCCACTTTTGGTGATGTCAAAAGCCAGAGATCATGAAACGGCGCACAACTAAGGTGTTATTCGATGCAGCTTTTCCTCCTCTTTCCAGTGAGTGTATTTTTTCTTCAATTTGCGGGGTCTCTGGCGATAAAATCACTACGTAATATAATTTGGAATCGTTGTTTACCCATTAATACCCCTGATCCGTGGAACATGGCAAACGAGGAGGCAGCAGACGGAGAAATCATGATGAAATACGCTGATCTTTGACTTTGGACTGCTGCCAAGTGGCGTGCGTTTTGGAACGCTGACAAATTTCATAACGAGTGACCAAGCATATTTTCGTAGAAGGGTCACACGTATTTCGAAAGGCGATCATGAGTGTCGCAATGATTTTGAGAATATGTCGCCAGTGTCCGGGTGTGTTATTTGTACCTCTGTTTTCGAGCTTGTTATCCCAGAATGTGTCTTTCAAATATGTTGTACTCCTATTAGTTGCTTTATGATGCCAAATTGCGTAACAGCGTGACTTAAGCTAAATTC